ATTTGCTTAGTTAGGGTAATTTTGGGCTAGTTGTACATTTATCATTACCTAAATCTAGATCATGTACTTACCTAAGTAAATAAGGTACCTAGCGCCCGAAATACCACTCACTGTTTAATCACGAAATCTCAAAAACTAGTAACACCTTCAAACTTAGAATTGGCAGGTAGGTTCCATTATAGGGTGTAGACATGCTAAAAACGGATTTTACGAAACTCCACCCCTAAGGGGTGAAGGGGGGTTGGTCCACGCGTACGAAGTCGCAGGCAGCCGCTAGTTAGTATGTAAACTAAAGTAGGTAACAAAGTCTGAAGTCCGCAGTCTTATGCCCATAGCTGGGCATTAACTCGTTAATCCGTTAATCGTTAATTAACGAAGTTAACATTTCTATTAACGGATTAACTTTTAAGTTAACTTTAAAAAATGTTAACGGACTCGTTAACTTCCGTTAAATTATCCTAAGTCCGTTAATCCGTTAATAGAGTACCTACTATTTACCAAAAGCACGCTGAAAAACTCTAGAAAAACGCGTTCTGACAAGTACAGTCGACAGCACATCAAGCTATACATTTTCGTTGCAAAGTCGCCCCTATCGCAACTACGTAAGATACCACAGTGTTTACGTTGACGTGCTGTTGACCGTACGTTCGGGCTTCCAGAACTTTCAGAACCCAAAACAACAGTTTTTGTAACCAGATCACTAACGACACTTGTTAGTTTGTGTGGGACAACTCTTGCAACTGAATTTAAGGCCAGTTTACAAGCTTTTATTCTGAAATGCAGTTGTACTAAAACGAAAAAAATAATTGCACTTATGCAAGGTTCAAATAATTTCGAAAGCTTGTAGCGCAAACAAAAAAAAACCGGCCAAATGCGTGTCGGACTCACGCGTCACGCACAAAGGGTTCCGTACCATTGATTTATGAAATTATTCTTTTTTTTAATGTAAGTTATTTGTATGACAGATTACGCGGCAATAAGCGGTTTACGATTTACGAGGTATTCAAAAAATACTACTTACTAGAGAGGGGGGGGGGGGGNTTTTCCACTTTGGAAGCGTCTGTCACGCAAACTATTCGGTTTAGAAAAAAAAATTGTAGAAACCTCGATATCATTTTTGAAGACCTATCCATAGACACCACACGTATGATTGATGAAAAAAAAATTTTTGAATTTCAGTTCTAAGTATGGGGAGCCAATATTTATTACTATTTTTTTATTTTTGTATCAAAAACTTAATGCGGTTCACAGAATACATCTGCCTACCAAGTTTCAACAGTAAAGCTCTTTTACACTGGTCATCACAAAAATCGACCCTCCCGCGACAAGCACTTTCAAACGTATGCATCCCCACATCCCACCAATATTGGCACCATTTAAAAGCCTAGTTCTAAACTTCATTTCATTAAAGGAAATGTTTTTACCCCAAAAATGTGTCTGTAGAAGAATCCAGTCACTTTTTAAAAAATAGGTAGTTAGGTACGCTTGAGCCAACTTTTATGGCTATAAAACTGTTACGTTGGGATTAATCGCTATCCATCTGTTAAAGAGGACACGTCGTGAGATCTTATTTTAAAAATTGGTGTAATTGATCCCAGAGGTGAGCCCAAAGTTAGGTCTTTTTTCAAGTCACATTTATTGTATATCGCGTTTATGTTAATCGTTTATTAAGAAATTAAATGTTTTTTTCTTTAAGCATATTTATTGGGCTTTCAAATAACACTAACCAATATTATTGGGGCACCATGATTGTGTCAGTAGAAACGAGTTTTTCAGTAAAACGTAGGTGGGCCGATTTTTGTGATGACCAGTATAGTTTCGGAAAAAAATGGAAGTTGCATGTTCTCTAGAAAACTTAAGTCGCACTTCGCGAAGCTATCGGAGAAGTTCTGGTCCTCGAGCTGGTCTTCGAGTATGCAGGTTATGATCCTCCATTCTTCTTCTTATTGTGTGCTTACTGATATTCACTGGGCTTGCTGTTTGTAAACGCTGGCGTATATCAAACGTAGTGAGATCCCGATTTCTTGATACTGCAAGCACGATAATCGGGTCATCGCGAGCTGACATACACCTTAATTCCCCACTTCTTGGTCTTCTTGTGTAAAAGGCGGTCTGGTCATGCCTTTTTAAGGTGTATCTTAAGTTTGTACGCCATAAATTTAAAGTTTCAGCCATCTCCCGCTGCATACGCCCTTGACTTCTAAGCAACACTATTTGAGCAACTTGAGCTGGAGTAATGGGCATTATTCTCAAATTATGGATACAAGAATAACCCTAAGATTAATTTAAAAACAATAAACAAAACGCCAAACCCTTACAACATTTAATATCGAATTTAAACTTACCCGTACTCTTTACGCTCCAACAACGAAATGCGTTTCTATAGTCAAAAAAGTTAAACAGACGCATTTTTTTATTAATCTAGCCTCTTAAATTAACAAAAACAAATGTTCTGTTAACATGTCACACGAAACTTAGGTATACAACACCTATTTAGCCTCATATCTGGGTGTTTAGGCTTGGGCCAAATTCCGTGCCGCTGAGTGTAGTAGGTACTACATGCTTTGTGTCATTTATTATTCAAAATTGCAGTGCACGGAACGATAATTTATTTACACTGGATGTCAAGCAAATAGAATTGAAGTAGGTAACATACCTACTCGTAGGTAGTTATTATCGAAATGAATACAATAGAATGGACTCTAAGTAAACAAAGTAAATGACCCAGAGAAAAGTAATTGAAACGCATGGAAAAAACCTGAAAGGCATAGACTAATTTACTAAACACTAACTACTTATGCCCGCGGCTTCGCTGTTCTGTTTGTTATACCAGCCTATGAGACTATTCCCCATAGCTGGGCACCGTTAATCAAATAGTTAACTTCGTTAATCGTTAAACCGTTAATAAAAAAATTAACTTCGTTAAACGTTAAAACGTTACATTTAGCAAGATTTAACGCAAGTTAACGTTAATCGTTAATCCGTTAACACCTTATAATAAAACGAAAAAAATAATTGTATGTAAGGTTCAAACAATTTCGAAAGCTTGTATCGCGCATGGAATTTATTCCTCTTTTTAGCCAGACAGTTTTGACAGTTCCAACTCCTTGCAAGACAGTTTTTTTAGGATAGCTGCCAAAGCCACGATGACCCAAACTTCATAATCCACCAACATTCTAACCTAATATTGGGAGCATACACTGACAAACTTTTATAAAATGACGTTGGTCTGGCGTTCACCAGCTCTTAGTCTATAGTATCTCAATCTCAGAGCCTTGGTTCAATTACAATACAATTTAGCACAAATGTGCTCGAAAAGACAAATTCAACAAACCCAAACTCGATAAGTTTCCACCATTTAGTTTAGGAATTCCTATGGCCACCTCCTGACTCCATCATCAGGACCCTGGACATCATCTAGTACTAAAGTGCTCAAAAAGACAAATGTAACGAACCCAAATTCGATGCGATTCCGCCGTTTCATTTAGTTCGCCTCCTGACTCCATCATTAGACTAGCTCAATGGTACCACAACATTGCATTTTCATCGTACTTACATAAGTATACCAAATTGCAGCTCAATCGGTTGAGGAGAACTGGTCTTAAATTCAGTTGCAAGATTTGTCCCACACATACTAACAAGTGAAGTCAATATAAGCATGTAAATAAATAAATAAAATAGCATTTTTATATTGTTTCTTTCTGGTTACAAAAAACTGTTGTTCTGGAAGTTCTGGAAGCCCGAACATACTCGTCAAAACGCGTTTTTCTAGTGTTTTCTAGTGTTTTTCAGCGTGCCTGCTATATCTTTTTGGTAAATAGTAGGTACTGGATTAACGATTAACGGACTTAGGATAATTTAACGGAAGTTAACGAGTCCGTTAACATTTTTTAAAGTTAACTTAAAAGTTAATCCGTTAATAGAAATGTTAACTTCGTTAATTAACGATTAACGGATTAACGAGTTAATGCCCAGCTATGCTATTCCCACCTCCCGTTCCCACCGCTGCAACTCCTGTGTAGCCAGGATCTACAGCTTGACCGCCAATAACCCAACCAGTGAAGGTCAAGTCAAGTTTGTCCCGGGGGAAAGTTACATACTTAACTGTTATTGGACCCGCAACGAAATTACCAACCTATGCAATAATAATTGAAAAGAGTGGAAAAAAACCTGGTTTCTTAGGCATAGAACACTATCGATGAATTTATACACTAGTTTTGCCAGCGCGCAGCGGCTTCGCCCGCGTGAAATTGTATTGTATATTATTTATTATTATTATTTATGTAGGTACTTTGGGTGAGAGTTATTTAGCTTACAAGATAGGTCCCCATACTTATTTGATGTTAACTGTCCGTGGTTCTTCGAGGTTATAAAAACATTGTTTTGTCACTCATGCGCTTTGCACTGGAGCAGTCGAACTTGTTCTTCTGATTAATTTCGTTGCGGGTCCAATGACAGTTTAACTTACCCCGGGGACAAACTTGACCTTCACTGGTTGGATTATTGGCGGTCAAGCTGTAGATCCTGGCTACACAGGAGTTGCAGCGGTGGGAACGAGAGGTGGGAATAATCCCGTTAATGTGTAGAGTTAGTTTGTCTCTACATGAGATTTGAAGACTTTCACATTGCAATATGATTCTTCTTGGCAACATTTTACAAGAAAATGTTTTTCATCATTATCATTTCAGCTACAGGACGTCCACTGCTGAACATAGGCCTCCCCCAATGATTTCCACATCGCCCGGTCGGTAGCGGCCTGCATTCAGCGCCTTCCCGCTACCTTTATGAAAATGTTTTTGATGGGTAGGTATAATAATTTTCTTCAAAATATTTCTTGAAGTATAGAATCGTTTATAGATCGTTCGAAGCGCGTCATTATGGAAGTGTGCGTTTGCACTCATGGAGCATTTAGCGTGTACCGATAACACTCAAACATTAGCGGAAGAATGTGGGGCTTCGTGGATGAAACGATCTATAATTTCGAATGAATACACCAAAGCAAAATATAATTTATAGCACATTTATTTACATTATCTACTTAACAGGTTTTCTTCTTTTATCATCTTCTCTATTTCTTTCTTCAAGAAACTCGCTTCTTCTTGCATTTCTTCTAAACTTCTGGCAGGTTTCGCTGGGTGTCCTGTTTTGAACCTGAGGAAATAAAATTATAGGTGTGGCGTTTAAAACTTAGTCATTGCCTGAGGTATGGGAGCGACTTCAGATTATGATTCAGATAATAATATGGTAGCTAGTGCATTCAGAGTATTATTATTATTATTGGTTTTTGGGCCTTTATTTGCGCCAACTCGACCAGGTTTGATCTATTGTGGCAGCCCTTGTCTTTAAAGTTCACTGCTTAGTCCCGTTGAGTCTATAAATTTCCAGATTCTTTGGAGCGTGATATCTGCTATCTCATCCGGGTGCATGATGTGTCGCCCGAGATGGATACTTCTTTTGCTCATAAGCGGGAAGCATGAGCAAAGAACATGCATGGCCGTTTCTTCTTCTGTATGGCAGAATCTGCACAGAGTTTCCTCGGTCATCGGCATTCAGAGTAGGGCTGTTATGGATATGTAGTTTCGGTTATGGATCCGGTTACGGATATAGGAATATCATTATACCGGTTATCGTTTCGGATATTTTTTTATTTCGGATATCCGAAAGTTTCCGTTACGGTTACGGATATCTGTGCTTTAGAATGCAATTTGTAATAGTTGTCCAACACGGTTCATTCTTTGCCGCACACTGTCTTTACATCGAATAAAAAGTAATAAAAAAATAAAAAGTGATAAGTAATAGATGGCATTATAAAGGTAAATCAGGCTGTTATGCCTTTACATAGTATAATGCTATACAAAAAACGATTGAAACTGCCTACATCCGAAATTATCCGAAACTTTTGGTTACGGTTACGGTTTCGGATATTATTTTATTTCGGATATCCGAAAGTTTCGGTTACGGTTACGGATATCTATAACATCCCTGATCAAAACCCAAAAAATTAATATATTTTTTTACTTACTGATCGTGTTTAGCTAACTCTAAATATATGAGATCATTGTCTATGAAGTCTCCTTTTTTCCTTGGCATAACATGGCAGTGTAGATGCTGAAAAACAAATAAAATAAAGGTGGATTTATATTTGTCTGAAGAGTTGTGTCATGATGACGCATCAAAACAGAATTGGTTTCATACATTTAGGTTGGGTTGCACTATCTCTTACGAAACGTCAAGTCTGTCAAACTCCATTCAAAAAGACCGGTTAAAGTTATAGTTACGGTTAAATTTAAGGTGGTGCAATTCAACCTTAGTATGATAACGTCAAACGTCAGAAGCCGACACGTCACAACTCTAGTTTGAACGTTAGCTTTTTATCTCAGAATTTGATTAAGTAAATATTATTTCTTTTTTTTAACACGTGTTTGACGGAAGTTCCGACGTATTTTAATCATAAATATTAACATTTATTATTATTATTACAAAATTTTTTATTATTACAAAAAATTAACACTAATTGGAAGAAAAAAAAGTTGTGGGTGTTTTTGGAAAAATCTCAGTCCAGTATAAAAGTACTTATCTCCCAAACTAAAACTGTTTACTTAGATAAAGTAATACCTTAACAGTCTGTCCTGCATCTGGGCCATCTTGCACGGTAACTGTACACGATTGTGTGTTGTGTACTTTTTCCATTAACTGAAACAAACAATTAGTTTTGAATAACTTATGAATTCAGATTTTTTAGTTATGAAATTAATAAAGTTTGCCAATTAACTGGCAGAATAGTGACATCACAGCCAGTACCGCCATACAAAATCTATGAGATTCTGAGTTGAAAAATGTTGACTGAGGTTGCGGTCAAATAACCGCAATCACATCTGGCGTTAAGTGTACATACGTGTCTAAATCTCTGTCTAGGTAGTAAGCATAATAAATAAATAAAATACAATACCTTTTGAACCAAAATCACAGTTCTGTAGAAATCATCAGCTTCTTCCGGAGTCAAATCTCTATTCCTTTCGGCCAAGCGAAGAGGCGCCACCAATACATGACCTGGTATGACACACCTGAAAATACATTGGATGTTAGACTTTATTGCATACAAGCTGTGAGCGCGCGACTTCGTACGCGTGTAAATTGAATATTTCCCGTTTTTGCACAATTTTTCGCGGTTCACCCGGACAGCTAGTTTAGTATGCGACTCGTCAGAAGCCGTTACGACACGACACGACACAACGCTGTAGTTTAAACGTCGCTACTACATGTATGACATCGATTCCGTTCTGATGCGTCACGACATAACACGTCAGACAAATATGAATCCGCCTTTAAAAACAAAAAAATGTGTATGATTTTGTGACCTACCTCAAATTAACAAAAGCGTAAGTCAACTTGGACTTATAGAAGACACAAGTGTCCGGAACTCGGACGTGTCCGAACACTTGCGTAGGTCCGGACACGGTCCGGACGGGGCTGTCCGGGGCCTCTGTCCGGGGCTTGTGGGCCAGCAGCGGGGATTTGCGGAGCGCTAGCGTGTAGAGTGAGTAGATATCCTTTCTGAAACAACAGAAATTGTGGTTTATGAGACAGATAACTTTTTGTAATTAATAAAGAACTATCAAGATCTTGATATCAAGTAAGTTATCAAGAACTTTATCAGCGACCGAAACTTTCGCGGCCTACGAAACATAAACTGCAGTTTATCTGACAGCTAAGTTCCTGATAAACTGTCTGGGACTTTATCAGTAATTGGTTAAAGTTATTAAATTGGAGACCTAAAACAAATAGTAATTTATCTGACAGAGAAACTCCTAATAGACTATCTGAGACTTTATTAAGGGAGTCAAGTTTCACCAACTTACCTTTATTCGAAGCATCTAAAACTTACATTTTATCTGAGATATTAGTACCTGATAAACTATCTCACCCACCTCCTATGCTGAAAGACGGGCATGTTTCTTCTGACGTCTGCCAACTTATCGCTCGACAACTCAACCACCTTATACACTGACGTTTCCTCCCCGCAGTCCGCTATAACTTCGCCCCATGGATCTACACACAATGCGTGGCCATAGGATTGTCGTTTGGCGTTGTGTTGACCGGTCTGAGCCGCTGCTATGACGTAGGTTTGATTCTCTATCGCGCGCGACCTTTGGGGAATTGAAAAAAAAAACATGAAAAAATCGAACTGCCTGAGACGGTCAGGTTTAATAACTGTTGAGAAAAAAAGTTTTAGAGCGGATTATATTTGTCTGATGCATTGTGTCATTATGACGCATTAGAACAGAATACGTTTAATACATGATGTGACACGTCAGAACTTTCAGAAGTCATCACGACACCACACAACACTAGTTTATGAAATTGATTCCGCTCTGATGCGTCACACACAACTCTTAAGTAAATTAAAACAAAAAAAAACCGGAACTTTGTTAAATCGTGGTTTCTAAACTCAAGCCAATAAAAAAAAGAAAATTAAACACATTTGGGCTTAAAACCTTTTCGGTAACTCAGTTAAACTTCTGCTCAATAGGTAATGGGAATGGGGGATTTGTGTAACTTTCTATATCACGAATCCCCATTAGATTAAAAAAATGCCAACAAAAAACTTTAAAAAAAAATTACAATATCTTATGTTTCAAGAAAGTTCTCTGAATTTACCACAAATGCTTGTAGCACAGATCGTGTATAATTTACAATTATTACTTACCTGATAATTTACCTGTGTAACAGGATTGAAATCGAAAAAAAAGTGGGGCAGTAAATTATCTTCTGACTACATAAGTTTGCTAATACGTAGACCATTGTAAATTGTAAATACATCAAATACCTCAACAAAACATGCCAATGCGCCGCCCCAGTCACTTTAGTGAATGCAGACGGATAGGTCAGAATCTCAGCACCCATTGAAGCGAGCGCTGTGCTTAGCTCGGGGAATCTCATGTCATAGCATATTGCCATTCCTGGAAATTACCAAACATATATTTGAACTAGCTTTCCGCCCGTGTGTAATTTTGTCTGTCACAGAAAACTTTATCGCGCGCGTCCCTGTTTCAAATACCAGGATAAAAAAAGCATACCAGGATAAATATGCCAAAAGACAATGCCGGAAATTAGCGTCTTTTTTTTTTCGCGCGGCCATCGACCAAACCATGTTTTTTGGTTACAAAATAGTGTAATAAACCAAACTTACTATGACATGTATACCTCTAAACTCAGTCTGAACTGAGTTACGAGCATTAGAAATTTGATGATTTTACATACTAGATTTGCCTTTTGCGCGCAAGTTTTGTAAAAAATTGCAACAAAATGGTGACGTCTTTTTTTATTGCGCTAATTCTGCTCCACACTGATGGCTGGAGCCTATAATGGATTTGTTTGTTTACACATACAATGTTTAGTTCAGTGGTTTAGGCGTGAAAGCAAGACAGACAGACAGACAGACGGCTACTTTCGCATATTAGTATAGAACCATATAAACTTTTATTATTTGTTTTTAACAAACTACCCTGTAAATTTGTCAAAGCCGCTTACAAAACGGTCAAGTTAACTGCGCCCTGGCGGCCGTTACGTCACAGCAACGCTCTGGCAAGGACAGGGCGAACGCGGGGAGGTGTGCAGGTAAGTGGGAGGGAGAGTCGCATACCAGTCAGATGCGTAGTTAGCTCGATAAGGTTGTAGTTTTGTAGTTTTTAGGGTTCCGTAGCCAAATGGCAAAAAACGGAACCCTTATAGATTCGTCATGTCTGTCTGTCCGTCCGTCCGTCCGTCTGTCCGTCCGTATGTCACAGCCATTTTTTTCCGAAACTATAAGAGCTATACTGTTGAAACTTGGTAGGTAGATGTATTCGGTGAACCGCATTAAGATTTTGATGCAAAAAAATAATAATAATAAATATTGGGGGCTCCCCATACTTAGAACTGAAACTCAAAAATTTTTTTTTCATCAAACACATACGTGTGGGGTATCTATGGATAGGTCTTCAAAAATGATATCGAGGTTTCTAAAACATTTTTTTTCTAAACCGAATAGTTTGCGTGACAGACGCTTCCAAAGTGGAAAAAAGTTGGTCCCCACCCTAACTCTCTAACTTCTAAAATAAGAAAATGAAAAATCTAAAAAAAACATATGATGTAATTACTATAAAAACTACCAACGAAAATTGTTTTGAACTAGATCTAGTAAGTAGTTTTATTTTTTTTTAATACCTCGTAAATCGTAAACCGCTTATTACCGCGTAATCTTTCATACTAATAACTTAAATAAAAAATAATAATTTTAATTTCATAAATCAATGGTACGGAACCCTCGGTGCGCGAGTCCGACTCGCACTTGGCCGGTTTTTTGTTTCTAATATTATTTTTAGATCGTTTTTAACTGGAGCTAGTCCATTTGCATTCCATGCTCCAATACGAATAGAAGTCATTTCGTCTTGCTGACTAGTGTAGTTATGAGGTTTATTAGGGTCCCCATTTGTTGTAACAGTAAGTCAATTTTTAGAGCTTGTCTATTAATTGTTTCTAGTAGAGTGATCTCATACTCACTATGTGTTTGGTTACTGGTTTGACCCGATTGGGTTATATGAGGATTTTGATTTCCTGTTATGTTGTAGGTGCCTGAACCTCGTGGTTTATTACCATTCTTCAATACTTCACTATAGGAATGTGTATATTTATCTGTGATATTTGATTCGCTTTGGTCTCGTGTTAGGGGTACCCAGTTTTCTCCACCAATGGTGTTTGTGACAGTCGGTTGCGCCTGCTTTGGTTTGTTGGCATCATTCGTATTATTCTTGTGATACCTTCTGGTGTATATGTCACGGTACACTGAGCACCCTTTGTAATTTGCGGGGTGACTACCTTCACACAAGGCACAGGTGGCCGGGGTGTTTCTGTCTTTACCACAATCTTTACTGCTATGGGTTTCTCCGCATTTCACACACCTAAAAGGTCTCATGCAGTAATTTTTGGTTTGGTTTGGTTTTTTTAGATGGATTTAACTTTTTGAGAGCAGAGAAATACTGGATAGTTTTTATCCCGGTTTTTTTTGGAAGAGGGACAAATCATGACTCACGAGCAAAACTAGCCAGAAATTAATAAAATTAAACTTTTCGTTTGGGCAGGCCTCCCACTAGGTGGACCGACGATCTGGTGAAGGTCGCGGGAGGTGCCTGGATGCGAGCGGCGTAGGACCCGTCTTTGTGGAAATCCTTGGGGGAGGCCTTTGTCCAGCAGTGGACGTCTTTCGGCTGAAACAACAAAGTTTTTGTCTAAATTAGATGATACTGTGTTAAATGTTGTTGTTTTTTTTATTTAACCTTTGAAAGATAGAATAGAAAGAAAGAAAAATATTTACATATGTACCTATCCTTCCAACCGGTGTATCCACAGGAGTGACCACATGTCCTCCTGGATGGCTGAAATCGCTTTCTTTCAACCGAACGTTCTTCTCCGGAATCTCTACATCGAATAAATGTAGTTTCCTGTACGTCTGTACTATTTCTCCATTGCTATCTATGATAATGTGTGTGTTGTACATTTTGTCTGGCTTTGAATCATCCTGAAACGTGATGTAAATGTTTATTAGGTAATTAAAATATGTCATAATAATAAAGGACTATGCAATTAAAGATTAATGATTTTTTTTAAATGAACATATGAATAATAAAATTAATGAATTACAAATGTGGTTAAAACAACAATATTGCTAGGATTCCAATCTAAATGTACTGCAGAACTTAAATTTTAGGGACTTCAATTACTAGTGCTTAGAGTATAATGTTTTAATGCATATGGAAGGACAAAGACTCTTTTCAGCACCAACTTATATGGTCTTTTAATTTTGATCAGAAAAGGGTGGATTCTACTACCCAAATACAATTATTTTTCTGATACAACCATTAATAACTTCTCAAAAAATGGACTTTTCCATACTAAATATTTGAACTTAAGAAAAGTTGTTGAATTTGAGCAGTAGAATCAATACTATTTGTTTGATCAAGTATAAGGACAAGTAAAAATGCCCTGAAAATGACCTACATGATGGTGACAATGAATTTGTAATAATTTTATGCCATATTTAAAGTACCTTTTCATGAACACCACCCATGGACAGCCAGACCTTGTGCTTGGCGGCCAATTCTCTGTACTTTCCCACTGTGTTCCCACCGAGGATTGGCTCGGCGAACTTTACGATGTCATTTTTGTTGTCACAAATATAATCGCACGCTTCTGGGAAGAATATCATCTGAAAATCAAGTCATCAAGATTTAATAAGAGTTAAGAAAGAATTGAATATGTTCTTTCCTTAAGCAGGGCTACGTTTATAGATGACCCAAGCTGAACTGTCCCACCAAACTCAATGACAGGGGGGCGCTACCATTGTTCAACTATATGGTTTCCAACATGGCAAAAATCGGAACCAACGATCCGGTATTGACGGTGGCACCCCACTGTCAATGTCATGCATAGGACAGTTCAGTATTTTGGAACTATACGTAGTTTTGAGTCTATCTGACAGTGTTTCTCATGCAGGCATCTTGCTTTGCGTAAGAGGGATAGAAAATTTGAACACTTCGAATAATTTCTGAGAGTAACATTGCTGTAACTGGATGTTACTATTTATATGTGACTTTTGGTCATTAAAGTGTTAATATAAAAATATTAACACTTTAATTACATTAAGCTATTAAATCACAACTTGAAAAGATACTTAATTTATAGATTTAAATTAGATTTTATTCCTTAAAAAACTTTTTAAGTAACTAACATCAATTTTAATTAAATCTAAATTCTTTATTAATTTCTTATTAACTTGATATAACCATTGGGGAAGGCCTATGTTCCGCAGTGGACGTCTTGTGGCTGAAATGATGATGACGATGATGATATGAATTGATATAATAAAAAATAATTTCTAGCAATAATGAATTACCTGGGCCCCATCATTGGCTGCATCATTCACTAATTTACTAACTGCTTGCAAATTCTGCGTTTTGTCTGCGACGGATGTCATTTGGCACACTGCAATCTTCTTGGACATTTTGGTTTTTTGACTGACGTGCCTTGTGAAGTCTTTTTGGTATATTTTTGTCAGCAGCGTTAAACTCCACAGCTAGAAAAAGATGTTTTAAAAAATCTATTTCCGTCTCTGAGTTTTAATAAGTTTTATTCAAACCTAATTTTCTGAAAGTAGGTACTTGCAAAGGTTCTACAGTACAATTACAGCCACTTGAATGTAAGATAAGCATAAATAAATGCACACAAAAGAATCTATTTGCAAAACAAATAAAACTGATAAGGGTTAATAATGAACATTGATAAGAATATACATACACTTTGGAACTTACGCGCATGATATTGGTCAATAATTTATAGCAGAATTATAATTTCTTTGCAATTACCACTGAAAAGTATGTAAATATTTTTTATTTACCGAAAAAACCTGCTACCGATTCCAACTTTTGACTATTTTTGACATTTCACCATATGATTATGACCTTGACAATTTATTTGACATTCAAATTTGAAAGGTAGTGATGACCGAGGGGCGATATGTGGGGTAAGTAAATGGGTATCTGGTATCTGGCACAAAAATCATTTATCTTTTTTTAGACAGGAAGAGAAACGGCAGAGGGGTAAAAGACGTATAGAACGAATGCAGTTTTTAATGATGAATCAATGGATCAATCAATCTCCGAATTTAATACACAGTACATTTTGGAATAACATAAAATAGTCGTGACATGTAAATCGCACTATGGATCAAATAAAAAAAGAAATGTCAGTGTCAGATGTGTCATTCTCTAGAAAAATCGCTGGCTGATTGTGTTCGTCGGTTCTGTTTTTTCTCTATTTTATCAATAAATAACTCCACTAATTGCATTTATTTTGATTTTTCCAACGAGGGCACCCAAAAATGGGCGATAAAACCGAAAACGCACCTGCTGAGGTATGTTTTGTTACAGTAAAATTATGGATCTTTCTAGCATGCATTTCTTACTTTCAAAATGTATATTTAGAAATGAAATTCTACGGTCTTTGTGTTTGTAATGTGATAGTACTGAGTGGCTGCATAATTACTTTCTTTCTTTATGCAATTTCATAAATTATAACTATGTAGTCTTGAGGTAATTACATTAAAATTTAGTGTATGCCAACTAAGTGAAATATTGATCAAACTTTTACTTTACTTATCAAATATTCTGGATATTCTGGGAGACAAAATTATATTGGATAAAGTACCTATATTATTTATCATTACACATTTATTTTATTAATTTCAACATATTTTTAGTACCTAACTTTCAATGTAGGTTTTTTGTACCAACATAAAAATTTAGTAAAAATCAGCTCTTGCATGGTCTCTTCAAAAGTAAAAGATGTTTCATATGAAAAATCTAGAACCTTCCATGGTTGTTTCTGTGCCTCTCAAATAAAATACTAAATTTTTGGCATTCTTCCAGCATTGTCTTCGTTTAACAACTAATTTTGCCATGGATACTTAGCTTATTCACCAACTGGTACTGATGTTTTACCAGTTGATGTATGAGTGAAGTAACTAGAGCCCTCATTGCTATTAATTACAACTTCATTTACACCCATATTCATAAGCTTTTTTTTTTTTTTTTTTTTTTATGCTAGCCAAGGCAGGTATTTGACCGCAATCGCACCTGGTGTTAAATGAGATGCAGTCTAGGATGGTACATACCTGCCCTGTAAGTGCCTATTCACTCTCGCCTTGAAAACGCCCGGATTATAGTGTTCAGGAAATACAGCAGCAGGCAGCGAATTCCAGTCCCTAGCTGTTCGCATTTTATAGGAGTCGTCGAAACGCTTAGTGCGAGCTGGTGGAATGTCGACAATGTAGGGATGGTACGCTAGCCTGCGTCTGGTTCCCCGGTGAAGCTTGCTTAAATGAAGCAGAAAATCGAACGCACAGCGTTGAATAGAGCTCTGTGATTGTTTATGTGTGACCCTTTGCATCCACCGCACTGTGAGGCCTCACATGGTAATGTTTGTGAATACGAGAGTTAGGCTTCAAGTGTAGCATATTAACGGCCGAATACTGAAACACTACTCAAATCTGTCACTCAGCTGACGGGCTCCTAAATTTAAGTATCCTTCAATTTTAAATGGTATTCTCAAACACCACTCAACGGATTTGAAGCCGTGATCAGCTAAGCAGCTCTCAAATGTTTACATAATGGCAACATTTACCAAAAAAAGTATGTTTTCATTTACACAAATGATAACTTTACGTTTTTTATCCGTTACACGCAGCATCGTTTGGTTATGTATCGTCTTTTATGGAAATATTACTCAATCAACTTAACATACAACAGTTTATTTTTAGTTTCTATTATACATTAATGTCGTTTTATTATATAAAAAAATTAATGCTTGCATTTTTATTTAATTAAAAAAATAATTTTAAAGGTGATACTTTTTATTGTTGAAATCTATTAAGTGGCGATCGTGGACCGAAACGTAACCACAATTGACATTTATCATTGTTGACTGACAGAGCATCAAATTGACAAATCAACAACTCTTGGAAATGCTGCTATGCGATGTCCCCTTAATCCTCAGAAATAGGCATGTTTATGTAAAGCGATTTCATAGCAGCTATTTTGGTTGTTACTTCGTGCACTATACGATGCACAGTTGGCTGTTAGATGTGGAAGATATCACCTAGTACACGTTCATAACTTCCCGTTGCGTAGAACAGTAGGGTTATAATAAGTATTTGGTCCACTGGTTGTATGGCATTTGGTGCGGGGTTTCAAAGAGCTTCCAAATTATGAATCCAGACACAACACCGTTTCTTTAGAGATGCGGAACCTCGCTCGGAATTGCATGTCATTATAATAATATTTTTCAATAGCGTTCAGCATTATTGCGTTCCTGCGATTAGATCTAGGTATTTCCTCGAGCCTCGAAAGAAATGATAACGATGACACACATTATTTACCACTATTTAGGTCGATTTTGGTATAAGAATAGGATTTAAGATACCGCGCAAGCACTCTCAAATTTAACAGCTGCTTAAGACGATTTGACAGTTGTTTGAGTAATGCTTAGCGTTGAATGGCGTTTCAGTATGCGAAAATTCATTTAAGTGGCGTTTGAGTGCAACTTAATTTGAGAGGTGCTTAAAAATTGAGAACTGCTCAGATATTGTTTTGAGTATGCGAAATGTAAGTTTAGGAGCTGCTTAACTATTTGAGAAGCCGTCAAATATTTAAATGGCGTTTCAGTATTCGGCCGTAACAGTTACAGCCAACTAAGTAATGGTCTAAATTACTTTAGACTGCTCTCAAGCAGTCAAATCAAATAATTATTCAGTACTTAGACCCTTTCCAGGGCACTCGTACACATCCCAAATATAGCTTGCCCTACCACCACTTCAGGAAAACATAAGGGCTGGTGCTGTGCTTTTGTCAGCCTCTTTTGCAATTAATAGACACAGCAAAGTAGTCAGTACACTCTCAGTCAAGCTAAGGATTGTTGGTTTGTTTCCCATTACAATTATCTGTACATAATTTGTTGCAGAAACCGAAGATCAAACACGACTGGTACCAGACTGAAGCGCAAGTGGTCATCACCATACTCATAAAAAATGCTCCGAGTGATAAAGTAAAAGTGTGTTATGGAGACAGAAGTGTAAGTTCATACAATAGGAAAGATCGTAGCCTGAAATAACTATAAATTTCACCAGATCGTTGGTCCACCTAGTGGTAGGCCTGCCCACACTACGTCTTCCGGCTCGTGGTCGCCACTCGAGAACTTTTCTGCCCCAGCGGCCATCTATGCAAACTATGTGCCCCGCCCTTGGTTGACCGATGATCTGGTAAAGGTCGCGGGAGGAACCTGGATGCGGGCGGCGCGCCGCCCAAGGATTTCTACAACGACCGGTCCTGCGCCGCGGCGCAGGACCGGTCGTTGTAGAAATCCTTGGGGAAGGCCTTTGTCCAGCAGTGGACGTCATTCATCTGAAAGGAACGAAACTATAAAATCAAAACTGCTAAATGTAAAGTCTTAATCACAGATCACAGAAACTAAAGGGAGATGTGTCAAGGGGGCGGGGCCGTTGTCGCAGCAATATGCCCAAAACAGAACACATTGCTGCAGATGTCATAATGTAAACAGTTATTGCTTGCGTAGTACTAAAGATTATTCGAACGTTGAGTACTGATACCGCAGTGGTTAATGAGCACATATTTTGATTACTTTGTTTGTGTCAATTGCTAATGCGACACAGTTCCGAACTCAGCGCATTAGTTGGCATCTCTCTATATCTCTATGGTCATAATAATTCATTTCAGCTCTCCGTAACTAGCTCAATCCCGTCCTCCGACTCTGAATACAGTCTGGAATTAGAACTAGCTCACGAGATAGTTCCATCAATGTGCACACACGTCGTCACGCCTTCCAAGATTGAGGTGAAACTGCGCAAGAAAGAGGGACTGAGATGGAACGTGTTAGAGGGAGAAGGGAAAGAGGAGACAGTTAAAGCTATTCCTCAAGGTTAGTTTTTTTTTGTTTTATATTATGGCTTTGGTTTGTACTTAGCCAGTGTCAAATAAAATTATAATTATAGTCTGGACTGCGAGCACGTAGAATTTTGTCCAATGACCCCAAGCTACCCATCCTTATCGCTCGCGCATAGTTATGTTGCTGTCGCTCTCGCACACTCATTGCGGGCACCCGTCGCACAGTCGCGACAGCAATATAATTACGCGTGAGCGATAAGGATGGGTAGCTAGGGGTCATTGGACAAAATTCTATGTGCTCACAGACCGGGCTTTAAAACTATAAAGTTTTCTCATGATTATAAAATGAATTAATAATAAAATAAATAAAAAGTCTCATTAAAGAAGTTTTTGATTTGTTTTGAGCAGTATTTGTGTGGGTATTACACTTGTATGCCTAATATAAATTAAATTATATTGTGTATTTTCAAATTGAATTTGTGTTTAAAACTAGATTTGACGAATGACGGTACGGGCTTTACAATGAAAACGATGCAAGAGTGTAAATCGCGCAAACGCATTGGTTCGTTGATTTGAAACTTTTTAAAGATAATAATGCAACTCATATTATTATGAGGCACAACTACAGCACTGTGATCTAACAGTTATTACAATAGGTGATATTTTTTACGACCCCATTGAATTAGTTTGTAATTAATTGTATAATTACAGCTGTTATAGACGCGTCCGGACCGCAGCAGCCGCCGAAACTATTCAAGAAAGACTGGGATAAAATAGAGAAAGAAATCAAGAAAATGGTAAGCATTATAAGGAATCAAATCCAATTTTGATCTCTATCAGCTGTAGAAGTTGCACGAAAGTTTGAAAGCGGCACGTGACGTCAAGGAGTGGTTAAAAGTGGAGCACTTTGTGACGTCACTCGGAATTTCAACGCACCATAGATTGTTTCATCCACTCGGGCGCGCCCCAGCAATGTGTGGTCCCGGTCGCGCGGGGTGCGGGGAGTGTGGTCCGAGCAAGCCGTAAGGCATTACTGTAGTGTGCGTGTGCACTCATGGAGCATTAGCGTGTACCGATAACACTCACTATTATTATTATTTATGTATGTATATTTTATGCAGTAGTATTTAGTGTCCGTGACTCTCACTCGGCATGGGGCACACTGAAAACCAGCGTCGTGGCTTCCCTCACCGGGGGCCACGGCATATGCTGAGTGGGGTCCCATTGCGATGGGCATCGCTGTGCGACAGGGTGGCACTGCTTATTTTACTTGCTCTTTCATTGTATGTTTTGATTCCGTGGAGGGTAGTTGAACGGGAAGCATGGTCGATCTGTTTTAATGGTCTCAATTTAATGGACTTTGGTGTACAAATTTGGTGTTATTTTGTGTTCTAAAGTGCAGTGAAGTGATAAATTATAAAAAACATTGAAATACTTCGAATTTGAGCGCGCATCGAGTGTCGAGTGGGTTGTCGTATGAACAACCCGCTTTGGACCCGGTGGCGTCTCGAAACCTGCTTACGGGCATACTTAACTCCACGGAATCCATGAAAAATCAATAGAACTGAAACACCCACGCCACGTTCTATTGATAACTATGTCAATATTTTTCACTCGACATTGGCAGAAATAAACCTCCCAGAGAGGTTTGGTTGCCANCGTCTGTCACAGCCGATTTACTCGGAAACTATAAGTACTACAGTGATGAAATTTGATGGGAATATGTGTTGTATGAACCGCTACAAAATTATGACACTAAATAGTAAAAAAAAGAATTGGGGGTGGGGCCCCCCATACATGTAACTGAGGGATGAAAATTTTTTTTCGATGTACATACCCGTGTGGGGTATCAATGGAAAGGTCTTTTAAAATGATATAAAGTTTTCTAAAAAACATTTTTCTTAAAGTGAACGGTTTTTGAGATATCAGCTCTCAAAGTCGTAAAAAGTATGTCCCCCCCCCTCTATTTTTATAACTACGGGGTATAAAATTCTAAAAAAAATAGAGGTGATGCATGCTAATTAACTCTTTCAACGATTTTTGGTTTGATCAAAGTATCTCTTATAGTTTTTGAGATAGGTTGATTTAACTGTAATTTTGTTTATTTTTGTTTTACCTCTTTTGTCTTTTGTGATGTCCATAGCAATAAATGTTTCTTTCTTTCTTTCTTTCACTCAAACATTCGCGGAAGAATGGTGGGGAACTATAATCCTATGATGATGTTGCAGGAAGAAGATGAAAAGCCCGAAGGCGATGCGGCATTAAACGCCCTCTTCCAGAAGATATACGGCGAGGGCTCGGACGAGGTGCGCCGCGCTATGAACAAGAGCTTTGTAAGTGTTTGACTAAACATTGTTTCTCCTATAGTCTGGACTGCGAGCACGTAGAATTTTGTCCAATGACCCCAAGCTACCCATCCTTATCATCATCATCATCATCATTTCAGCCATAGGACGTCCACTGCTGAACATAGGCCTCCCCCAATGCTTTCCATGTTGATCGATTGGCAGCGGTCTGCGTCCAGCGCTTCCCTGCTACCTTTACGATGTCGTCGGTCCACCTTGTAGGTGGACGTCCCACGCTGCGTTTTCCGGTACGCGGCCTCCATTCCAGAACCTTTCTGCCCCATCGGCCGTCAGTTCTGCGTACTATGTGCCCTGCCCATTGCCACTTCAGCTTGCTAATCCGTCGGGCTATGTCAGCGACTTTGGTTCGTTTACGGATCTCCTCATTTCTGCCTGATTCCCATCCTTATCGCTCGCGCGTAATTATGTTGCTGTCGCGCTCGCACACTCACTGCGGGCGCCCGTCGCACAGTCGCGACAGCAATATAATTACGCGCGAGCGATAAGGATGGGTAGCTTGGGGTCATTGGACAAAATTCTACGTGCTCGCAGACCGGGCTTTAGCACATTTCGCTGTCTGCTGCTGTCTTTCCCGAACACTATAATCCGGGCCTTTTCAAGGCGAGAGTGAATAGGCACTTACAGGGCAGATAATTATGTACCATCCTAGACTGCATCTCACATAACATCCCGTTTTAACCCCCTTAGGGGTAGAGTTTCGTAAAATCCTTTCTTAGCGAATGCCTACGTCATAACATCTATCTGCATGCCAAATTTCAGCCTGATCCGTCCAGTGGTTTGGGCTGTGCGTTGATAGATGGATCACTCATGTCAGTCAGTCAGTCACCTTTGAGTTATAAATATTTAGATACATAAACTTTCCACAGGTGGAGTCTGGAGGCACAGTTCTCAGCACCAACTGGAATCAAGTGGCCAAAGACAAGGTAGAGGTGAAACCGCCCGACGGACTCGAGTTCAAGAAATGGGAGAACTGAACTGATATTTGTTGAGAACTTGGGATGTTTTCTGCTTCGAGAAAACTATTTCAGAATGTAGGGTAGTCAATCAATAGGGAAAATTTTTGCACGTTATACTCTTTGGACGTACTTACTGTAAATCCAGATACAAAAACAAAACTCACCTATCATTAGCGAAATCTGCGAGAAACATACGCAAATACAAACATAATCTGCTAAAATCCTAAAAAAGTCGGGTAAAAAAGATTGTATCAAAATCTGTTCATCCGTTTGGGAACTACAATGGCGCTGACAGTTAAAAATGACAATATTTACTGTCAAACCCTAACCTAATAATTTAGTTCCCTCAAATCAAATGTACGTAGTATCTCTCGAATGGAAAACATACCAAGTAGGTGTGTAATGCATGTCGATAGTTACAACACTATTGTCGATATTGATTGATGTTTATCGATGTACTAATGCAAACTAGTCAACTTATACAGTCCAATCTTTATTACTGTGCATTTAGATACTTTATACACAAAAATAATGAAGAAAAAGAACTTACAAATTAAGCTGTCAAAGTGTTAATATGTTGGCAACATTGGATTCACATGTCAACTGATAGTGTTGCCAAATTATCGGTACTTTTACTATAGATAAAAGATATTATTCGTGTCGATCGAAAGTTATAGAGTTTTTGTTTTATTCCACTTTTTAATGAAGTAAAAAACGGCGTTTTCCTGAGCTACCAACATGACAACATTATGACGTTAACAGATGCACAGTAAAATGGATTTACTTAGTATTCGAAAAATCTTAGTACACTATCGATGTGTTTACGTTTTAATGTGTGCCGAAGAATTTTATGGAAATGTATTGTTATTTTATTTGAATCAAGAGTTCACATGCTTCAAAAGCACAAATTTATAAAATATTACAAGATGGCTGCTGTAAAATGCAAATGCAATTTTTTGTCAAAAAACAGCGACACTAGCGCCCAAAACGTGAACTAAAGTTCAAATATGCATTTCCATGAATTCTTCAGTACAACTTATTATTAATTTAAGTTTCATATATTGTGTTATTCGATTATAAGACTGTAATATTACGGAGAGTAATGAAATAAAATATTTGTAATTATTTTCGAGTTTTATTTTTAAAATCAGACTAGGGTCACACATATTTACAAATACAGTCAGCGTCAAATCGTTCGTGACACCCAAAGTAGCCAAAAAGTTCGCAACACGTCTTTGTTACAATTGGAATAAGGTTGTGTTGTCACCAATTTGGCCACTTCGGGTGTCCAGAACTATTTAAATCTGATTGTACAACGCATTTTGACAAATACTATCATGAAAACGTACGTTATGCGTTTTAAAATACGTATATATAATAATAATAACTAACTTGTTTCTACCCATGACTTCGCCCGTGTCGATGAACGAAAGAAAAAAGTCGTCTTTTTTTAGTTTATACCAAAATCAGTTCAACTGGTAATTCGTGACAGAAGACATTTTTTTTATAATTATGTTTGTGAAATAAGTACGGTTTGGTCAAAATTTAAGTTCTTTTCCGATGGGGAGTTTAGTACGTAATACATTATCTGTGGTAACTAATAGGTACAAACTAAAAAGTAATGTATTTGTAAAATACGACACTACAACACTTCTACAATATGTAACAAAAACACCGTCCGATCCGAAAGGGTCATAAAGTAGCTTTAACAACATTACCAAAACAAGTATCAAAATTACGTAATTAATAAAAACAATTTTTTTATCGATTTTTAAAGTCAATAAGTTTAGCAATGATTTACCCTACAACGGGGAAATTTTCAAAAAGCGTTAACACTGTCGGCGCGCGGCTTTTTTTAAGACGCTGGGGGTCATGACCTTATGACGTCGCTACGCGTGCCGGCGCATCTCTACCCCTCCCGCGTACCCTCTACACTGCAGTTCGGATTGCCATGTAAGCTATTTTATTTTTGTAAATTTTGTATTTATTTTTCATGGGGTATTTTTTTTATAATATTTTATGAAAATTATTACACAAATGGAATCTTAACTCGATACCTATTAACACCTTAATGGATCGGACAGTGTTTCCGTTACATATTGTATATAATCTAAAGTACCTATAGTTATTTACAATAGTAAGTATTACACTGGTCAACAGTGGTTTTGGTGCCAAGGAACTGTATATATTTTTTGATTAAGGACCTTATACTGGTTGCTTTAGTAGCAAATTTGTTGATTTCCTACGTGTGGTTTTCTAGATTTTGACGTGTATAGAAAAATACAAAATTTCACCAAAATCAGCGTTTTTAATATTTTGAAGTGCTTAAAAACTTTCTTTTCCACGACTTTTGTGAATGAGGTGTAATGGAACTATCACGTTACATCCTCCAGCAGTAATCAGCCATCATATAGCTATCCCATCTGCCTTGGTACCTCTCTTCCAATGGTTTTTAGGTCTTGATAGCATCGCTCTCCCTGTTCTTAGCTATAGCATGCTATAGTGACCCAAGATTCTCTGGGAATTGGTCAAGATGACTGTGGAGGTAGTGCCCTTTGATGAAAATTATTACATCCTGAGTTTTTAGGGCATGTCTCACAATTTCATAGAAGTTACTAGTCCTGTGATTTCCGAAAAAACTTTTAGTAACTTCATCGAAATAAGTCCACGTAAATCGTTCCAAACGTCCATCAAACTTAAGAAATCAGTATCTTTTATTAATATTATTATTTGTGGGCCATAAAAAATTTACTGCTTTAACCTTTTTTTATGCTCAAACCAGGATTTTTTTTTGTTCTTTCCTCACTTTTTCCACTCTGAACTTCATGTTATGGCTTCTTTGACCATTAAAACATTGCCTCAGTGTTCACAGCAGATTATACAAACAATTTCGGGTATCCACGGCTTGAATACAACCACAATTTCCGACTTAAAGTAAGAAAAATAAGCACTTTTTATTAAAATTTTGTCTAAATTTTTGAAATTCTTAACTGTGTGCACATCACAAATGTAACAAATTACATTTGGATCGTTGAGGCAACTTCTTGGCAATGCAGACATGATATTAAAATAAATTTCGTTATAAAAATATACCGATAACATTACAAACTGTGCAACCAAAGTACCAATTAAAGCTAAAATTTAAAACTGAGGGTAGATCAAAAACTACACGTAGGAAAAAAAAAAGAAAAATGTTTTTATTATTACTAATACACACCTAATAATAAACTATCAACAGAATCTCGGCACCATTTTAATTTTGATTTTTTGTTGACCAGTGTTATTGCTATAAAAGGACTATTCCTGAGTATTTAGTAAATAATATTGTTTTAAATAAAATAGATTAACAAAATCAACCAAAGTGTACCACAGGGTACTATATTATGCCCAGTCTCATAAATCATGCAACAAATCAACCTTTACTACTGCTAGCGTTGAACAAGTCGATGGTGGCCTTGCTAACCGTGTTAGGATATGTTTGGACATGTCCCTCGTGTATCGTGGAGATCTCCCCAGAACTTGACTGCAGACCGTTCCGAACTGGAGGCACTTTCTTCCCATTTGTAAGGGAGATTGAGGTCTTGGGTGAGTCTGGGTCTGAAAAAATTTTTTATCTTTATGATTGATTAAAATTAAACTACCGGTATAGATCGTGCCATCCACGAAGACGCGCCCCACCATTCTTCCGCTAATGTTTGAGTGTTATCGGTACACGCTAGATTATACATAAGTGCACACGCACACTACAATAATGATGCTCGGATCAAACCCCCCGCACCCCGCGCGACCGAGACCAAATATTGGTGGGGCGCGTCTTCGTGGATGAAACTATTTATACTCATCTATCCGAGACTAGCAAAACCAAAAGTAGAATATTATTTTAGGAATATCTATCAAGGAAGGAAGGATATCCCTAAGTCACAGAAAAAAATAGATCAATCTGCCATATTGTACACTAAAATTTACCTTCTTCAACACTCTTCGCTTTTTTTTGCATCCCGACCACACAAGGACCTTTAGCCAGCGACCAAGAGGGAACAGGCACCTCCTCCCTCTTTATAGGTTCCAGAATATTCCTCCTAGACCTCAAAACCAACGGCAAATCGCCTCTAGAAAAATCCCTCCCAACCTCCCCATTTTTGTTGATATTTTCATGCGGCAACACTGTTTTATCTTTTATTTCTTGTGGCAATACTGCTTCTATTTTCGATATGTGGCCTTCGACTGTAAATATTTCTTTGTCTTTAACATTTAATATTGGTTTTATATCGTCTGAAGCATTAGTTTCAGTGCTGTCTTGCTTTATGAGCCCATTTTTGGGTGATATTGAGTCTATATTATGAGGTACACCGTTGAGTTTGGGAGTGCCGTTTTCTAAAGACAATGGAGGAGCAGTAGCCATGTATTGGCTGTACATATTGCCTATTAGCTCTTCGGTGCGTCTGAAAATAATAAAAATCATTAGATCATTTTAGTTTCCAATGCAGGAGCACATCTCTCTCGCTCTCTCACTCTCTCTCTCTAATTTACCAGATTTCGTACGCGTCACAGAAACATCGGGATAAAAACTAGGTATCTGTTTTCCTAGAGTCAAAGGGACTATTCCCACCTCTCGTTCCCACCGCTGCAACTCTTGTGTAGCCAGGATCTACAGCTTGACCGCCAATAAAAACCCAACCAGTGAAGGCCAAGTTTGTCCCGGGGGAAAGTTAAACTGTCATTGGACCCGCAACGAAATTTATCAGAAGAATTAAGGAGCTCGAAGTTAAGGTTCGAATTCCCTCCAGTGCAAAGCGGAGGCCTTTGACCAGACATCATTTGGCTGAAACGAACGAATATTAGTGGGGCAATAGAATATTATTTATTTACTTACCTAGTAAGAGGTATAATGACGGTCTGTGCAGCGCCATTAGAAGTAGGATGGTAGGCGTTGTGGCCAAAACTGTCGAGGGCAGAGCTGCCTGTCACCTGGACATTACATACAGTTTATGTGACCCGCCCCGGTTTCGCACGGGAGGTACATGGTTTTACACATAAAAACCTTCCATTTGAATCACTATCTATTGCAGAAAATCGCACTAAATTCCGTTGCGCAGTTTAAAAGATGTAATCTCACAGACAGAGTGACTTTGGGTTTTTCCACTATTGAACAAAAAGTTCACTAATCCCCGTCAACGGGGAATAGTGAACTTTTTGTTCCCGTAATCCCCGTTAACGCCAATTGGAGCTTATAACTAACAAGTCAATAAACCCCGTTATATTAGGATTTTATGTTTAACATAATGGGGATTAATGAACTTTTTAGTTAATTAATCCCCATTATATGCTCCAATTGGCGTTAACGGGGATTAGTGAACAAAAAACTCACTAATCCCCATTGACGGGGATAGCGTTGACTAGTGGAATAAACCTGATTTTATTTAAACTATGAAAAAATTTCTGTAGTTCTCTGTTCGTAGCTTTACGTCTACGCACTACGCATACGTAGCATTCCGTAGTCTTCGTAGTGTTCCATAGCTCGTAGCGTTTCGTAGTTAGTGCGGTAGCTTAGCTTTTTTCATGAGACCTATGTATTTAGTTACTTGAACTAAAGCCTGGTCCGTGAGCACGTAGAATTTTGTCCAATGACCCCAAGCTACCCATCCTTATCGCTCGCGCGTAATTATGGTGCTGTCGCGCTCGCACACTCACTGCGGGCGCTTGTCGCACAGTCGCGACAGCAATATAATTACGCGCGTGTGATAAGGATGGGTAGCTTGGGGTCATTAGACAAAATTCTACGTGCTCCCGGACCAGGCTTTAGTCAAGCACTTAACCCAGTTAGTGCCTGAGGTATGGGAGGGTAGGGGTGACAATGACATATTATAACGTGACAGGCACACAAATCTCAAATCTGAGATCTCGCTGACGTTTGACCTTCACAAACACACCTCTCGTGCCAATGAGGGCTATCGTTTTAGCGCTCACCAGTTAGCGCCACTGTAGAGTAAGGTCCTGTCACTTGCTAGTAGCGAAGACAGTGGCACCAACTGGTGAGCGCTAAAGTGGTAGGAGGACTATCGCATTTGCACTCATCAGGATGGCGCCACTGTAGAGTAAGGTCCTGTCAATCGCCAGGGGTGCCAACTGTTAAGTATAAAAACGATAGCCCTCATTCCATACCTCATGCACTAAGTTAAGCGCTACATCTTTGGTAGGTACATTTTTGAACTCACCTCCATGACGCCAATTTGCGTTGTACGAACGTGGTATGGAAAATTCTTATTTGCAAACACTGGTAGCGTCAATAACTGAAAAAAAAACAATATTTATTAATGCTGTAAAACCAAAATAACTAAGGCTGGGTTGCACCATCTTACTTTAACTTTGACAAACGTCAAACATCTGTCAAACTCCATACAACTCAGCCTAAGAAGAAACAGTTGTGTTTATTAATGTATAAGTATGTATATTAAGATATAATTTTTAAATAAGATTATTAAGTAGTAGGTAATTTGTTTTGGTACAAATTACTAATAGTTAGGTTAGCCTCTCGTACTAAGCATAATAATATAGGTACTTGTGTCACGAGTGAGCTCACCACAATAGTCGAGCGTCAGGGTTCGAACCCGCGTTCTTCGGATTACGAGTCGGCCAGTCCGACCCCTTCACCGTTAGGCTATCGTGGCTTCAATACAAAATTCTATAATCATCATCATCATCATCATTATCATCATCATCATCTCAGCCATACGACGTCCACTGCTGAACATAGGCCTCCCCCAATGCTTTCCATGTTGCCCGTTTGGCACCCACAAGGTGGACCGACGACATCATATAGGTAGCAGGAAGGCGCTGGACGCAGGCCGCTACCAACCGGGCAACATAGAATTCTATAATATTTAAGAAAATAACTTACTTATCAAATAGATTTCAAACAAAATACTTACTAAAAACATGATATGCCCGCTAAATGTGATAAATAGTAGTACAGCTATTACTACGCTTTCTCGTACCCACTTATCTGAAAACACAAAAGTTTTTAGACTCTAAACATACATTAGACACAACCCAGTCGAGTTAACTGCGCACCTGGGGGGCGTGACGTCACATTGCCGCTGTCTGGTACGGACAGGGCGAACGCGGGGAGGTGTGCGGGTGAATGCGAGGGAGAGCCGCATTCCAGCGAGGTGCGCCGTTAAGCCTTGATCACACGTACCGAGCAAACGGGCGAGACAGTGCTCCCGGCCGAGTACTCGGTGTGTATGAACATTACGCCGAGGGCTCGGCCGAGCGCTCCAGTAAGTGACTCGCTCACCCAACTGTCTCGACCGAGTAAACATTTTACTGTCTCGCCCGTTTACTCGGTACGTGTGATCAAGGCTTTAGCTCGATCGGGTTGTAGGTAAGGTACAGTAGGGCACAGTTTCAGCTACCCATTTATTTTTCTCTCGCTGTGATCAAATGGCTATTCTTTGCGATAGAACGAGAAATGACCGAAAATGGGTAGCTGGAACTGTGGCCTATAGTACTTATCAAGAGATAATGTAAATAAATAAATAAATAAATTGTTTAAACTCACCAATATAAGAATTCGCGGTTAAAATAAAAAGAGGTCCCGCGTAAAACCAGAGAGTCCCACAAATAAAGAATGGGCAGTAGAAGGTATTCTGCAAAAACATTATAAAATTATTAACCTAACTTACTACCCGTTCGCGCTAAGTTTGCCGGTCCGTGGAATGCGCGTCCGGGTCCTCCAACCGCGATTAAACGCAATTATCTAGTTAGTGATGAAATGCAATTAATGTGTCTTATTTTACGCAAATACACAATTTTTATCAATAATAATAAATAAAAAATATTTTAAATATAGTTTGTTATAGTTATAGACGCTTCCCTTCGAGTGACGTCATATCGCCAGCGGCAAACTTAAAGCGAACGGATAGTAGTTATAAAAGCATTAGAAATCAGAACTTTTTGCATCCACTAAGAAGGTATTATCTTGATCCTGAACATTTAAAGGTAACCTGGAGTAACCCTTTGTCCTGAATTCATGAACCGACACTAGCTCACAACGAGAACTTAAAAATTTCTAGGTTAAGCTCAGCGCGGGTTTTTCAAGTGAAAGGCACATAAACAATAAACAAAAGAAAATTAAGTATGTAACGTGTCCAATCTTGGAATCCCTCCTCATTCCGGACCATAAAGTCGTCTATTACGAATATTATATTATAGAACCATAAAAGATCTCACACTAACCTTTTCTGGATATTTTCTGACGGTGAAAAATGTGGAATAAGCAAAAACACACCACGCGAGTATCCTTAGAACTATCAGCCCATAGCCTGCAGGGCTCTCGTATAAGTATAACACCTCCCCTGGATCGAAGGCCTAAGGAAAAAACATTTATATGCACAAAAGAGTAAATCAAAACCATGTGAACTTATAGGAAAAAAAAGGCTAAATGTCAGTGACAATTTAGACAACATCTTTGATTGAAAAAAAATCTACATGCAGAAATTTATTAGTTACTTATGCAACTGTCTGTGAATATAATAATTATTACGAAACAATTGACTTCCTTATGTGCAAATTCAATAAAACAAGAAATTTTGAATTGGGTCCTAAATTGGTTAATTAAAATTTGATATTATTAGGAACTGGTCCCAAAACATGTCCCCTGAAGCACACCTCATGCTATATCAGCGGCTGGTTTACGGAATCAGTGTGGAAAATGTAAATACCACCACCATAGATAAATAATTATAGGTTATACTCTACATAAAATGCCTACACGCACCTTTATTTAAGTCGACTCTTAGAAGACTTTTTTGTCGCAGGCCTTACCCAAACCAAAATTAGTTTTCTTAAAGTAGATTTAGCAATATCTTACCTTAGCCTGGTATATAAACAGGACAATATAAGTGACGATATAGCTGCACATGAAAACAGTCAGTTTGACCGTGAACGCGACCTTGAGCCGCCCTCGCGTTATGGTGTACCCTTTAGCCATCAGGATCAGCAGGAGAAGGAAGGTAGTCTCAGATATGCCGGTGAAGAATAACCCTGGAAGGAAATCAGTCTTTTATTTTTGGCTAAAAAGCGCTTTCATATGTTTCAATTAAACTTTTCAACTGCTTCAGAGGGCTGAGTGAGAATTTACATCAAACGTCGGCACTACAAGCTGTAGATCCTGACTACACAGGAGTTGCAGCGGTGGGGACGAGAGGTGGAAATAGTCCCGTAAACAATGTAGGCCCTTAATTTAAATATCGAATCCTTTACTCACCAACAGTCTTCACACTATAGCTTCCCACCCCATTTGAAGCGTAGCGTATATTAGCCAAAGTCTGAAGCAGCACACCCAAGTGTTGTGACGCTATCGATGCTAGAAACAGCTTGTATGTGGAATGTAGCAGATGTCGACACTTGAGCTCCACGCTGCACATCACTACTGCTATCATAACTATGACGTAAGCGAAGGTATAGGCTAGAAGGACTGGGAGAACATCTGTGGAAGAAAGAAGTCAATTAGAGCATTTTAACACGTCGCACATATATCAACCCGGAAAGGGATCGTAACCGTATCAAATCGAGGCGCTCAGTATTCTTTGTATGAAACTCCATAGACTGCAACGCACACTTATCCGCACTGTAACGTAAACGCCTCGCAATTGACAGCTCGCGTAAGGCGATACGGTGTTGATTCCTTTCCGAATTGATAAGTCTGTTATGAGCTTAATGCCCGTTTTCACCTTCAATCCCTAATTTTTAAGTGACCCCTTGTTAATAAAATTCCTGTTATTTGTCACCATAGGGGTCAGCTAAATTAGGGATTGATGGTGAAAACGGGCATTAGCCTCAACCGAAGAGATGTGACTCTTTCTAATTTACCAGAGGCAAATGGAGGATTTGGCCTACACTCCCCACGCTGGCCAGACGGGTTCGGTAAATCTGCTGATATTCGCATATCTATCCCTTAGTCGCTCTTTAAGATATCCATGGGAAGAGTGGAGATAAACTGATGTGAATCAACTTCCAAAAATGTGTCTTTTGTTCCAATTGTATTGTCGATGATACTGAATAAACATTTTTTTTCTTTCTTTCTTTCTTTCTTTCAATTTCAAGAAGCTTTATGGGGCAAGATTTTTCTTTGATTTGAATTTGATTCTACTGATCTTATGATCAAAAGAACCTTATTTTACAGTGCACAATATCGTTTTCTACTTACAAAACTCATCAGCAGAGAAATGTTCGTGCCAAAAATCACCGTCAGGTCCATTCGTCATCAGGAACTTGTAACGGACATCTAGACCCTGAAATCAAACGAATCTGGTTAAATATTGGAAAGGAACTATATTTCCCTTAGAGCTTACAGTTGCTGATGGCAATAAAACATCAACGCTCCCTAGCATAATGAGACTAAGGAAATGAAGCTTATACTATCACAGTTTTCGGTCCTTAATTGCTTGATGCTGCTTACAAAGAGACATGCAGCGCCATCTCTTGGTCAAAAATAGAACTACTTACTTTAGAGCTATCAACTTAACATGTATTTAGCGCCATCTCTCGCTCAAAGCTAGAACTACATACCTTAGAGCTGTCGCAGTTGCTGATAGCAATGAACCACCAGCGCTCCCTAGCGGAGCGGAACCGGCGCGAGTTGTGACACGACACGACCAGTCGCTCAGTGGCCGCGTGCCGTTTGCTCTGTCTGTGGGGCTGCTGGTTCGATGAAGAGTTGAGCCGGCGATATATTGAGTATTTGAGAGACTTAAGAAATGAGAGCTTAGGAAATACCTTTCACTTGTACAGCATCTGATCCTTACTTTTTGAAAACAATGACGCCCGTATTCACAAACATCACTATGAGGGCTCCTAGTGCGCGTGGACGCACAGGGTGACACACGAACCAATCACAGAGCTCCATTCAACGCTGTGGGTTCGATTTGCTGATTCACTTAAGCACGCATCGTTTGGGAATACTGGCGTGAGACATGCAGCACTTTACCCTACAGCTATCAATTTAACATGCATATAGCGCCATCTCTTGGTCAAAAACAGAACCACTTACTTTAGAGCTATCGCAGTTGACATGTATTTGGCGCCATCTCTTGATCAAAAACAGAACTACTACCTTAGAGCAATCGACTTGACATGTATTTAGCGCCATCTCTTGATCCATAATAGAACTACATTGCACATTTACCTTAGAGCTGTCGCAGTTGCTGATAGCAATGAACCACCAGCGCTCCCTAGCGGAGCGGAACCGGCGCGAGTTGTGGCACGACACGACCAGTCGCTCAGTGGCCGCGTGCCGCTTGCTCTGTCTGTGGGGCTGCTGGTTCGACGAAGAGTTGAGCCGCCGATATGATATTGAGTACTTAAGTGATTTAGGAAATGAGAGACTTAGGAGGTAGCGCTCGTATATCTTGTTTGTGGATATTTTGCTGATAGCAGTAAACTACCAGCATAATATCTTGGCAAATGTAGCTTTGATTGACATTGGATTGATGCTACTTGAAATAAATTTAGCGCCATCTCTTGGTCAAAAATAGAACTAAAATACATTTACCTTATACGAGTATATCGCAGTTGCTTACCTATAGCAATGAATCATCGTCGCTCCCTAGTCCCTAGCTTATAACACTGCACAACAGCATTTCTGATGATTGGGTTATGTTACATGATATTAGTCCAATTTTTAATGACGATTTCAAATCTGTGATTGAAATGTCTGTATCAGCTCTGGTTAAAAAAATATGACACTTGGGTCTTTTTGTAAAAAACACTCTTTTTTTTAGATATGATCCTATTTTATGAAGTTGTTATATTGAAAAAACTTTCTTTTATTTGACTTCCTTGCTGATGCTGAAGACAGACAGCTCTTCTGAATGATTCAACAGCAGCCAGCCATCATGTGTGCATTCCAGTGGCCCTGATAGCGTCCCTCTATCGTACGGAGGCCCTGATGGATTTGCTCGCCATGTTCTTCACTTAGATCCTTAAGAGTTGTGATAAAATTGTTCAGGTGATTGCGAAGAGAGTGTAATTCGATGTTTATATTACATCCAACCAAAAAAACATGTTTGTAAGTGACTCATACGTTGTTCGATTTGTAAGAATAGTAAGATTTTTTCGGATTTTTAAAAAAAAAAATTAAAATGCCAAAATAACTCATTCCATATCTTTTCGGAAGACTTGAAGATCCTAAATCTCTAAAACGATCGTTTAAACCATCTTGGCTACATGGTTTTGAAAATTTCGGGTCACATTCAAATTCTCTACCACACTGACAGTTTTCGCCTCAAAATGCTCATGTGAAGTATAAACATGAGGTTCAGGTGACTTCTTATGGTTGAAAAGACGTCTACATGCCAAACGTATGCAAGGAATTACCATTTAGTTCAATATTTTTTGGTTAATACCATTTCTGTTCAAAAATAAAAATAACAGTCGTCGCGATGGTTCAAGGGTTCCTTTCAGATCATAGCGGTTTCGTGCCTAAATCTACACATATTCTTATTTGTTTATAAACGTAAAAACTCAACGCATCTTTTCCACGCCTTTTGCGGAATTCAAGGCTTATCTTTCATTTCCACTGGGTCCCCAAACTAATTTTTGTAAGCCAATTTTACGAACTTTGTCACATTTAAACGGATTATTTAAACATATCCTCTCCGCAAATGAAACAAAATTGATTTAGATCATTCACACAAACACTTCTTAATGCTACCATATTAAATTATACAAAGAAAACATAGTATTTTTTGAACTGTCGGCGAATTAAGACTGAATTTTAGCAATTTTTGAGTAAAAGCTATAACACGTAAACAAGAGCTGCTACGAAAAAATAGACGGCAGATTCAGAATCAGCGACGTCAAATTAGTAAACATCATGTATTGAAAGTCAATCATCAGCCAAAAGTTGCAATTTTGTTGTGCAGTGTAACCAATTACCTTAGAGCAATCGACTTGACATAATTATAGTTAGCGCCATCTCTTGGACATAAACGGAACCACTTACTCTAGAGCTATCGACTAGATATGCATTTAGCGCCATCTCTTGATCCATAATAGAACTACATTGCACATTTACCTTAGAGCTGTCGCAGTTGCTGATAGCAATGAACCACCAGCGCTCCCTAGCGGAGCGGAACCGGCGCGAGTTGTGGCACGACACGACCAGTCGCTCAGTGGCCGCGTGCCGCTTGCTCTGTCTGTGGGGTTGCTGGTTCGACTCCGAGTGAAGCCGGCGACGGAGATAGCGCTCGTATATCTTGTTTGTGGATCTTTTTATTTTGTGCTGTGATATAAATCAAGGTCATAACAGGACAAAAATTAAATAAATAATAAATATTCAATGCTAACAAACATTATCTTTTCTATTAATATATTAGTGTAAAGAAGTCCGGTCGCCGAGCAGATAGAATTTAGAATTTTCACTGCGGGCGCCCGTCGCACAGTCGCGACAGCAATACCTATAATTGCGCGCGAGCGATAAGGATGGGTAGCTTGGGGTCATTGTACGAAATTCTATCTGCTCGGCGACCGGACTTTAAATGAAACAAATACTTACGCTGCCATTTACAGGATTGCTAAACAGAATCTCAACATCTTTCAAATTTTGAAATTGACTTTGACTTTCATTTCTATGCGGTCCTATACTCTCCCACAAATCGTCCTCCGGCATAATGGTAGTAAAATTCAAGTCATCTGTAGGCAACAGTTCGTACCAAGTGGTAGAATTTGTACCAGCAGTGGTAGATTTCGGTTTCAAAGTGGTAGTTTTTAGAAATTGGTCGTAGTACGTCGTGTCTAAAGGTAGTTGTGGTTTTGTTGTGATTTTTGTTGACTTTGTTGTTGGTTTCTTTGTTGTTGTAGTGCTGGAACAAAACAAAGAAATATAAAGTTATCCTTTTTTGTTAACCTCAATCTCAAAGTTGGATCTAGCTAAGGATTGAAATTCGCTGCCTATCTACTACTTACTAGAAACCGGGCCTCTCCAAAGCGAAAGCAAATAGGCATTACCTAGGTGATTGCAGTTAAATAACTGCTTTTTACTTAATAAAAAAAAGCAAGAGCCGTGCCCTGCACTGGGGCATAAGTACAACCCGATTGAACTAATTGCGTAGGCCCAATGTGATTGAAATAAATAATAATTATTTAATTTATTAAAGGGTATAAAGGGTATTGCGCACCTCGCAGAAATTCGACTCTCTTCGAAATCCGTAACAGACGAGTGACGTCACGACTGCCGGGTGCGCAGTTAACTGGACCGGGTTGAATTTATAAGCTTTACTTTGCTAAGTTCGATTTTGAAATAAATATGGTCAATGGTCAATCTATTTATTTATATTGATAAACTCAACAGCAATTTTACAATGTACATGGTTGAAAACATTAAATTAGATACCATACCTTTTGGAAGCGGGCAGTTCCTTATTGGCCTTCGTGAGGATGCACCCTGAGTACTCGGTCTCGGGATACCAGTGGGACAGCTTGATTATCTGGTTCTGTCCTGCTTTATTGAGAACAGCTTCGCGTTCTTTGCAGGTCTGAAAAAGTAGTTTTAAAGTTAGGTACATAAAATTCTAAAAAGTCAGATTAACAATGCTTGCTTAAGTGAAGCAGAAAATCGAACGCACAGCGTTGAATAGAGCTCTGTGATTGGTTCGTGTGTGACCCTGTGCGTCCACGCGCACTGTGAGTACTGTTTGTGAATATGGGCGTAAGAGGTAGGTATCCATAATTTGATCGATAATAGGAATGTAATTTTATCAAAATCTATTAGCTTAAATAAACTAAGTAGTTTTACTTAGGAAAATGTTCTATAAAACGTTGCTAAAATCATCATCACCATCATCATCATTTCAGCCATAGGACGTCCACTGCTGTACATAAGTCTCCCCCAAAGATTTCCATAATGACCGGTTGGCAGCAGCCTACATCCAGTGCCTTCCTGCTACCTTTATGAGGTCGTCGGTCCGCCTTGTGGGTGGATGTCCTACGCTATAATGTTTTAAAAATACTTACTCTTGACTTACTTACAAACTTTTGGTATAAATAAGACCTACATAAAGGAATACCTAACTAACATTATAGTAAATAGAAAACATAGTGTACCTTACTACTGTGGTACACTGCTGGCCACTGATTGTCGTCATCGTAATAAAGAAGCAGGTTGGGGATGCCCATGTCCTTGTCATATTCTATCAGGTACTCGAACTGCCCCTCCAGAGAAAGAAAGCAAAATCTGGCTAGGAAAGCCCAGTTCTGAAACAAGACGATTATTTTAGCGAAAGATCACGAATTAGGTAGGTGACTGAAATTTTGGGATTTTAAATAAACGAATAAAGCGAAAGGAAGTGCGCCTCAGCCTGAGAGAGTGATGCCCGTTTTCACCATCAATCCCTAATTTTTAAGTGACCTTTAAGGTTACCTAATACATGACAGGAATATTGTTTTCATAGGGGTCACTTAAAAATTAGGAATGATTGAATTGAATTAGAAAAAATTAGGATTAGGAGGTGAAAACGGGCATCAGACCCTTTGATTCAGTTCTATCACAGTTCTATTCTATTCCTAGATGGGACACACTTGGTTAAAGAAACCCAATTGATAAAGAAGATGATGTCTTTGATTAATTAACTTCTTTTGCGAATTTGTTTATTACAGGAAAATTATCTTGTTTCGTTACAAAAACAAGTGGTGTGGAATTCAATAAAGTTTTTTAACATAATCTAATTTCATTTAATAGATTAATAGCTACATTAAAAATGTCTAAGTTTTTAGTATTTCCTTATACCTAGCTTTCCACCCGCGTGAATTTTTGTCTGTCAAAAACCGGGATAAAAACTATCCTATGTCCTTTCCCGGGACTCAAACTACCTTTATGCCTTTAATCAAAATCGGTTCAGTGGTTTAAGTGACACAGACAGACAGATAGAGTTACTTTCGCAATATAATATTAGTAGGGATAGTAACTTACATCTTTAGTGTCGATTCGTCCCTCCACCCACTTCCCGTGGGCGCCTCCCAGCAACGCTCCTAGCAACCAAAGCTGGACGAAGCGGGAGCGCATATTGATCCAACTAGCCCAGCGGTGATGCGGGAATATACTGGAAAGGGGAAAAACAATAAGTTAGAGCACTGCAGACGCACTGCCTAAAAAACTTACCGCAGACTAGATCAGTTTCTTATTTCTATGTCGATTGTAGTCCTACTTTTAGTCCGGCTCGAAGGACCAATATTGAGGGCTCAAGTTGATTGTTGAATTATAAGAATGTGTTGACTTCCCACAGACTACAGAATCTTTATTGACCGATAGTTTGGGACGGCTTCTAGCTTTTATGAGGAATCTACCGATACCAATTCGATGTTGTGCGCTACTTCATACATGTTCATACTGATTGACAGCCCGACTACACTATCGGTCGACAAAAAGTCTATATTCTGCGGGGTGTCCACAAAAATTCCACACTACTTGAGCCCTCAATATAGTCTATATACTTATCACCTGGGTGATCAAAGTGAACTCCATGCGACACTTTTGGTGTCCTTTGACCACGATAAGAAGTCCACTTCGATCACCTAGGTGATTTTATCCATGGGTGATCAAAGGACTTCAAATCCAGGTGATCAAAGTGGAATAGACCCTCAATATTGGTCCTTCGAGCCGGACTAAAAGTAGGACCACGAACGACACGAAAGCTGTAATTAAGGCAACTTTCTGCTGGATAAAGTTTCAAGATGTTATCGAATAATTCCTTCGTAATAAGTCCTACGCGACCGCTGCTGGTTAACTTTGTTTCTAAGTTTCTATATACATACATAGTATAGAATCAGATAATACGTGTAAATACTATGTTTTCCCGCGACTTTGAGTAATTTTAATAAAAGGTAGCGTAATTGCTTGTGAAATTGCAATTTATTAATAATAAATAAACTTGGACATTTTACACTGCGCCTCTAGTACCAAACTAAGCAAAGCTTGTACTATGGGTACTAGACGACGGATATAAACATACTTAAATACCTACTTTTTTTTTAATACATACATAACATATTAAAGCAAAACCATCTAGTACAAGCGTCTATCCATCCATTACTTTCGCGTTAAAATAAATACCTAATTAAGTATATTATTAGGTATTTTATTGGAAAGAAAAAATTGTGCCAAGGGCAGTTTAATTAGAAAATATTATTCCTACCTAAGTAGTTTGTACACTTAAGTAGGTAAGTATGTCTGCTTTTATATTTCTTGCAAGGACTCTGGTAAGTTAAAGAGGCTTTTTTCAATATTATTGCGTTCATAGCATGGCCACTTTCAATGGGACAGATCATAGTGACAAAAAATCATGACCAACACCTACTTATTAGTAGTTTAAATAAAAATGTTCGTACTCACCCATGATTTTGCGAAACTCATGACCCAAATTCTCTACTTTTCACACACACGTGCGTAATTCACTGATTTTTGTATTGAATAAATCATTTGTTTTCGTCAACCCAACTTGTTGTGAGTTAATCGTTGCCATGGAAACGCGTCTGCGACACACAGCGTAGCTAATCTACCCTCAAGGGTGGGGAAAAGTTAATAATTATTTTATTAGCGGATCATTATCGTAATATTATGGTTCGAAAATGTAGGATAATTAATTAATTGAATGAATATTGAAATGTTGAACAATATTTTTCTCAACTTCAATAAAAGTAATGAAAATAGGATATATTTTTCGCCATAGCAACATGGCAACAAGCAGTACAAACTGCATTTCGATATTTTAGGGCTTATTTGGAGGTAGCATCGCACACCTGAATAGGTAAAGGCATAACTCAAAATAATCCAAAATCGAGTTATTGTTGTTGGAATCTGCGTCAAAAACTAATTCTGTAAAAATAAGTATATTGAGTTGTCTCAATATTATGTCATGTGTGCGATATATTGATTTAGAAAAGTATACAAAATCACAAAGGGTGAAAACCAATTCAAAATTTTATTATGAAATATTAGGCGATCCGATAAAATCAAAAATCAAAATCAAAAGTATTTATTCAGTTTAGACCACAAGTGGCACTTATGAACGTCAAAATTATTATAGAAAATAATAAAAAAGAAAAGTTAGCCCTTATGGGGCACTTTACATGTCTCCTTATCTTTTGGGCCCTACCAGCGCTTCGAGACAAACATATGGCAAGTGCTGAGAAGAAACGCCGGATAAATAGGTCTTTCGGATTACAATTTGAACATTTAAAAAATGGTTGAAAATTTTTTCACCTAAGAAATATGCGTATTGTCACAGGTACCTAATTGAGTTTTTGGGTAATAAATATAAGAAATAAAACACCAATTTATTTATTTCACATTTAATACATCAATAAATCTGACTACAATATCCAGCAGTAAAATTTCTTACAAAATATGAATTAATACTGTAAATATATTCTTTAGTTGTTGCATGTCAAACTATACCATTGATATTTTTTTGGAAAATGGAATTTTCCAAAACGTATGTCTCATGATTTGTAGAACATGATAATTTTACTTTATTCATATTTTTACATATTATTATATGATTAATAAATAAAAAATATAAAGAAAAAAAGTCGTCTGTACACGCCTTCGTTCGTTAAGTTTCCTACCGAATGATTACATTTTTCAATGAATTTTATGATTTCATATTTACCCTGTATTATAATGTTATACCACCCTTTAGAAAAAAGTTTGGGCGGAAACTAGCATTTTAATCTATGGCCTTCTCAAATGCAGCAATTTATTTACATACCTATCATAACTCGATTATAAGCCAATTTTTATTACTGTGCACTTAGATATTATACAATTCCTATTTTAAATAAGTAAAAAAAATAGTTCTACGGGTCTATCTAGCGCTTAAAGGTTTAGCAAACCAATGCGATCACACGCGATCAGCCGGCGTGCAGCGATGGCGATCAATGCATTTAAGTCTGATCGTCATCGCTGCACGCCGGCTGATCGCGTGTGATCGCGTTGGTTTGCTAAACCTTAACTGAGGTATGAGAGAGCGGCATGGGAGGGTGTATTTGTGACGGTCAAACGTCAGCAAGACTTCAGTTATTCAGATTTGTATGCTGTCACGTCCTAATATGTTAATGTCACCCCTCCCATGCCGTTCCCGTACCTCAGGCACTGACTTGAATGGCTGAACTGATTCGAATGAATTAAATTTTAATAATAATAAGGGTGTTTACGCTGTCAAAGCTACCAATAACTAATTAATCAAGACTGAGAGGTGCACAGTCACAAAAATTGGTTTATAAAATAACCTACGTTCTTTTTTACACCCTTCCTAGTTATTTATTTATTTAAAAAACACTGAAACTGTTGCGTTCCAGATAACTACATATCACATTTATTTTTGCTTTATAAAAACTCTAAAACAAAACATTTTTATGTTGATTTTAACAATGGCTAACAATGAAAGTTATTATTTAGCGAAAAGAAAAAAAAAGTGAATAAATCAAATAGTTTAATATACCTATCTACATCTCTTCCCTTTCCTCTAGCTAGATGTTTTCAATCTTAACGACTACCTTACTGCCTTTTAATAAAGTTCAAATTTATCGCATTCGCAAGTATTTCGCAATGTATGTTTAGCGCCATCTAGTAAAACAAATGCAAAGTTGTATTATTTCTTGCGTATAAAATATGATCACGCTTTTGATGTTGTGGTTGATCAGACTAATTTAAAAATGTCTAATATTCTAAATTCTAATAATATATTTCTTTATTATTTAACCGTGTGTTTAAAACTTTATGTAACATGCTTGGCTCCTTTCGGTTTCTTATTATTTCTCTTTCAATTTCAATACTTAGATTTTTTAAAATATATAACAATACAAAATATATATAAATATTAATACATTATTGTACCATGACAACTGTGATATAAAATCATTTAAAATTTTACAAAAAAATATTAATAATCTGCAAAAATTAAAATAAAACTGTAAAAAATATGTTTCGTAAGTTTTCTATAAATGGAGTTTATTTACTTCATTATTGAATTTGAATACAGGAACCATTATTTTATGCAGAGTTATATTTTTTGTATGTAGTTTTTTCATTAAATATTAAATTTCCAGCAAGGTAATAATAAAACTTATAATATTTAGTTTGACATGCATTACAATAATGATGATCTTTTATAATAATAGTCATTAACATCCATATTAATATAAATGTATTTCTTTTAAAATGTCAACGTGAAATTGTGAACTCCGTCAGTTTATAAAATAACACGTGAGATTTTAATTAACAGTCAGATTAGGTTAGATTGTAATGTATCTACGTCACATTATAATCTGACGGTATTCACAATTTTACGGTGACATTTACATGTATAAGCAGATATTTTGAGATCTCAATTGTATAATAATAAAAGTGTAGAAACATTCAGATTTTACTAATTTTTAGACCATTCGGAAAATGCTGACAGTTGAGATAAGCTACTACATAGGATTGTACGTAAAGGGACTTTTTCACTGCACTTATTCCATAGTAAAATTGATTTTTTAAATTCGTATTTTGTTTTTGCCACTAAGCCTTCCAGCTAAATATACAGGGTGGAAACTTAAAGTGATCTCAATTATTTTTTTCTAAACTATACAAGATATCGAAAAACCGGTTACTGATCCTGAAATTGCTTCACGAGCTCTTTTAAACGGTACCAATAATGGGTTACAGAATAAACTGGATCTATCTGAAAATTCTATGTTCCCAGCTTCCATATATTTAGTACAGCGGACAACGGGGTTCGAACTGCCTACCCTCGAATCGGCAGTTATAGCCTCGCTTTTTAAAGAAACAAGCAACTTTTTATGGCATAAGTGCATGAAAATCCCTTGACAGTTTAATAAATGCGACTGGTTTTAACTTTAGGCCTTAAAATTACACATCAAATTCCAAGCTACAACATCAACATATTAATATAAATAATTATTACAACTAAAGCCTCATTTTAATAACAACAATAACTATCGACACAACTAATCGTTAATCTAATTGTAAAATACTGGCGAAAAGTTAGGCCACCTCTATTTTTGTGATTTGCTCATCATAAAAGTAAAAAAAAGTAAATAAAGTCTCAAAAATAGGGGTGGCGTTATTTTCCATCTGATTCTGTAAAATAAGTAAAAATATTTTAAAAACTAACGAATAAATTATTATAGCACTTAAGCACACCTGACGTGACTATAACGCGACATGGGCTCGACGAAATTTGTACTTTAAATCTGGGTGGACTCATAATTTATATTTTTTGCAGGTATTTGTGCATTATAAATTAGGGTGATTTATTTTATTTCGGGATTTTTGTGCATCCAAACCTAAGCTTCTACATTTTATAATATTTATTTACTATTACACCAACATGCTTAGTTAGTAAACGTCACGTCACATTCACGTCAGATCGGTGCCAGGAGTCATAAAATTTCAGATCCATTCTTAAACAGATATTATAAAGTTATAGATCTATCAGTTTTTAGTGTTTAAGTTGTTATTTATTTGTAACGCTTTTAATACTCGCATCAAATAAATACTTTCTTTCTTTCTTTCTTTCTTTCTAACACTAATATTGTATCGTTAAAAGTGTAGTAGAAATAGTGTGAAAATATTAGAAGCCGTTGTAGTATTTGTTTTAAATTATAAAAATATCTTTTTAACTATAGAGAGCGTTTAATGTACTATACCTTTCTAAAAAAATTATACACTGAAATAATATTCTAAAAGATAAAATCAGTTTTGTCAATTTTTTTCATATTTTAATTTGTATAATACTTATTATAAAATGAGACAACAAATATTTTTAGTTAAAGCAAAACTGATGATTATTTGTTTGTCCTATTTTAAAATATGGTAAAAGGAGAAAATGTTTTGATATTTTAACAAAAATGTCCTTTTCTCAAATAATAATATTGGGGCGTTTTAAAATTATTATACATAATAATAATATAGTGTAAAGATGTGTCCACAACCGTTAAATGAAACAAAATTCAATAAATGGGAAGACATAATTCGTGACTTTGTGATGTATGACTTTGTTTCATATACAGGGATGTACAAATTAAATAAATTTTAATATTTAATTTAAAATATTTTGGACTATATTTCAAAATTAATTTGATTGTCATTTCTTCTCCTTCTTTCATAAAAAAATTATTTCTAGAGAATTTAAAGTAGCTTGTCCTAAGAAGTAAATTTGTTTTTTCCGGTCGTCTGGAAGAGATCGCTTCATAACGATAAGAGCGTGTTAATTGAGTCGTTCAAACTTGTGAGTTCTTGTTCTGTGATTTTCAGTTTTTGTGTCATATAAGATAGAGTATCTATCTGTATATTTATATAGCACGTATATTAAGTATATTAAAAACGTATACGCTTAATACACATATTTTAATTATTTGGCTATTCTATAGTGTTTTTGTGCAAAAGCATACTGTGCAAATATATTAACACTTTTTAAATTAAATGCAACCAAGTACACATTTAGTAGCTTTTATAAAACTATAATCCTCATGGTTCGCATAGATATAATAATTAAAAACATAAATCAATTTTGTACTAATAATTCACGAGTAGGCTGATTAAAACTATTTCACTTATGCACTAATAAAAAGTTTTTCTTTTGACATACATAATGTAAAATCCAGTTCGTCTCAAAAACTACATATTTTTTAATTTTCCAGTAAATAGTATTCTATTAATGTCAACACTGAAAAATATTTTTAAGTTAGATCAGTTATAGTGTTAAAAATAAAAGAATAATATAACTTAAAATCGTACATACGTCATAAGCTAAACCCTATGGCACATTATAATATTATATTTGTAATACATTTATGTGCAATACTGCAAAAAAAATGTATAAGCTGATGTTTTAACTACTGTATTTCGACTAAATAATATAAACTAGTAGGCTGTTGTATACATAGACTAGATAATACAACTCTAGATGTGTATCAGGTGTGTAATACTATACATATACAAGGTTATTTTTATTATATACGAAACCTTAAAACTGTTCAGAATCAGTAATAGAATTCATCGCAATATTTTTTATTTATTTTATGTGACAGGAGGCAAACGAGCAGACGGATCACCTGATGGTAAGTGATTACCGTCGCCCATAGACAAACATAACAAACATTGCGTTGTCAACAACGAAAGTGCCGCGCGCTGTACGATGTATACACTCGCGTGCGGATAATGGGACAACAAAAAAGCTTGGAACTCCGTGAGTTTTCAAGGTATCATTTTAATTTTTTTATACTGATTCTAAAGATTGAAATACGTGACACATGTTTCGGCTTTCGTATATACAAAAAATAACGTATGCATATTTATATGTATACATATACATACTATAATGTGTGCATTTAATATTAGTATAGTTCTTGCAACTCAAGTGTGTGTACGTGTACATGCACATAACGATAGTGTAATGTGTATCAAAACTTTTGAAAAACGAACAGTAGCGAGCCATAACACATGTAAAGCTCACTCGCCTTCGTGAATTGCAACAACTATAGCAAGTATATTTCTGTGATGTGTCGTTAGTACTTTTTTAATGAGCTTACAATTTCTATTTACTTAAACCTAAACATATAGGGTGACCTTGGACGAATAAACCACTGGACACGAAACCTACAAGATTTGTAAGGAAACACGATCAACCACTTTTTGCGGGGGGAGAGGTTTGACAATTGTCAAATAATGACATTTAGTGCTGGGAAAAGATCGTAAATTTTTATCGATAGTTATGTAAATGAATGAATGAATGAACCTAACGAGATAAATGAATTATGGATTGATTTAATATTGAAAGTTTCTTTAATTGCAAGACTATAATTAATTATTGTATCGTGTTTATTATAATGCCATTGGTAAATCATAGGTACAAATAATATTACAAATTATTCATATCCTGGAGCCTTTTTGTTGCTCAACATTCTTATTGCTCTTTGTAGTTCTCTTGGTGTTATAAGTTTTATAGGTGGTGATAGCTGCTGATCGCTCTCGAGATATTCATTTACCTCCTTTTCGAAATCACTCCTTGTTGAAGAGTTTGGTACAAACACTTGACTTAAATGTTGAGCAAAGATCTCGGCTTTCTCTTTAGGAGTTTTGGCCCAAGCTCCCGACTGAGCTCTCAATGGTGGTACTGATTGTTGTGGTCTCTTGAACTGCTTTGTGAATTTCCATAAAGAGTAATCATCACACCTTTTAGCAGATAAAGATGACAGTTTCTGTTCAAATGTATAGTTCTCATTCTCTGTTATCATTTCCCTCAGTTCTTTAGCTGCTTTTTCATAGAGTCTTCTATCATACGAATGTCTGCTCAGCTGCCAGACTCTTCTAAGTCTTCTTTTCTCCACAAGTTTTTCTCGTATTTGCAGAGGTATGTTAGTAGTTTTACTTATGGTTTTCAATTGTGGTGTACATCGCCATGCAACTTCCTGTATTAGGTTGGTTATATAGAATGTTGCATCATCTATGTCAGCTTCAGTTTTTAATTTTATTTTCAATTCTGTTTCCGCCTCCAAATAATCGGCAAATAGCACCCAATCGGTTCTGTGGTTATAAAGTCTTGTCTGTGTTTCTCTGTATATTATTGTTCTGCTCAGGGTGCATATTATAGGCGAGTGATCAGAGGTTGTGTCCCAGCAGCTTTCAATGTCTAGATAGTTGTCGGAAAAGCCCTTTATGATGAAAAAGTCCAACAGATCAGGAATCTTATTCGGATCTGATGGCCAGTAGGTAGGCTCACCAGTAGATAATGATGATATTCCGAGGTTGTCCATACATCTCTTCAGCTCCCTGCCTCGGGTGGTTGTCAATCGTGACCCCCAGTGTGTGTGTTTACTGTTCCAGTCTCCTCCACAGATGAATCTATTTCCAAGATCTTTAAAATATTCTCTGAATATTTCCTCCTTAGTATTGAACCGTGGTGGACAATAAACCGCACTTACATTTATGCAACCATTCTTATCCTCCAGTGTGATTGTAGTAGCTTGTAGGTAATCCTCCATGACCCTACTATGAATGTGATGTTTGATGTGATTTTTAATTAAGATTGCTGTCCCTCCATGACAGGTGCCATCCGGGTGGTTGGTACAGTGCACTTCATAATTTTGTAGTTTAAACATTTTTTTAACATTAAGGTGTGTTTCAGAGATTAACATAATATCTATTTTGTTCGTTTCTAATATTATTTTTAGATCGTTTTTAACTGGAGCTAGTCCATTTGCATTCCATGCTCCAATACGAATAGAAGTCATTTCGTCTTGCTGACTCACTAGTCAGCAAGACGAAATGATACAAATGGGGACCCTAATAAACCTCATAACTACACTTAGTTATGAGGTTTATTAGGGTCCCCATTTGTTGTAACAGTAAGTCAATTTTTAGAGCTTGTCTATTAATTGTTTCTAGTAGAGTGATCTCATACTCACTATGTGTTTGGTTACTGGTTTGACCCGATTGGGTTATATGAGGATTTTGATTTCCTGTTATGTTGTAGGTGCCTGAACCTCGTGGTTTATTACCATTCTTCAATACTTCACTATAGGAATGTGTATATTTATCTGTGATATTTGATTCGCTTTGGTCTCGTGTTAGGGGTACCCAGTTTTCTCCACCAATGGTGTTTGTGACAGTCGGTTGCGCCTGCNTAAATATTTCATAGATCAATAGTAATTTTCCTTATTTTCATTCTTTTTTTTGCGTTCCGCTAAATCTGCCGGTGTGTGTATAATAGATTTAAAATGTACTTACGCGTGATAAGAAACATTTCTTGTGTGACAGGAATACTTTTTGCAATAAAGTACGGCGCATTTACCCATTTTTCGTGATATTTTTACTCTTCGAGAGCTGGCGTCATACTGACAAAGTGACAACCTGACAACATTTACCATGGCTAATTTAGCCATGGTAAGTGCTAGCGGGGTAAAGACGAAAACGTCACTCGTTACGCGTCCAGTGGTTTATTCGTCCAAGAGGGTGACCCATGTAATAGTGTAGTGGTCCAGTAGTTTTTTAAATAAATACAAATTACCAATATCCTTTAAAAAAAACAGATTTCCGCAAAAAAATACTTTTTTATAGATCTGTCACTTAAATCTATTCTAATATTATAAATGCATAAAACGCTATAAGCCCTTTATGTAATTAGGCGAAAATAAATTTATTTAAAAATTAGTTGTTATAACACCCTATATTTCTGAAAGTAATGGACCACTAATAATGGACTTTACTATACTATTTAATCACTTTAGACAATGTCTAATGACATGAGAACTACAATTCTCTACATTTGTGTAATCTACTCTATAAAAATAAGTCGGGTTTTCCTTCCTGACGCTATAACTCCAGAACGCACGAACCGATTTCGGTTTTGCATTCGTTGGAAAGGTCTCGGGCTCCGTGAGGTTTATAGCAAAGAAAATTCAGGAAAAATTTAAAGGGGATAAAACGGGATCCACGCGTACGAAGTCACGGGCGGCCGCTAGTAAGCTATGTAAAATGTTTCATTAATAAACCTCAACACATCTTGCTATGATTCAAAATACGGTGGCAAATATCTTCTTTTTGGTAGTCTATGATTGTCATTTCATCGCGGTGCAATTGTTAAAGCAAATTGTCTATGGTCTATGACCTTTCTCATTATCATAGACAGAGTCTAAAGTGTCCTACGGAACCTACGTTTACTATTAGAGCCATTTTGACTACACATATAACATATAAGTGCATAATCTTAGTTAAATAACACCTAGATGGAGTTTTTTTACGAGCGCTTCGTCTAAAGTGAGACAAAAATCATAAGTCACCAAGTTATCTTATAGTTCCGAAATACTGAACTGTCCTATCCATGACATTGACAGCGGAGCGCCACCGTCAATACCGGATCGTTGGTTCCGATTTTTGCCATGTTAGAAACTATGTAGTTGAACGATGCTAGCGCCCCCCTGTCAATGAGTTTGGTGAGACAAGTCAATGTAGGTCATCTAAACATACGTTTTCACTAGTTGACTTAGTCAACCGTCAGAACGCATGGGAAAAACTAAAGCAGTGGTCTCGTGCCTCACTTTTCTAGCGCTTACTCGGTTTCTAGGCGTTATAATTCTACGTGCATAATACATTTAAACATTTATAACGTAACAACAAATAAGCTACAGTGTCACCCTGAATTGTGATCTATGCTTTGGGTGACAGGGTTCAAAATAGGCTGTTAGATACATCGGCCACGCCCCCAGTTTTCTTATGAAGAGATGAGCAATAATTTATGATCTATCTTCGCTGTCAGTTCAAAAGGATGTATGTTATACCAGTAGGTTTTCAGGAGACACAAAAAACTGTATATTTTTAAAGTATTTGACATATACGTCATTTTGAACTGACAGCAACGCTATGCTGTTAATAATATGGTTCAAAATAGGTTGTTAGATACATCGGCCACGCCCCAGTTTTCTTATGAAGAAGATGAGGATGAATTTGGTTCGAAACAGCGTCGTATACAGCTATTCCACTTCTTATGGTGACTGGAGGGGCGTCATACCTTTGTATCCTGGTAAAAGTAATAAATATAATTGAATAAACTAGGTTAGGTAAATTAGTACTAAATCAACTCTTGTATCTCAAAGAACTAAGTTGTCTGGAAGAGATCGTTTCCTAGCGATAACACTGCTTATGCCGTTTTAATTATTGTTAAACGCCATCTAGTTCCAAACTAAGCAAAGTTTCTATACGCCCCTTAGATGACTTTTCGTGACAGTTTTTCTTTTCGAGGTCACTTCGCATCAACTCGCTGTCACTTCGCTTTGCTAAGCGATTTCACTTTGTTCATTGAAAGAATGTCTTTCTGCTTCTTCTCAGTACATTATTTTTCCTAAGCCAAAAATTGGGACGTGTAAAAAAGTCCTCTTTGTAAGCAAAAAGAAATATCATCATTGATCTCATTCATTTCATTAACATGAGTAGAAAGATCCGTTTCTAAAAATCTGCCAACTTTAAAAATAGCACTTACTTTTAAGGATTCTTTGAACTAAGTGTCTTGACCGGAACAGTATATGGTCGGCTGGCGGTGCACACCTGTAAACAAACGTGATATTAGAGCGGATGTATATGTATAAAATAAATAACAGAAGTGTATAAAAGAAATAAAATAACCTAGAAGAGTCGAAGAAGTAGTCCAGTGTCCAAAAGCAGTCAAATGTCCAGAAAAGTCAAGTATCCAAAAAAGTATAGTGATTAAAAAGTGTCAAGAGTATAAGGGGCATCAAGTGTCTAAGGGAAGTCCAATGGGGAATCACGTGTTTAATGGGAGTCCAAAGGGGAGTCACGTGTCTAAGGTGAGTCTAAATGTGTCACAAGGGGAAGTCTCGTGTCAATGGCGACCCTAAAAGTGTCTCAAAAGGGGACTCGCGTGTCTAAGGGGAGCTTAAAAGTGTCTCAAGGGGCACTCTTGTGTCTAAGGTGTCTAAAAGTATCTCAAGGGGGTGTCTCATGTTTAAGGCGAGCCTAAAAGTGTCTCAAGGGGATGTCTCATGTCTAAGGCGAACCTAAGTGTCTTAAGGGTAAGTCACGAGTCTAAAGGGAGTCCAAAGGGGATTCAGGTATCTCAAGGGAGAGTTGCGTGTCGAAGGTTAGTCCATAGGGGATTCAAGTCTCTCAAGGGAGATTTGCGTATCTAAGGGGAGTCCAAAGGGGAGTCTCGTGTCTCAGGCGAGAATAAGTGTCTCAAGGGGAGTCCGAAGAGGAGTCGTGTGCCTAAGGGGAGACCAAAGGGGAGTCGCGTGTCTTAGGGGAGTCCAAGGGGGAGTCACGTGTCAAGTGTCTCAACGGGAGATCTAGTGTATGTACTAGAGATGAAACGGATATCCGGTAACTATCCGGTAGGCCGGATATCCGGCCTAAATTTACTATCCGGCCGGATACCGGATAGTAACTCACTATCCGGCCGGATACCGGATATTAAAAAACTACGACAATTTCCTATTAATAAAATGAAATACATTCATCTTTGAGGTAAATATCAATAAAATGGCTTACAATAATGACGGATTTTATTTAAATTCCAAAAAGTTACAAAAAAGCCATATTAAGCCTTTCAAAACTTATTTCTTTTTCTGGCTATTCACTCTAATGACCAATACATAAATAGTAAATATCTGTTAATGTCGAAATATTGCCAAATAAAATAGGCGATTTTTTTTCACTGATGCTGATGGTCTGATGACATGATGCAACTAATTTAATTTCCTCTATTCAATTACTCACGATTGCAACCGAAATTGAATTGATCTGCCCCCTAGACAAGTGACAAAATCGCCCGAATTGATCTGCCCCCTAGACAAGTGGCAAAATCTGACATTCCATTCGGACGGATTCGATTTTCGAAAAGTGTGACTAGTCTAGTCTACTAATAGACCCACTGATCTCGTTCGAAGCACCTGTGCGGAGCTAAACTCGTCACGACATGCAACGAGACAATGGGCCAACTATCCGGCCGCCGGATATCCGGCTATCCGGCCTAGCAGCTGGCCGGATATCCGGTATCCGGTATCCGGCCAAACATACCAGCGAGCCGGTGCGGGTCGTCCTTGGGGTCGGGGTCGGGCGGCGGCGGGCGCACGAGCGGCTCGTCGCCGGGCAGGCAGGTCTCCACCATGGCCTCGAGGCAGTTCACGAATAGCTCGCTGCTCTCGGCTGTGCACTGTCTAGGGGGAGCCAAGTGTCTAGGGGAGTCCAAGGGGGAGTCACGTGTCAAAGGGGAATCAAGTGTCTCAACGGGAGATCTAGTGTATGTACCAGCGAGCCGGTGCGGGTCGTCCTTGGGGTCGGGGTCGGGCGGCGGCGGGCGCACGAGCGGCTCGTCGCCGGGCAGGCAGGTCTCCACCATGGCCTCGAGGCAGTTCACGAATAGCTCGCTGCTCTCGGCTGTGCACTGTCTAGGGGGAGCCAAGTGTCTAGGGGGAGCCAAGTGTCTAGGGGAGTCCAAGGGGGAGTCACGTGTCAAAGGGGAATCAAGTGTCTCAACGGGAGATCTAGTGTATGTACCAGCGAGCCGGTGCGGGTCGTCCTTGGGGTCGGGGTCGGGCGGCGGCGGGCGCACGAGCGGCTCGTCGCCGGGCAGGCAGGTCTCCACCATGGCCTCGAGGCAGTTCACGAATAGCTCGCTGCTCTCGGCTGTGCATTGGTTCTGTGAATCATTCAGGTCGTTTAGGGCGCCATCGAATTAGGCCGCTTGCAGATTAGGGATGACCCTACATGATTTACCTTTAAAAACAAAAATATAAAAGCTGTATGTTTCGTTCAATATTAAATAAATAAATTAAAAAAAAATAGATTATTCAAGCGGTAGAAATGCATATAAAAAGGGAAGTGACGCACCTTCGTGAAAGGTCCAGCGAACCGCCACAGTCCGCCGAAGCCGCAACTCTGCATGTAATGAAGTTGCTGTTGGCTCGCATCTTCGGAAGCCAGCATGTTCTGAAAATAAAAATACAGGAACACTTTATTTTACAAGTTACATAGCCATGGTACACAAGATTATTATGACACCCACACTAGGTTAGGCCTCGGTTTCTGAAATTAAGGATTTCGAACAGAAAACGGCAAAAAAGTCATGTTTGTTATATGGGCCCCTCTAAAAGTAGCAACCTATTGATATTAGACAGGACAGTGGAGTCTTAGTAATAGGGTCCCAATTTACCCTTTGAGTACGGAACCCTAAAGAGCAAAATAACCGGATCGAAGATGAGTCATTTCAAATTTCTAATCACTTTGCAATCAACTATATTTCTTTCTAGAGAAATCCTATTTTTTTCTAACTTCTCTGGGACAAAGAAAATACAAGTTCATCGCCAATAACAAATTAAGTAAAAAAAAATCTCATAATAAACCCTATGATAATGTTCTTACCTGAATAATACTCTGCACAGCGCTGAGTATGACTTGGTCGCTGCAGTGAGTCAACACGTGGTTTATACGCATGTCCAGTAAGCTATGTCTGTTGGGAACACAAAATATGTTTTGAGACCTCGTTTAAACTGATATTTCCGTAAAAAAGGAAAGGTATAAATAAATTTCAATGTGTCAAGAAAAAGAAAAGAAGTACTAGTGACAAATATTTCTCTTTGACTAATCTGAACATGAGTCAAAAAATTGTCTATACACTATTGAAGACGCTGGATTTTAATGCACTTTTATGTTTTTGCATAAATAATGACTACAAAAATAGCTCTTTTCCACCTTCTTCTTTCCCTTAAGTCCGAGAGGGTCGTTCTACTGCAGTGGAAACGAAATGACCTCAAGTGTCTAAATAGAGTTAAATGTCCAAGGAGAGCAAAGAATCTCAATGGGGAGTCACGTGTCTAAAGGGGAGTCATGTGTCTAAAGTGGAGTCACGTGTCTAAAGGGGTGTCAAGTGTCTAAGGAACGACAAGTATCTCAATGGGGAGTTACTTGTCTAAAGGAGAGTCACGTGTCTAAAGGGGAGTCACGTGTCTAAGGGGCGTCACGTGTCTAAATAGAGTTAAGTGTCTAAGGAGAGCCAAGTATCTCAATGGGGAGTTACTAAAGGGGAGTCATTTGTCTAAAAAGTGGAGTCACGTGTCTAAAGGGGAGTCACGTGTCACAAATTACATGTAAATCATAAAAGTTCGTTTTACTGCAGTGAAGACGAAATGACTTGATGATGATGATAATATTATTGACTTACATGACGGGAAATACTTTGGGGAACACCACAGATCCCTCAGCTAAGTATTGGTACAGGATTCGGATTTCATCTTCATCTGAAATAAATGTTTTATTCATCTAACTGTTTTATTTCTTTTAATTAAGACAATACTCTTGTTGCTCACTTTGATTGGTCTAAGTTCGCCCTTCCAGCTACCACCATCTTACATAAGTCTGTCGCCAGAGTATGATTAGAGACAATGTTTTTTGTGTTTTGAATTTGGCTATACCGGGTGTTAGGTAAATGGGTATATGAGCCGACACTAGCCCATGTTAACATGGTCATATAAATGGTATGGTGATGTCAGAAATTTGATATCATCATTTTTTTTTAAATTTTCATACAAAATAAATTTAAAAAAAATCCGATTTGTATGAAAATTAAAATAATTAAAATGAAGATATCAATTTTCTGACTTCACCATACCATTTATATGACCATGTTAACATGGGCTAGTGTCGGCTCATATACCCATTTACCTAACACCCTGTATAACATCACCCTACAGCCAATAGGGGCGGAGCAGTAAAGAAAAATGTTGCAAAAACGAGAAATATTATTTTAACTATTTTCACACACGAAGTTACGGGCACAGCTAGTAACAATATACACTCGCGAGCAAAAATATGGAATCACCCTATTCGTTTCGAGCGATCACAAAAACTAAATGACTAATAGAAGACAAATAAAATGGTACCATTTTAAAGGCAATATTATAAAACTTTAAATTGATACCACAGATACATACATAGTCATTCAGTTCTTAAGATCCCTCGGAACAAAACACAATGGGGTGATTCCATACTTTTGCTCGTAAGTATAGAATACTAACCTGTGGTATACTTGACTAGAGTGGCTAGTACGGTCAGCACAAGGGCTTGCGTCGTGAAGTCGGACAAAACAGACGGGTCTAACAGGCAGTTGCTCTCTGGGCTCGATGTGGTGTCCTTGTCCGTTGACCCTTGCTGTAAGAGATAGAAATATAATTTTGTATTAGGAAGACCAACATAGGAGTAACCTACTTCTGAGCGAGGGCGGCAGGAGACTGGATGAAACTGTCCCCCTCTGACAGTCTGGCCTAGGAGAGGGGAGGCATTCTGGCCCAGGGGAAGGGACGCAAATCAGATTTATTTTAGGCTGGGTTCCCTGGACTTAGAACACTTAAGAACGAAATATAAAGTAAATATTTAGAGACATGCCATTTCCAGGGAGCAGCAACTGGCCTCCCCTGCCCCACGTGAAAAAGACTAAGATTTACAAATAATCTATGCAATAAATATGCGTAACTCTCCAACCTTCCCAACCCTTTTGGCCAGTGTGGGGAGTGTAGACAAAATCCTTCATTTGCCTCTAGCAAACAAGAGAGGATCGTGCTCCTTTATAGGAGACTATATGACCTGATGATGTTGATGATGAACCATCACTGACGATGATAATAATACAAGAACCACTTTGTGGGTGGACGTCCTAAGCTGCGCTTTCCGGTACGTGGCCTCCACTCCAGAACCTTGCTGCCCCATCGGCCGTCAGTTCTGCGTACTATGTGCCCTGTCCATTGACACGTCAGCTTGCTAATCCAAGGTAATAATACGGTAGACCAACAACCTCAAAAACGTAACAGAAGGCGCTGGATTTAGTTGCTACCAACAGGTCAGTCTGAAAATCATTGGAGAAGGCTTATGTTCTGCAGTGGACGTTCTGTGGCTGGAATGATGATGATGACTCACGGACAGAACCTTGATGCAGGTCTCAGGGTAGTCGCTGTCTCCAGACTTGGTGGATGAGGGCCGGTCGGTGGCGTCATCCGTGCTGCCTGGTGATATCCTGCCGTCGTCTTCTACCACCTTGGGAAGGAAGAAATGATGTAAAGACCATGGGATATTAGGGGTCATCCATAAAGTACGTCACACGTAAAGAGGGGGGGAGGGGGTTGACAAAGTGTGACATGGTGTGACAAGGGGTGGGAGGGGTCCTAAGTTTCGTGACATCACATTTCAATTGTTTTAAATATTTGATATAATGTTGATTTCATAAAAAAAATTACTTAATTTAAATGGAAATAAAACTAATTTCGGAACTGCTGTTAATTTAATAATTTTTCGATGTGAAATTGCAAAACATGTGACGTCACACTAGGGAGGGGGGGGGGGTCTCAGAAATGTGACCACCTGTGACAAGGACGGAGGGGGGGGGGGTCAAAAAATCATGAAATTCGTGTGTCGTACTTTATGGATGGCCCCTTATGGAGATATTCGAACAAGAATTTTATTTTGAAACTACACTTGACAAATTGTGTACTTGACACCACAGTCAATTGCCATACTTTTATGAGCTTTCAAAACGCATAGCAAGTCTTTGAGGTCTTTTTAATACAATACATCTATTGACATGGTTTCAACTCTATTGTTGATGCTGTCAAACATCCCTATGCTAACAATCTCTATGCTAATAACCGTAAGCTGTTTTTCTTGGCAGGTGAGCACAGATGGCTCTCATCCTAAAAATTTTAGCATCAACCTATCACAACTATCAACATCGCCACCATTTTTTTACGTCGGGAAATGCTTTTAGAATACCTACTGGTGGATGGGGACGACCATGGTCGACAGCCCGACAGAAGGGCGAGGCCTACTAAAACCTGACGGTTTCCACCGGAGCCCAATGAAACGGACCTGGGAGCTCTCGAACGAGCCTCTTTAGCTTCAAGAAGTTCACCAATCCCCTGCTGCTTTTTATAGAAGTTTAAATTTTAAGCAATGCGCATACTAACCTCGATCCCATTATCATCGCCTCCCTGTTCGGACCTCGCCGCGTCTCCAGTAGCGCCGTGTTGCATACTATGCGCGCGCCCTTCGCTGTCCTGTAGGATAGTATAGTTTACTTTAGTACAGTGGAGGATACGATGGGACGACATATAGGGATGGGTACATTGAGGGTGTTGAGATGTGTTGGGAGGTATTTTTGGAGTTCTTTTTGGAATTTAAGATCGTATTGTGATAGCTCAAGATTAGGCATTGGTTACTTATATTTATGTTGTATATTTTTTTTATGACAAAAAACTAAACAAAATTACTAAAAACAACGTAATTCGGTGGGGCATTTCTTCAATTTTTTTGCTTATAATATTTCAAACTAGCTTTTAAAAATACGCCTAGTTTCCCCGACAGACTTTGCCTATCACATACAAAAAGGCCTTCGCCAGATCGTCGGTCCATCTAGAAAGAGACCTGCCCACACTACGTCTTCCGGCTCGTGGTCGCCACTCGAGAACTTTTCTGCCCCAGCGGCCATCAGCTCTGCGAGCTATGTGCCCCGCCCACTGCCACTTGATTTTAGCGATGCGGGCTAAGTCAGTCACTTTAGTTTTCCTGCGGATCTCCTTATTTATTTAGCAATTTATTTTAATTAATATGGATTCCAAAATACCTCCCAAGACACTACGCCACAACATATCAGAGGACAGGGTACACACGGGGTAAGACAGATAAAAATTCATTTAAAGCATCTATGATAGGTATGTATATCTCTTTCTATAGAAAGCTGTGCTTCCTTCTCGATTTGTTCTAAAGCTGGAAGCTTGTTTTGTTTGGTTTTGTGTCTTATTATACAGTGTTTAAGGTGCAGTTCTAAATGTGAGATGTTGTCACATGTTGATTTAGTTGATTTTCGGTGCACGCTTTTTATTGTGATTCTTTTCTAGATAAATGTAAAAATCTTATGGCGCTGAAAGTACTGCTAAATAGTTGCAGTGTTTTTTTAGCATATGTTACACGTCAGCTAAAATTACGTGAAATTTGGTGATGTATTTTTGTTTTGACGTATTACGCGATTTCAAGTTGTTACAGTTTGTGATTGTCTCAATTTCAAAATTAAGACCAATCACAAGTTTGAATATTCGGATTTATATGTGTTAATACAGGCCTTGTTGTCAACTATCATTTGTTTTTTTTTCTCGTTTAAATACGGATGATGGTATCACTTTATGTGCTAGCAAACGAATTGTGTTTTGTGTAGGATTTCGCTTTGAAATCTAAACTATTCCATGCGGGATTTAGGTAATCTATATTTGAGAGCACTTCTATGGGTTTTGGATCTAATATTTTTCACACATATCTGATATTGTAAAAAATATCCATCAGAAGACATGGAACCATCAAAAAAATGGTTTCAATAGTATAGAAAAAAAAGCATATATTCTAAAGATAGTATTTTGTTTAGAATATCAGATATAATAAGAATTCTATAAACTCTATCAAAGCAAATTGAAAACTCTATTTTTGATTTGTTAATTTAGCACCAACACATTTTGTTAAAACTTTCAGTAAAATTTCTTTAAATCTTGTCTTGGTCGGCACATGCAACCTTTTACATTTTAATAGTTTCAATGTATCATCAAAAATGTTTTATAGTACAGAAGATAATTTAGAAACACATATTGTACAGGTAACACAATATAAAATACAATAACAGGAAATCCAAATAAAAAAGGCAATTTTGATACGCGTTCAAATTATCATTAACAGTTAGTTTCCTATATTTTTTGCTGCAATAAATACGATAATGCATGTTCTTGAATAAAGCTTGATTCAGACAACCACATAACTATGTCATTTTATCTGAACGCGTATCAATATTAACTAATTTTCATCACAATTACCCTTGGTGGTCCAATGGAATCTTTGGAGGTGGGCACTGAAAACGATCGTTGCGTTTTGAAAAGCATTCTTGCAGACGCCTACAGACAACAAGCGGAAAGCGATACTACCCGAAAACACGCCAAAAAATAACGATAACGTTAACGGTAATAACGTGTTACCGTTATTGCCGTTATTAATAAGGATGAGGTTTGATCAGTATTCGTTATATTTTTAGTTTTTAAGAAATAAATTATTGAATTTTGAAGGCAGTCAAAAATACCGTTATTTTAAAAATAACGGCAGTTATTCATAACAACCAAAACGATTCACAGACGAATGTTGTAAAATTTAAATATTTTTTTATCAAATAACGACACAAAATACCGTTACCATATACCGTTAAATAACGAATGCCGTCGGAGAAGCGGCAAGGGGTGACGAACGAATACGAATGCATACAAACGATATCAATAACCAATCCATACAGTTGCATGAAAGAACACAATGTGATATAGTAGTATGGTCGTAACATGTGGCCCTACATACTGAAAGGTAAGAGTTTGTTAGTCAGATATGGGGGTAGTTGGAAGATTGTATAACAAATAATTTATTCCCATTAACTTACACACAGTCTTATAATCCTTTTTTTTTTTTCACTTTTATTAATGATAACTTTTAAACAGACTTTAAAAGGACGTTCTTTAGTTGGTATTTTTTAGACAATTTTTTTTTCAAACTGTTTAGGTCTAATACAGAACCAGGGTCCTTTAAGCAATTTGATAACGATATCCAAGAGTACAACTTAAAAAAAAAGAAAACTCTTTTTAAATAAAATAATCTTCCAACTACCTTATAGAAAGAAAAAGAATATAGTTCGACTAATACCACAAGCTATCTCAATTTCTAGTAAGCCAATTCTCGTCTGCGGGGGATAGATAGGAAAATATACCCTATTTTTACGTACACAAGGTGTATTTCATCTTGACATTTTAACACTCAATGGTGAAACAGAGTAAAATATTTGCCATACAAAAGAATAATTGATTTTAGTTCAAAATGTTAACACTTTAGCAACCAAGTACAGGAAGAAATGCTTGTATCGGAAAAGTTTTGATCGAGCTTTGAGCTAAGTTTTAAGGGCCTAAGTAAACTTCTTTTACTTTTATTGCCCACAATAATTTAAAGCTTCAAATATGGCCATTTGAAATCAATGTATCGATTAATTAAATTTACTTGAAATTGGTCAACAGTCATTTAAAACAGTCAACTGACCATTACCATTAGCCTGCTGACCATTACCCTCAGTCAACTGACCATTTCTAATAGTTAACTGACCATTAACATCAATTAACTGATCATAACTATCTGCCAACTGACACTCAAAAACAAATGACATACAGTGTGAGTCACGTTAAAGTGTGCATATGAAAATAGATGAAACTAGACCTATTTTTATCGACAAAAAATAGGTCAAAAAATTTTTGAGATATTTTTTTAATTTTTTATGGAATTTTTCGTCTTCCAATTACTTATTGTAAAGAAAACGTAATAACTTTTAAACTAAGCGGTATATCCTGATAAAATAAAAACAGTAATAATGCTAAATAACAGGCAATACTAAAACAATACATAAAATACACAAAAAATGCCAACAAATAATAAAAAATGATACTTTTTGAAAAAAATCTGCTTAAAAATTCGTATTTTTTTGGTTTTTTGATAAATTTCTCCAAAAAATGCCCCTATAACAGATGATTTTTATTACTTTTTATTATTCTCTATCGTATTACTTTTGTAAAACTAAAAATCGCATGTCTCTATCCCTATCACAACATTTGCTATGATCGTTTGAAAAAAGGCCTGCCACCACATTTTTCTCCGCTACAGGTAGAGACAATTTTAATTTTAACTAAAATGCTTATTTTACTTCGGAATCTTTTGTTTTTATTTGAAATCTAACTTGTCTTTATCAAAATTACAAATCTAGAGTCACTTTCAGTTTCGTTGTTCACGAAGCGTTGAATGGCGCGCCCGGAGAGGCTTAGTTCAAACGATCATTGCAAACGTTGTGTTAGGGATAGAGACATGCGATTTTTCGTTTTACAAAAGTAATACGATAGATAATAATAAAAAGTAATAAAAACCACCTGTTATAGGGGCATTTTTTGGTGAAATTTATCAAATAACCAAAAAAATACGAATTTTTAAGCAGATTTTTTTCAAAAAGTATCATTTTTTATTATTTGTTGGCATTTTCTGGGTATTTCATGTATTTTTTTAGTATTGCCTGTTATTTAGCATTATTACTGTTTTTCTTTTATCAGGATATACCGCTTAGTTTAAAAGTTATTACGTTTTCTTTACAATAAGTAATTGGAAGAAAAAAAATTCTATAAAAATAAAAATAAAAATCTCAAAAATTTTTTGACCTCTTTTTTATCGATAAAAATAGGTCTAGTTTCATATATTTTCATATGTACACTTTAACGTGACTCACACTGTATAATCAAATTAAACTTCAAATATCGAATCCCTTGCAGACGGCTCTATATACCAAGACCGCGCTAACACCGACTGGGGGCCACGTGGCCCCCGCACATTACCTGGTGGCCCATCGCGCTCAGGTGCGGCGAGTGGCCCCCGCTGCCTGATTGCTGCATGGTGGGGGACTTGCCTGGGGGAGAAAAGCAAAGTAAGTAATACTCATAAAAGATTCATAAAACTCATTTATTTTTAGTTATTATAATTTTTTAGCGTTAAGAGTCGCATCTCAAACTAATTTTAAAATTATAAATAACTTGAAAAAGTCGAACTGCCTAAGGCGGGAATTGAACCCACGGCCTTCGCTTGCTGGGCGACTGCTCTTCCAACTGAGCTACTTATTTATTTTTGCAAATAGGCTTTAAAAAGCACTTTTACACGTCCCAGTATTAACCCTACCACTGCTTCGGGACAATAAATGGACCAGTAACGTGTCAATGTGACAATTTCAAATTCACACACGATACTTGCTTAAGTGTAGCAGCAAATCGAACGCACAGCGTTGCATAGAGCTCTGCGATTGGTTCGTGTGTCACCCTGTGCGTCCACGCGCACTGAGAGACCTCATAGTAATGTTTGTGAATACGGGCTTACGGGCGTTGATGTCTATGGTAAGATGACTGCAGGAACATTATTATCTGTGCACTCCTAGCATAATGAAGTACATTACATTGCGCAGATTTTATCAGCACAAATAGGCTAGTTTAAAAAAAACTTAGTCCGTCAATTACATTATCAAAAAATATTGGACGTGTATATTTTTATCTGTCAATCAATCAAGTAATTCCGAAGTTATGATGCGTTGAAGTTCCGCATGACGTCACAGAGTGCTACACTTTTAAGCCTGCCTTGACGCACTTTATCTCTTTCAATTTCTTTTCCTTCGGGCCTGATCATCACTTACCATCAGGTGAGATACAGGCCAAGAGCTTCCTCGACGTGGATAAAAAAAATATTTTTATTTAGGAAAAGGCGTGTTTTGAATGACTGACACATGTCATCATCACTTTATGAAATTACCCTCCGTATTTTAGACCAGTAAAACCTATCATAACATATTATGCCACTCACCCCCATGCGCCGAAGTGATGGCAACTTGGTCCAGTATATCCCATGACTTCTGGCGGCGGCTGCACACCGAGTGGGTAGACGTATTTGATGGCGCCGACATCGATAGCTGCGAGGAAAAGTACTACAAGTAAGTTAATAAAAAGTTTGTCAAGATGTTTGCAAAGATGTTTGTACATAAACTTTACAAAGCAACATCTTCGCAAATACGATCTCACCCGACTATAGACATGTATCAAGATGTTTGTGCACACATTTATGGGAAGAACTAGGACAAGGACATCTGAGAGAAATACTGCGCGAATGTTAGTACCTATAAATAAAGTGTGTCAAAATGACTTCTACTCGGTGTGCAGCCAACGACAGAATCTGTCGTTGGCTGCACACCGAGTAGACGCGGTTTATGGCGCCAAAATCGATAGCTGCGAGGAGAAGTCCTACAAGTATGTTAGGAAAAACATTGCCACAGATGTGTGTAAAGATGTTTGCAAATATGTTTGTACATAAGGTTTTGGATGGTAAGTCTTGCTCAGAAATGTGGCAAGATGTTTGCAATGATGTTTATACACAAGTATTTTAATAGTAACTTAGCAAATACAACTCCCGGTATGTAGCAATATGTGTAAACACTTGTTTGCACATAAGTCTCAGATATGGGTCCAGATGTGTACATACAGCTGTGTCAAGATGTTTTTACATACGTTTATGGGAAGTAACTATAACAAAAAATTAATAATACACAACTCGGCAATAGAAATGTGTCGGAATGTGACACACCGCTGTATCAAGTTGTTTGCAAAGATGTTTGTACATACGCTTTTGGAAAGTAACTACAAATATGTGTGTAGTGTAATGTGTCAAGATGTGTACACGCATGTTTGTTAAGTTTTAAAATATAATAGTTTCACTCTTTGCACAAAATTGAAATGTATGTATTTGGACAAATACTTTAACTTTGTGTAAATGTTTCGTCCGTGCTGCGATTGCAGAGACACTAGGCATAAAATAGAAATTTTATTATTCGAGGCTCACCTATGGTCACAAAAAATAGAAAATAATGAGCCACATGGCTTCCAACGTGTTAAGAAAGTCATTTCACGATTTTGGAGCTAATAAAACTGCCAATTTAATGTTTTTGGTGTCAAAATCCCTAACTTTCAAGGTGAGTTACGTTATAATTCACTTACTTGGTGATCGCCGGTAGGACAGTAGTGGTCACAGTTGTCAGGCAGCCATTTTGGCAGCGAGAACTTGACGTGACACCGCGATCGCACTTCCTCGCTCACACACACTAGCGCTGAAAGAGATGACACGATTTGTATTTTATAATTCTTTGCTGAAATATTGAGTACAAATATTGATGCCTTTTATTTTCAAATCATAAAATAAGCACTTGTGTTTAATTTGATTAAGATAGTAGATCGAAAGCTTCCTCGTGAAACCCTAGGCCTTTGATCAAGTGGTCCATATAGCATTAACATTAAGAGCCCCGTACGGGACACTTACTCGTCAAATTGGTGACATAAACAGCAGCCATGTAAAATATATCTTAGTCAGGGTCAAAAAAGTTATTGCAATGCTAACATCACGAACCCCGTACGGGACACCCACCCTTGACGTAGGTGACATTATCAGCAGCCACGTAGAAGGCTACGGGGTGCCTGTAGCCTTTGATCAAGTGGCCCAGAGAACGTTTACATCTTGAGACCCCGTACGGGACACCTACCCTTGACGTAGGTGACATTATCAACAGCCACGTAGAAGGCTACGGGGTGCCTGTAACGTTTGATCAAGTGGCTCAAAGCACGTTAACATCTCGAGACCCCGTACGGGACACCTACCCTTCATGTAGGTGACATTATCAGCAGCTACGTAAAATCTATCCACGCTTGGGTCAAAAGTTATCACGACGCTAAAATCTTGTCCCGTACGGGACACTCACCCGTCAAGTAAGCCACAGTATCAGCAGCGACCTAAAATTTCTAATCGCCTCAGTGGTATTCCCAAAAGTCAATCGTTAATAAAGTGTCAAATAAAGCCCCGTACGGGCCACTTACCAGTCAAGTAAGCCACAGTATCGGCAGCGACCTAAAATTTCTAATCACCTTAGTGGTATTCCCAAAAGTCAATCGTTAATAAAGTGTCAAATAAAGTCCCGTACGGGACACTCACCCGTCAAATAAGCCACAATATCAGCAGCGACCTAAAATTTCTAACCGCCTCAGTGGTATTCACAAAAGTCAATCGTTAATAAAGTGTCAAATAAAGTCCCGTACGGGACACTCACCCGTCAAATAGGTGACATAATCAGCACTAATCAGCAGCCACGTAGGATATATCTTAGGGTCGAAAACAAACTAACATCACGAAGAATATATCTTAGGGTCAAAAAAGTTATTGCAATGCTAATATGACAAGCCCCGTACGGGCCACTCACCCGTCAAATAAGCCACAATATCAGCAGCGACCTAAAATTTCTAACCGCCTCAGTGGTATTCACAAAAGTCAATCGTTAATAAAGTGTCAAATAAAGTCCCGTACGGGACACTCACCCGTCAAATAGGTGACATAATCAGCACTAATCAGCAGCCACGTAGGATATATCTTAGGGTCGAAAATAAACTAACATCAAGAACCCCACGGGCCATTCACCCGTCAAGTAAGCCACAATTGCAGCAGCGACCTTAAATTTCTAAACGCTTCAGTGATATTCCTAAACGTCAATCGTTAATAAAGTGTCAAATAAGGCCCCGTACGGGACACAAAACTACGCAAACGTGGCCGCCCCAAGCAAACTTGGCGTCGCACTGTAGCAGACGAGGCAAAGAAAATCGGCAAGACATGGAGCGAGATCAAGCGCGAAGCTCAAGACCGAACGAGATGGAGGACTGTTGTGGACGCCCTCTGCCCCATCTAGGGGACATTAAACCTTAAGTCAAGTCAAGTCACGGGCCACTCACCCGTCAAGTAGGCCACAGTATCGGCAGCCACGTGGAACTTGTCCGCGTGCGGATGCGACGTGATAGCCAGCAGCGCGAGCAGCACGCGGCACGTGCGGGACACGGTGCCAGCTACAGGGTGCCGGTAGCCCTTGATCAAGTGGCCCACGAGAGCGAAGTGGAAGTTCGAACGGAAACTGGGGACAATTTACAGAGTAATTAAAAGAAAGAAATTATGAAAAATAAAAAAAATACAAAATAAAGTTTGATTCATATTAGACTAAGAGCTAGTGAACGCCAGATTGCGTTATAGCATAAAGGTGAGAGTGCAGATATGTACCATCCTAGAATGCATCCCACTTAACATCAAGTGCGATTGTGGTTATGCATAAAAAAAAAGCTGATTTTTTTTATGAAATATTAGGGCAATAATTAGAAGTAGTTTCCTCATCAGCCAGACAGTTTTGATAGTTCCAACTCCTTGCCAGACAGTTTTTTTTGGATAGCTGCCAAAGCCACGATGACCCAAACTTCATGATTCACCAACATTCTAACCTATATTGGGAGCATACGCTGACAAACTTTCAGCTTTTATAAAATGACGTAGGTCTGGCGTTCACTAGCTCTTAGTCTATATTTGTCTGACATGTTATGTCGTGACACATCAGAACTGAATTTTCATACATTGAAGGTCATAGCAGACTTATCAGCTCGAGAGAATCAACATCGTATCGCCTTTCGCTAGCTGTCATCGCCTTTCGGGCGCTGTCAACCGCGAGGCAAGGCGTTTACGTTACGGTACGGAAGTGTGCGTTGCAGTATATACAGTTTCACACAAAGAATACTGACCGCCTCGAGTTGATACGGTTACGATCCCTTTCCGGGTTGATAAGTGTGCCCTTACGCCCATACTCACAAACGATGCTTGCTTAAGTGAAGCAGCAAATCGATCGCACAGCGTTGAATAGAGCTCTGTGATTGGTTCGTGTGTCACCCTGTGCGTCCCACCCGCACTGTCAGACCTCATAGTAACGTTTGTGAATACGGACGTTAGTAATTTAGTATGCGTCACGTCAGGAGCCATCTTTACGTGACACAACACTAATTGAAACATTGCTGTACTAAATGTATGAAACTGATTCCTTATTTTTATTACCTTAGTCCAACAGCATGGTCCAATTGCTTGAAGTGCCACTCCAGAGGTTCCCTGGTTTCCATCATCACTTGTTCCAGCGTCTGGAAATAATAAAAAATATTTATAGTCGACTTTGCTAGGCTAAGCGGTCTTCCCAAATCATTTGTACAAACATGTGTGTACATATCTTGACACATATCTGTGTCCAGCATAATGATGTCAATATGACTATAGACAACCTACCTTCTTTTCATATGGTTTCTGCGAGTCTAGAGTGAGAGAGATAAATGCATGTCATCACACACCTATGGTGTGCATTTGATCGTGACGTCATATGACATAAGTTGTTTGAAGCGGACCTACCTTGTTCTCAAACTGTCCCTGCGAGTCCAAAGTATGGAGGTTCTGTTCCATCAACGCTAAGCCAGCGGCGTATAACGTGGGGTCGTCCAGTTGTAGCACGGATAGAGCCACCCAGAACAGTGCCTTGTGGATTGGAGATTCCTGGAAGAATATTATCCCATCAAAAACAATACTTGTCAAAAAAACCAAGTCTCGCAACTCAGTTGTTCTACGGTAAAAAGTTGTGAGATCCATGTAATACCAAGTCCAGGCCAGGAAATCTTTAACGTTTTACATAAATTATTGACTTGGCCATCGCACTAAATAATTTAATTTACACGTGTTTTCATGGCAAGGCACTGCCATGACCATCTCTAATTTTCCAGGATTTAATTTAATTTTTAAGGATTTAGCCTATACACTATGCTTTGATGGGAATTCAAGAATATTAACAACTTATGCTACAGATTTTGCTAATGTTAAAAGTGGGTTGATTCATAACAATAGTCCAGTGGTCGAAAAATCCTTGAATCGACAGTGCGATATCAAAATTGGTGTGCTATTCTCAAATATTAATAGACATATCTTCAAGTTTTTTTATTACAAACAACTTTTGCAAGATTTCTACTCATAATTTTATTATGAATATTGAACACCTTTCTCAAGTCATTTATTTTTAGCCATTAGGTTTTAAAAAGAGCTTTTACACGTCCGAGTTACAACACGCCCCACTTACAACACGATACTTCAGGACAATAATATAGGCCAGTGCTGAGAAGAAGTAGTGCTTAATTTATTGCTTGAAGTTGATTAAAATTAAAACATTATTTTATACATAGGTATCATAATAAATTGTTGATATCAATACTTACAGGGTGTAACAGCGGCTGCAGTCGAGTCAGGCACATAATGAGTGCTTCCAGCAGCGCCAGATCGTTGAAAGATTCCAACGCTTTCACTAATATACGGAGCAGCTGTTTCATTTCGTTGTCGGACACGTTCTTACCTGTTTGAAATAAAATAACGTGTAAGGCATATAAACGGGACTATGCCCACCGCACTCCTGTGTAGCCAGGATCTACAGCTTGACCGCCAATAACCCAACCAGTGAAGGTCAAGTTTGTCCCGGGGTAAAGTTAAACTGTCATTGGAACCCGCAATGAATTCACATGTGGTCGGTAGCTAACTTGACAATAATTGTTGACTTTTTAAATCTTGAGCAGGGTTGCCAGATGGTCAGCATTTGGCGGGATCTGCCGACTTTCGTGTGGGCTCCCAAATCCCAATAAAGTGCAAAATATCCCGACAAACAACTTTATTTTAGTGCCCCTTTGTGCTTCATTTTGAAAATTGAAAATTTATTTTGGGAAAATTCTAGGTGGTAACTTAAAAATTAAAGGAGCAAGGAATAAACTCAATAAATACTGATTCTTTTCCTTTGCTGTCTCAAAAAGGTCTAAAACGTCAAATTTTTTTTCAATAATGGTTCACTTTTGCATATGAGTATATCCAATCCATATACAAAAATGTTGCAAATGACCTGTACTATAACGTTATACAAGATTAAGCTCTAATTCCAAGTCAGAGTGACTTGGTACAACACTGGGGGATTCTTACGTAGTTGTAATAAGCACAAATGTATAGTCGGATGTGCTATCGTACATAGAATTATAAATTTTACTAACTGATGCATCCAAATACAATCAAGGCCCGCGGCTGCAGCGCTGGATTGAAGCAGAAAGCGAAACTCTTGGCGAGCGCCGTCCTGCAATGACACAAAATAATGTTGTTGAAATAGTTGTTGAAATTTTGGCATTAGGATTGGAAATAGAAATGGAACGGGAACTGCCTCTGGAATCGGAAATGAAATTGGAACTGGAATTTTATCTGGAATTGGAAATCAAATTGGAATTAGAACAGGAATTGAAACTGGAATCAGAAAGTAGAAATGGAACTGGAATTGAAATTGAAACTGGTATTGGAATTTGAAATGGAACTGGAATCGGAATTGAAATTGGAACAGGAATTCGAACTGGAATTGGAACTAGAACTGAAAATGTAACTTACCACGTCTGCAGCCAGTCGCAATTAGGTATGTCTCTCATGCATATCTCCATGACCTCTAGCAGCGCATTAGTGATAGTCTCCAGGGATTGTAGAGGCAGACGTTCCCTGTCTGTGTGCGTGCTTGAGCCCAAGGCTAGAGGACCGACCCCTGACGATGATGGTGTCACAACCAGGACATCAGTTAGTGTCATTAGTGTTTGCACGTGACACTAAAGACACTAGTGAGTGCGAATGAGACTAGAAACACTGGTATGGATTTGGAGTTGGAACTGGAATCTGAATTGGAATTGGAACTAGAACTGAAGATGGAATTGTAACTAGAAATGGAACTGGAATTATAACTGGAACTGGAATCGGAACTTACCACGTCTGCAGCCAGTCGCAGTTCGGTATGTCCCTCATGCATATCTCCATGACTTCTAGCAGCGCATCAGTGATTGTCTCCAGCGACTGTAGTGGTAGACGTTCCCTGTCTGTGTGCGTGCTTGAGCCCAGGGCTAGCGGAGCGGAAGCCGATGATGATGACGTGGAGTCAGTGCAGGCAGCGTGGCCGTGGTCGCCGAAGCGGCTGTAGAAAGATTATAGTTATTTAGTTTCTTAGAACAGAATAGAAAATCTTTATTTGGTACAAAAATACAATGAACAAAATTAATTATTCTTATTTAGTTACTTCTCAATTGGGTTTTAGATGCCTCTGGATATTGAAAAGGAAGAGAAATAGCTTCCCTGTTCTATTGTAAGCAACTATCCTTTTCCTGGATTGTTTGGATGAGATCGTTTCCTAGCAATTAGATTGTTTAAATTGTGCATTAGGAATGTATTTGTCAAATAAACTACAGTCTACGACCTTAAGATTTACAGGACTCGGATATTTTTTCGACAATCACAATATGATAGACAACTAACGCACCTTTGTCCAGCAGTGGACATCGGTTGATTGAAACGAACTATTTGAAATTTCACCAGAAACCGGCGCTTTTAATTTTATTCATAAACCAGTGCCTTTCAACGGACTAAATGACATTTACTTGAAAGGGGAGTTACATTATTTGCAGTATAAATTGTGAAGCCCTGTGGTAACGGCAGAGTAGAATACATTTGTCACCAACCCCTACTCTTCACGGGTGTCGTAAGAGGCGACTTAGGGACTACACATCAAACAGAGAACGGGCAGCAGCGCTCTCTGAAAAACATCAATCTTTTAAACTGCGATCTCCAACCCGCCTGCCAAGCGTGGGGATTATGGCAAAACCCTCCACTATAGTGGAGGATGCTCATAATCCAGCAGTGGATTGTAAAGGGCTGTTGATGATGATGAAATTGTGACAGTAACAATGCCTTTACTAAGGAGTGGCACAGGAGAGTGCATTTTCTTACGTCAATTGTCAGCGAGATTCAGATTTGTATGCTCTGTCACGTCATAATATGTCAAAATTACCTCTCCCGTGCCGATCTCAAACCTCAGGCACTAACAGAATTAAGCGCTAGAACTATAATTTAATATCATTTTAAAAGCTCACCAATCAGTATGTCTATTGTTGTAGGGGCTCCTGAAAGCGGTCACTGCGGGCGACTTGACGTTGGAGATCCCGAACATCTGGTAGAACTTCGGGAGAGAGAACTCCTCCAAGGACAGGTTGAGGAGGCGACGGGTTTCCTCTGAAATAAAGAACAATTTTATTAAAAGAGATATCAGAACTTTGTGGGATAAGTTTAGTAATATATTTTCTCACACGCAGTAGTTGGTAAAGTGGTGATAGACTCGATAGTGAAACAGCAGTACATTAGCAGCACTCAGGACTTCTTGGCGGGAATCTGAAGCGTCATGTTAGCGGTTTTGTTTTATTTCCTCAAATTCGTGTGTGGGCGACTATTAATGTATAATAATGGTGGATTATTAACCATTGAGTGTTCGTGAACGTCCATGGGTGTGGGCAAGTGAAGCAAAACAGTGCATCGTGATTCTTCTGGTTCTTTCAAGTTGTCCTAGGAGGTCTCAGTAAAGCACCACAACTTTACTGAGACTCAAAGGGTGGGAAGGGGTATCATCTATCATCCTTCATTATATCATTACTTGATCTCATTTTGTAACTCGTATCACTTATATACTGGAAAATGGCACAAATCAAGTCGACCTCGACGTGTATTGCCAACATCATCAAAAAAGAAGAAGAAAATTTGGTCATAGTTATGCTTATTTAAATAATATGTAAGTTGACACTGACAGAGACTAGCAAAGCAAAAATAATGGCGGCAATGGTCAAATACAAAGCGCGTTCCATTTTGCGCCCGCGCGCTTATAGCTTTAGCTAGAAGATACATGGTACTTTAGTTCAATACCATAGCCATAGACTATACTCTACTCATTCACATTGCATTCATCATCATTCATCATCATTTCAGCCATAGGACGTCCACTGCTGAACATAGGCCTCCCCCAATGCTTTCCATGTTGATCGATTGGCAGCGGTCTGCGTCCAGCGCTTCCCTGCTACCTTTACGATGTCGTCGGTCCACGCTGCGTTTTCCGGTACGCGGCCTCCATTCCAGAACCTTTCTGCCCCATCGGCCGTCAGTTCTGCGTACTATGTGCCCTGCCCATTGCCACTTCAGCTTGCTAATCCGTCGGGCTATGTCAGCGACTTTGGTTCGTTTACGGATCTCCTCATTTCTGATTCGATCTCGCAAAGAAACACCAAGCATAGCCCTCTCCATAGCACGCTGTGCAACTTTGAGCTTCTGTATAAGGCCTATAGTGAGAGGCCACGTTTCCGAGCCATAAGTTATCACTGGTAACACACATTGGTTATACACTCTAGTCTTCAGGCATTGAGGTATTTTGGACGAAAAGATGTTGCGTAGTTTCCCGAACGCTGCCCAGCCGAGTTGGATTCGACGATTGACCTCCTTCTCGAAATTGGACCTACCTAGCTGGATCGTTTGTCCGAGGTAGACATACTTGTCGACAATCTCGAGAATTGAGCTCCCAACTGAAACTGGGTAGGGCGTAACATGGACATTCGACATAAGCTTCGTTTTGTCCATGTTCATCCTCAGGCCTACCTGTTGGGAAACTCGATTAAGGTCTTCGAGCATTGTGCCAAGATCTTCCAACGATTCTGCCATGACTACAATATCGTCGGCAAACCGAAGGTGAGTGATGTACTCGCCATTAATGTTTATGCCGAATCCTTTCCATTCCAGGAGTTTGAAAGCGTCTTCCAATGCAGCGGTGAACAGTTTCGGAGATATAACATCTCCCTGCCTAACGCCTCGCTGCAGTGGAATCGCCCCCGTGCTCTGCTCCTGTACTCGGACCGACATGGTGGCGTTTTTGTACAAGCACTTCAGCACCTCGATATACCGATAGTCAATACGGCACCGCTGGAGAGATTGTAACACTGCCCAAGTCTCAATCGAATCGAAGGCCTTCTCATAGTCCACGAACGCCAAGCATAGTGGCAAGTTATACTCCTCAGTCTTCTGTATAACCTGCCGCAGCGTATGGATGTGGTCTATGGTACTATAACCTTTTCGGAATCCGGCTTGTTCGGGAGGCTGGAAGTCATCGAACCTACGCGCGAGACGGTTCGTGATGACTCTCGAAAACAGTTTGTAGACATGACTCAGAAGCGAGATGGGTCTGTAATTCTTCAGCAAGGTCTTATCACCTTTCTTGAAGAAGAGCACCACCACGCTTCTGTTCCATGCCTCTGGCGTAGTTCCCTGGAGTAAGACGGAGTTAAAGAGTCTCTGAAGGACTTTCAGTATCGGTGTTCCACCCGCATTCAGAAGCTCCGATGTTATTCCGTCATCACCCGGTGCCTTGTTGTTCTTTAGCTGTTTGAGAGCCATCCTAATCTCGTATAGGCTGATGTCCGGGATATCTTCGGTATAGTGTCGAGTTAGCTTAGCTCTTGGATCTGAAGTTGAGCTATCAACGGGTTTGGTGACCGAGGTATATAGCTGTCCATAAAACCTCTCGATCTCACCCAGAACCTCGGCTTTTGTTGACGTTACACTACCGTCCGCCGTCGTTAGCTTCGTCAGCTGGCTTTGCCCAATAGAGTTGTCTCTTGCGAACACTTTGGAGCCTTGGTACCGCTTCCACATTGCATTACAATAATTGTTTTTATTGATATGACTAAAGAAGCGTGTTCTTGTATGAGTTATTAAATTATCTAAAATCGTAGAAGAAAAACCGAAAAAACCGAAAAACCCGGATTTATAACTGACAAAAACTGAGTTCCAAATTGTGTCGGTTATCCGGTTTTTTCGGTTATCCGGTTAACCGGTTTGCATGCCCTAGCAGCACTACATTAGGGCTGAGTTGCACCACCTAACTTTAACGGTAACTATTATGATAACCGGTGTATTTTGTATGGCGTGTGACAGTTTTTTGACATTTGTCACAGTTAAAATAAAATGGTACAACCCAGCCTTTGTCCTTTATTTCATGTATTGTACTTAAAACTAGCTTTACTTTTACATTATGGGCATGACTTGTTCATGTTTGTTCATTCGTAAAATACGTTGCTGGAATGAAAGCAACCGATGACCTGTGAAGGATGCAGGAAGACGCTGGATGCAAGCCAATCATCACTCAAGTAGGCCTATGTCTAGCAGTGGACGCCTATGGCTGAAATGATGGTGTTTTGAGGACTCAACACGTTTCTCAGCCCATTTATTTATAATAAAATAGTAAAATTCTGCAACATAATAGACAAACCTACTAGAGAGGCTAAACACAAAATAGGAACATGGATTACCTCACTAAATTACGAAAACACAGAGCATTTCATAAGAATAGTACAATAAACAAAACGTGAAACCTACGACATACCTACACTTCATAATATTTTATCATCAATCACTAATTACTTAATACACGACACATACATAACCCATACTTTTTTTTTTTTTTTTTTTATGTGATAGGAGGCAAACGAGCAGACGGATCACCTGATGGTAAGTGATTACCGTCGCCCACAGACACCCGCAGACCCAGGGGCGTTACAGGTGCGTTGCCGGCCTTTAAGCCTTTATACTTATAAAACATACAGCACAATTATTGATTTTTTTATTGTTTTTATGTTCTAATAATAGTTTTAATAGTTTTAAGTACCCAAAATATTGTAAAGTTATCTCCTGGCCTCCACGAGACAGGCTTGCCTAGTGTGGAGTCCAAGATTAATATGAAAAATGTAATTGTTTTTCTTGCAATAAACGATTTTATTTATTATTATTATTAACTGACAGCCGACGGGGCAGCAAAGTTCTGGAATGGAGGCCACGTATCGGCAAGTGCCGTATGGCAAGGCAGTAGGAGCCAGGAAGACGCTGGATGCAGGCCAATCTGGATTAAGGGAGGCCTATATCCAGCAGTGGGTGTCCTGTGGCTGAAATGAAGATCTTTTGAGGACTCACCGTGGGGCAGCAAAGTTCTGGAAAGGAGGCAAGCGCTGTATGGGATCTCATAAAGGTTACAAGAAGACGCTGGATGCAGAACTACCTGGAAATCATTGAGGAAGGCCTATGTCCAGCAGTGGACGTCCTGTGGCTGAAACGACGGTGTTTCGAGGACTCACCAATGAAGCCCGGCGACGTGCAGGTGCACAGCGAGTGTATGATGTTGACCACGAGCCCGTGAGTGGCGGCGCGCATGGACACCGTCCCGGAGCACACGAGGAACGTCACGGGGCGGGACAGCTGTGCTGGAGGTGACCCGGACAAGAGCTGACCAAGCCCAATGGGTTAGCAAGCTGAAGTGGCAATGGGTAAGGCACATAGGACGCAGAACTGACTAATGAGGAAGCAAAGTTCTAGAATGAAGGCGACGTTTCTGCAAGCGCAGTGCTCCTAAAGGTTGCAGGAAGACGCTGGATGCAGGTCTATTTGGAAACCATTAGGGAGACCTATGTCCAGCAGAGGAAGCCCGAAGGGTGAGCAAGCTGAAGTGGCAATAATGAGCAGGGCACATAGCATGCAGGACTGACTGCTGAGGCAGGAAAGGTCTGGAATGGAAGCGAAGTATGGACAAGCGCAGTGCGGGACCTCATAGAGGTTGCAGGATGACGCTGGATGCAGGCCAATCTATAAGTCATTGAGGGAGGCCTATATCAAGCAGTGGACGTCCTGTCGCTGAAATAATGATGACTCCAAGTCATGCAAAAGTAGGAGGAAGGCGCTGGATGCAGGCCGCTGTCAACCATCTGGAAACCTTGGGGGAGGCCTATATCCAGCAGTGGGCGTCCTGTGGCTGAAATGAAGATCTTTTGAGGACTCACCGTGGGGCAGCAAAGTTCTGGAAAGGAGGCAAGCGCTGTATGGGACCTCATAAAGGTTACAAGAAGACGCTGGATGCAGAACTACCTGGAAATCATTGAGGTAGGCCTATGTCCAGCAGTGGATGTCCTGTGGCTGAAACGACGGTGTTTCGAGGACTCACCAATGAAGCCCGGCGACGTGCAGGTGCACAGCGAGTGTATGATGTTGACCACGAGCCCGTGAGTGGCGGCGCGCATGGACACCGTCCCGGAGCACACGAGGAACGTCGCGGGGCGGGACACGTGTGCTGGAGGTGACCCGGACAAGAGCTGACCAAGCCCGACGGGTTAGACTGAAGTGGCAATGGGCAGGGCAAAACTGACTACTGGGGCAGTATTTTCGGGAATGGAGGCGACGTATCGGCAACCGCAATATGGGAAAGTAGCATGAAGATGCTGGATGCAGACCAATCTGGAAACCATTGAGGTAGACCAATGTCCGAGATCGAATCAGAAATGAGGATATCCGTAAACGAACTAAAGTCGCTGACATAGCCCGACGGATTAGCAAGCTGAAGTGGCAATGGGCAGGACACATAGGACGCGGAATTGACAGCCGATGGGGCAGCAACGTTCTGGAATGGAGGCAAGCTCAGTATGGGACCTCATAAGGGTTACTTACAAGACGCTGAATGCAGTGCGATCTGGAAACCATTGAGGGAGGCCTGTGTCCAGCAGGAATGAGAAGGTAACAGGAAGACCGTGGATGCAGGCCAATCTGGATTGAGGGAGGCCTATTATCCAGCAATGGACGTCCTGTGGCTGAAATGATGACTAACCTTCAAGTCATGCAAAAGTAGCAGGAAGGCGTTGGATGCAGGCCGCTGCCAACAATCTGAAAATCTTGGGGGAGGCCTATATCCAGCAGCGGACGTCCTGTGGCTGAAAGGAACTACAAGGTTCTGGAAAGGAGGCAAGAGCAGTAGGGACCTCATAAGGGTTACACGAAGACGCTGAATGCAGACTTACTTGTCTTAAGGTCTTATGTCCCCTAGATGAAGCACCACAACAGTCCTCCGTCGCGTTCGGTATTGAGATTCGCGTTTGATCTCGCTCCAAGTCTTGCCGATTGCTTGAGCCAACAGTGGACGTCCTGTGGCTAAAATGACTAACCTCCAAGTCATGTAAAAGTAGCAAGAAGACGCTGAATGCAGGCCAATCTGGAACCCTTGAGGGAGGCCTATGTCCAGCAGTGGACGTCCTGTGGCTGAAATGATGTTTTGTGGACTCACCAATGAAATGAAGACGACGAGGCAAGCACTGTATGGGATCTCATAAGGGTTACAAGAAGACGCTGATTGCAGGCCAATCTGGATACCATTAGGCCTTTGTCCTGTGGCTGAAATGACGGTGTTTCGAGGACTCACCAATGAAGCCCGGCGACGTGCAGGTGCACAGCGAGTGTATGATGTTGACCACGAGCCCGTGAGTGGCGGCGCGCATGGACACCGTCCCGGAGCACACGAGGAACGTCACGGGGCGGGACACGTGTGCTGGAGGTGACCCGGACAAGAGCTGACCAAGCCCGACGGGTTAGACTGAAGTGGCAATGGGTAAGGCACATAGCACGCAGAACTGACATGGAGGCAAGCGCAGTATGGGACCTCATAAGAGTTGCAAGAAGACGATGGATACAGGCTAATCTGGATCCCATTGGGGGAGGCCTATGTCCAGCAGTGGAAGCCCAAAGGGTAAGCAAACTGAAGTGGCATTGTGCAGGGTACATAACACGCAGAAGAACTGACTGCTGAGGCAGCAAAGTTCTGGAATGGAAGCGACGTATGGACAAGCGTAGTGCTGGACCTCATAGAGGTTGCAGGATGACGCTGGATGCAGGCCAATCTGGAAATCTTGGGGGAGGCTTATATCCAGCAGTGGACGTCCTGTGGCTGAAATGAAGATCTTTTGAGGACTCACCGTGGGGCAGCAAAGTTCTGGAGTGGAGGCAAGCACTGTATGGGATCTCATAAGGGTTACAAGAAGACGCTGATTGCAGGCCAATCTGGAAACCATTAGGCCTATGTCCTGTGGCTGAAATGATGATGACTAACCTCCAAGTCATATAAAAGTCTTAGGAAGGCGCTACCGCTGTTGGCAGCGGCCTGCATCCAGCATGATCCAGATTCCAGCAATCTGGAAATCATGAGGGGAGGCCTATGTCCAGCAGTGGGCGTCCTGTGGCTGAAACGACGGTGTTTCGAGGACTCACCAATGAAGCCGGGCGACGTGCAGGTGCACAGCGAGTGTATGATGTTGACCACGAGCCCGTGAGTGGCGGCGCGCATGGACACCGTCCCGGAGCACACGAGGAACGTCACGGGGCGGGACACGTGTGCTGGAGGTGACCCGGACAAGAGCTGACCAAGCCCGACGGGTTAGACTGAAGTGGCAATGGGTAAGGCACATAGCACGCAGGACTGACATGGAGGCAAGCGCAGTATGGGACCTCATAAGGGTTGCAAGAAGACGCTGGATACAGGCTAATCTGGAACCCATTGGGGGAGGCCTATGTCCAGCAGTGGAAGCCCGATGCGTTAGCAAACTAAAGTGGAAATGGGCAGGGCACATAGCATGCAGAACTGACGGCTGAGGCAGCAACGTTCTGGAATGGAAGCGACGTATTTGCAAGCGTAGTGCGAGACCTCTTAGAGGTTGCAGGAAGACGTTGGATGCAGACCAATCTGGAACTCTTGGAGGAGGTCTATGGCCACTTTCACATTAGGGCGTGAGGCAGTCATCCGCTGTCATAGCGCGTCTGTCGCGCTGCTAAAGTCGCCTAAATGTGAAAGCGCTCTTAGTCCAGCAGTGGACGTCCTATGGCTGAAACGATGTTCTGAGGACTCACCAATGAAGCCCGGCGACGTGCAGGTGCACAGCGAGTGTATGATGTTGACCACGAGCCCGTGAGTGGCGGCGCGCATGGACACCGTCCCGGAGCACACGAGGAACGTCACGGGGCGGGACAGCTGTGCTGGAGGTGACCCGGACAAGAGCTGACCAAGCCCGACGGGTTAGACTGAAGTGGCAATGGGTAAGGCACATAGCACGCAGGACTGACATGGAGGCAAGCGCAGTATGGGACCTCATAAGAGTTACAGGAAGACGCTGGATGCAGGCTAATCTGGAACCCATTAGGAGAGGCCTGTGTCCAGCAGTGGAAGCCCGAAGGGTAAGCAAACTGAAGGGGCAATGGGCAGGGCACTTAACACGCAGCAGAACTGACTGCTGAGGCAGGAAAGGTCTGGAATGGAGACGACGTATCGGCAACCAGAGTAAGGGAAGGTAGCAGATAGACGCTGGATGCAGGCCAATCTGGATTGAGGGAGGCCTATATCCAGCAGTGGACGTCCTGTGGCTGAAACGACGGTGTTTCGAGGACTCACCAATGAAGCCCGGCGACGTGCAGGTGCACAGCGAGTGTATGATGTTGACCACGAGCCCGTGAGTGGCGGCGCGCATGGACACCGTCCCGGAGCACACGAGGAACGTCACGGTATGGAACAAGTATGGCAGGTGGCGAGCCACGTCGAGGCAGTTGTTGAAGGACAGCATCAACTGGAAGATGAGATTATTATTTAGCATTTGGCCTACATTCTACACTCTGGCCAGAAGGATTGAGAAGCCTCCAGGCCAGGTGTTTCTTCCTTAGGGTGAAGCCACACGGTGCGGTGCGAACATTTTGCCGCATCACTATACACATGTGGTATGCGGCGCCGCAATACGGCACCGTCTCTCACAATCGCACTTGTGGGGCCGAAACGGAACGCATGTCATTGATTTTTATATAATATAACATGCTCATTAGCTTAAAAGGGAGCTACGGTCACTAACATTGTAATGTACCCATTGTTATGAAGTAAATTGTTTATTTATTTGTTTATTTGTTTATATGCAGGACGCCGCAGCGTCACCGCTCCAGCGCCGCGCCGCGACCGCACTGCACCGCGTGGCTTATGGAGCCAATCATACAATTTCTTTTTAAACGGTCCTGACTTCAAATCTTTAAATTCATTCGGTAACTTGTTGAACACTCTTGATGACTTAAAACACATTAAATGACCTTTTATGATTTAGAACTGTTCTAAATCCGTGGCAATACGGTTCGTAGTATGCTAGTTATTAACGCTCTAGATCCGATATCCGATTATCAGATTGCTGTAGTAGTTTTTTAGATCCCTATTTTGACGGATTCGGATCGGACGTAAGATACACCGCTCTTACCTCCACTCTAAATTCGGCGACCCCTACTCTTCCAATGGATGTCATAGAAAACTACAGGCGCTTTCAATATAGACGTTTGCCGTGCGTTTGCAAAACCGCACACTAACTATTGGTAATAGACAATTTTATTCCGACGCAGTTGTCATACAATTTACCGTGTGCGGTCCTGCAAACGCACGGCAAACGTCTATATTGAAAGCGCCTGTAGTTTTCTATGACATCCATTGGAAGTGATATATCGTAGGATTGAGATAATCCTAGGCATTAATTCCACTAGCAGTAATAAAATATTGTATGACCATATTATGGTTAATACGTTATTTTCTCGTTGGATGTCACAAAATTTTTCAAACGCTCAATAGGACGCTTGTGTCGTTTAGTCCTTGGAAATGTTTGATAAATACGTTTAAAAAGCTTAAAAAGCCGTTTTTAAAATTGTGACAGTTGACGAATTAAGGATCTATGCATAATGATCCTGAAAATAAACAGCTATCGACTATGGAGGTGTTTTAAGATGAACCAATTCCAACAAAAGTCCCATGCGCTCGGAACACTTTGAAACTTACGTTCGCCTATTTTTCCGAAATATCCGATTATATGACAGAAACGTCACTAGAGAAATTTAGAATGGTTAATTCTTAATAGTAAACAGCCACTTTTTTTCCAAAAGTCTTCAGTTTAATAAGGGAAACTGACCAGCATAGTCGAATCGCCATTCGTGACGAAAATGTGAGCTTTTACACGTCTCCTCCAACAACTGACTATTTGAACACTCAAAATATGAAATAAACAGGTCCAACGCTACAAAATTCTTGCTTGGAATCTAAACACTTCTTTTGGTACCCATATATACTCAACATCAAATAAACCGCACCTTCCGCGACGCGAACTTTAACGATTTTCTTCTGACACAATCATAGTGCCCCAACAATATTGGTGTTATTTGAAAGCCCAATAAATATCCTTAACGAAAAACACATTTAATTTCTTAATAAATTATTAACATTTACCATAAATGTGACTTGAAAAAATACCTCACTTTGGGCCCACCTATGGGATCAATGAGATCAATTTTTATGGTTATAAAACCAAATAATGATCTCACGTGTCCTCTTTAACAGATGGATAGCGATTAATCCCAACTTAACAGTTTTATAGCCATAAAAGTTGGCTCTAGCGGAACTACCTATTTTTTGAAGAAGTGACTCTGTATCCTTCTAAAGACACATTTTTGGGGTAAAAACCTTTCCTTTAATGAAATGAAGGTTAGAACTAGGCTTTTAAATGGTGCCAATATTGGTGGGAAGTGGGGATGCATACGTTTGAAAATGCTTGTAGCGGGAGGTGCGATTTATTTGATGTCGAGTGTATTAAAATTAAATGCGTGAACAGCGATTTATGTAGCCAGAAGCAACTGTCGGTGCGGTCAAAAACCATGCTTTGGAGGTGCTTAAAGCTGAGTGGAAAAAATGCTATGAAAAGTGTTTCGGACACATTAAAAAGTACATAAATCATGAAAGACAATACCAATAAACGCAATCAATACCATTTTAATAATAAACTACTTTGTTTTCATAGTTAGGCTCACAACTTAAATAGTGTCCCACGTAAATAGCTCTTTTACATGCAAGTGTGACTTACCAGGTATCTGGCCAGTATAGCGATGTCGTCCCACATCATATGCTGCTCCAGCATCGCAGTAGGTGCGTGACAGGTCTTGTCCACCACCTGGAATGATATGACGTCATAACTCGTCCAAATGATGACGTCACACGCCATCAGAGACGCCAAATCTCGTCCTCGTTTTAAGCATCTCTCACATTGGATGCGTTCTACGGTCAGGTCAAATAAACGCTGTCAGTTTGCGTATCAATGTTAGATCGCAAAAATCACAAACTGTATAGATATTAGAGTCAAAACTCATAATCGGTCATCATCGGTGCCCTGATGCCCTGGTCAATATCACTTTTGACTGATGTTTGCAGTCAAAAGTGGTTTTGACCGATTGTGAGTTTTTACTGTAAGTCCCAGAACAGACGGTGAAACGCAACTGCAACGAAACTGCAATTGCTAGTTACTTTTGAGTTGCATCTAAGTTTCTGCCATAGCGTCCGTTGAGAGACCACACATGACGCGACCAGTTTGAAACTTTCAGTTTCAGTTTCATTCATCAGAATCATCAGAAAGTTGCAGTTTCGTTGCAGTTGCGTTTCACCGTCTGTTCTGGGCCTAACATAGAGAGAGACCGACAATGTTGTTCATACGTGTTGCGGGCTGCGTTCATTTTGATCTGACCGCAGAACGCATCTAATGCGCAAATCCTGTATACAACCCATAGAAGCATCACATCATTTGACACTCATGAAACAACTAATCTAAATAACAACTGAATAGAGTTCAATTTTGAATGCAAGATCGGCCAATCGGGTGAACGAACTGAAGATAAACCATAAAGTTAATATACCTAGCGGAATATAGCAACAAATGACTGAGCGAGCGAGATGCCACTAGTAGCAAACTGTGTGATAAAAAGAGATGCGAGATGCGACGTAATAGAACCGTTTTTTGCAACTATTTGACAATTCTTTAGCACTTATTGACACATCGAAAATATGAACTCTAATATTTTTTCACTCAGTGAAATCGTAGATGTTTATGATAAATAGTGCTTCAGAACAGTAAAATAATCCTGACACTGACACACAAATGACATCCAGTGACATCCTAAAATCGGTTTCGTTTGACAGCTCGTGGTTGTTGCTCAATTCCGAATATTAACTTTATGAGGCAAACTGTCCAACAGAACGAAATAATAGAGACGTGTAGAAATACAATGGGAGACTCACGCTAGCCGGGGTTACAGGACTCAGGATATTATTTGGTAGATTTGCTAGAGCCTGCGGGCGTAAACAAAACTTTTGAATACTTGAAATTCTTTATCAGTATGTAGGCCCTTTTTGGGGCAATAAAGCTTGCCCTAGCACCACTTTGGGATATTACTGATGCTGAGAAGAAGTAGCGGAAGAAACAGTCACTTTTGTGAAAAAATAAATAATAAGCAACCTTCTAATATTTTGTACAGCGCTCGTACGCTTGTACTGACATTGAAATAGTGCCATCTATACTAATATTATAAATGCGAAAGTAACTCTGTCTGTCTCGCTTTCACACCTAAACCGCTGAACCGATTTTGATGAAATTTGGCATAAAAATAGTTTAGAGACCCGGGACAGTTTTTACATAGGATAGTTTTTATCCCGATTTCTGAAACAGGGACGCGCGCGATAAAGTTTTTCTGTGACAGACAAAATTCCACGCGGGCGAAGCAGCGGGCGGAAAGCTAGTATCGCATAAGTTTGCCATGTACACCCCGTTCAACATGAAAAAAGTTTATATAAATAAATACTTGCCTACATTTATTTAGTAACTTTTATTTGTTTGAACCTAACACTTTAACCCTTAAAAAAGTGGGAAGTATAATAAAAGTTTTACTATTATGTCTGCTACACTGTACGTACACTGCCGTGGAAAGAGTTAAAAAAAACTAGGAAATATAATTCCCACCATATTTTTAACCGTATCCCTTTTGTCCTAAACTCCAAAAACAATGTAAATTCCGGAGACAGAGCTTCATTCATCATTTTAACTGGTCAGTGAACGTGTTAAGACAAGTCTGACGTCACTCACCCGACACACCCGGCCGATGATCTTCTTGCTGACCAGTTGCACGTTGGCTGAAGCCAACGCCACCGCGGTGTCGGCCATTATCTCCACCATTGGGGAACCGAGGCCTGGAAGGGAAAAAAGGAATGTCATGGGTTGCTACAGATGTACAAAGTATACATGTGAATGAGGGCTATCGTTTTTATACTTAACAGTTGGCACCCCTGGCGATTGACAGGACCTTACTCTACAGTGGCGCCATCTTGATGAGTGCAAATGCGATAGTCTTCCTACCACTTTAGCGCTCACCAGTTGATGCCACTGTCTTCGCTACTAGCAAGTGACAGGACCTTACTCTACAGTGGCGCTAACTGGTAAAACGATAGCCCTCATTGTATCATAATACGAATGACATACTTTTTATAAACAGTCGACCAAAAAATTGTGTCATGTACTTAGATGACATTTTGGTAGTTAATGCAATCACGATGCCCTATCATGTCTCTCAACGTACAGGGAGTCCCAAAACCCATAAATGGCAGATGGACGTTGGAGATAGCTTGGCTACAGAACTTTGACTATAGTAGCATAGTTTTGGAGGTAATGTGAACATAATTATTATGACTTCCAATGGATGTCACAAGAGGCGATACGAACTTCTATTAGGGTGGGAAGTGTAGACTAATTATTTTTGTCTCTGGAGTGGCAAAAGTATCTAATCTATCTAGTATCAAGACTAGAGACTCGTCCTTCTGCAGTGATGACAAAATAACGTAATGATCACCTCCTCATCATCATCATTTCAGCCACAGGACGTCCACTGCTGAACATAGGCCTCCCCAATGATTTCCACAATGGTCGTTTGGTGGCGGCCTGCATCCAGCGCCTTCCCGCTACCTTTATGGATGGACGTCCTACGCTGCGCTTTCCGGTACGTAGCCTCCACTCCAGAACCTTGCTGCCCCATCGATGATGCTCCTACAAGTGACTAATCAACCAATGATGATGGTGTCTCACCCGAGTTGACGCTCCGCTGTATGAAGCTATCCAACACCATGTCAATTAGCTCGGACACCTGCCCGATGGAGCCCCATATCTTGGCCTGGACCGATGGGTACATTTCCGTCTCCTCTATAGTGAGGGTGATGAGTTTCTCCAGGATTTGGGCCACCTGCTTCTGCCGACGGGACTCGTCGGTCGGCTTGCAGAATCTGGACGAAATAACGAAACGTATTTAAGCTACATGCTTGCAAAATCTTTTAACGTTTTCGTAACGATGTACCAAGAGGATCATAATTATTTAAAAATCTAATGTCTATAACATAGTTTAGCTAAACATTTTTAAAAATTGTAATTAGTAAAATACCAAAATACCGTAATGCGACGAAAGTAAAAAATCAAGATATGTTACCACCAAGTGATGACATATAACTCTGAAACGTGGCCACTCACTCTGGGTCTACGGGAAAGGGCTATGCTCGGTGTTTCTTTACGAGATCGATTAAGAACTTTGTTTATAAATAAATAATTAAGAAGTGAGCCTATATGAAGTGTTTTACTTGTTGACAGTGTAAAATTACATAATTTTGCCCACACCTATAGAATCGTATACATCTAAGTCTATACAAGAAATAACAATACAACAACAAATATCTTGAAAACTTTATCCCAACTAATAATATTATAAATGCGAAAGTAACTCTATCTGTCTGTCTGTTACGCTTTCCCGCTTAAATCTCGCAACCGATTTTGATGAAATTTGGCATAGAGATAGTTTGAGTCCCGGGAAAGAACATAGGATAGTTTTTATCCCGGTTTTTGAAACAGGGACGCGCGCGATAAAGTTTTTCTGTGACAGACAAAATTCCACGCGGGCGAAGCCGCGGGCGGAAAGCTAGTATTATCATACATACCTGACCATATTGGCTAGCCATGGAGTCATGTACTCCAAACACAAATGCTTCAGTTCAATCGTAGATCCCCTGAAGCCCTAAAATAAAAGAAAGATAATTTCAATACAGATTAAGACTAAAAAATCATTGTTATTCTAAAACGGGCCTATTCCTTCCTCTCGTTCCCACCGCTGCAACTCCTGTATAACCAGGATCTACAGCTTGACCGCAAATAACCCAACCAGTGGAGGCCAAATTTGTCCCGGGGGAAAGTTAAACTGTCACGTCCCGCAACGAAGTTGATCAGAAAAACATAGGAGGAGTTCGAAGTTAAGATTACAATTTTCATATAAACGATGATACAACGTAATATTGAACTAAAGAACCCTTTTTCGAAGCAGAAAATGTGTACTGTACCTGAATGCATTCTTCCAAAAACTCCAAAGTCAAATGCGGTTCGTTGTGCGCCAGTTTCTCACTGATGGATTTGATGAAGATGGTATTGTTTGACGGGATGCAAAGACCTGTAACGTTTAATAAATTAATCAATATCTTTAGACATTTAGGCAGGTATTTGACCATTTGTCCATATCCATAATTTGTCTTCTAAAATCGTCGATAAAATTTTATCATAGCATGAATTAACAAAGACTAACCGTAGCCCGACGATGTCATGAGCTGTCCCTCAATCTTCAAATGAAAGGTGGTAGTTAACGCACAGAGCTGGTTATAGGCCGCCGTCCGAAGGTTGGGGTCGCATGAGCCGAGATTCAAAAGAGCCATGTTGAGCAACGTTCCCGGCACATCTTTGGGGCGAATCTTCTGGTGGACCGTCACTGAGTCCTACGGAGAAATGATACATGTCATCATTATCAGTGGCCCAATTCACGTATCAATATCGCACGTTCATAATCAAACCGTCACTATACGAAATTGGGAGAAATTGAGTTAACATCGCCATCTATCAGCGCTCCGCGAAAAGTGCATGCTGTAAAAATCCCAAGCTTAAAGCTCAAATAGTTCGGCAGATATCACTAGTGTCGTTATGGAGTTTAATGGGAAAACCGGCATTTGTTGTGAGTAACAGTGACACGTTTTAGTAGTGACGGGATCTGGACGGGCACGCTGTGATAGTTATGTAAACTCTGTGTTGAAAAACGTCATTTTTAGCATAAATACGCTTTTACTCCAAAACCATAAGATAAGTCACAATAAAGTAATACGAAAAACGCCTTAAAACAAAAAGTGACAATATTTCTCTTACATTTTTAAAAAGATTGTTCATCACTTCGTATAATATTGTGCTTATCCAAATAGTGAAATATTAAAACAACAAGAAATATTTTTAAATGACTAAGTAGTTATAATTTTATCTAACAAAAATGCCACCAGTCAATCGAAACACTAGTAAAATCAAAGAAATTATCAAGGTAATTACTACTTTGTCTAGCGTTTGTGGACTATGAAAAAGCCTTGGATTCGATCGAGATCTGAGCAGTGCTACAGTCTCTCCAACGGTGCCAAATTGACTATAGATACATCGAAGTGTTGAAAGGCTTGTACGAAAACGCCACAATGTCGGTTCGTCTCCAGGATCAGGACTCGAAACTCATCCAGTTGCAGCAAGGGGTGAGACAGGGAGATGTCATATCTCCGATACTGTTCAACACCGCCCTGGAAGATGTTTTCAAGCTTCTGAACTGGAGCGGATTCAGCATAAATATCAACGAGTACATAATCCACCTTCGATTTGCGGACGATGTCGTAATCATGGCTTAGACTGTGGAAGATCTAGGCATAATGCTCGATGGCCTAAGTAGAGCCTCTCAACAAGTGGGCCTGATGAATGAGTATGAAAATGAATATGGACAAGACAAAAAACATGTCAAATGTCCATGTAGTATCCACTTATCTGGAGACTCTACACTCGAAAGTTTACTGACCTGGGACAAACAGTCCAGTTACGCAGGTCCAACTTCGAGAAAGAAGTCAATCGTCAATCCAACTTGGCTGGGCAGCTTTCGGGAAGCTTCGTGATATACTCACGTCCGAAATACCGCAGTGCCTCAAGACAAAATTTTGATCAGTGTGTGTTGCCAGTGATATTTTATGAATCTGAGAGGTCACCCAAAAGGTGATGGAGCGTGCGATGCTCAGTTAGTTTCCCTACGTGATTGAATCAGAAATGAGGAGAGCCACAGGAGAACCAAAGTGACCGACATAGCCCGCAGAATCGCTAAAATCAAGTGGCAGTGGGCGGGGCACATAGCTCGCAGAGGTAATGGCCGCTGGATAATGATCCAGAATTTAAACCTACTTCTCTGAGCCTTTTTCCCATGAAAAATCACTATCTAGTTCGTCAAGTTCATCGAGGTCATCAAGTTCTGGTTGTTTAAAGGCTGCCTGAACAAGAGAGTACCTTATTTTCTAAGAAGTTGATTTATGTGATGTAGTTTTATAGTAATTTCATGTGTGTAACGTATTTATTTCTGATCGAGAATTTACATTTATTACTGTTACCATTGGTACCACATAATCCAAATTATTAAGTTTTAAGTTCATTAAAATTACTGATTTTTTTGTGTTAGTTTTATTTAATAATAATCATTTTTTTATTTTTCATCGTCAAATTTATATGAAAATAGTGACATTTCTACCGGAATTAATAATACAACATTAACACGTTTTTAATTGAAAACTGTCACTGTCTCAATTTTAGTGGAAAAGTGACACTATTTTTAGAGAAAAAATTAAATATTAAATAAACCATTATGATAATTTGAAAGATAATTATATTTCCGTAAAAGCCAAATAAGCCACTACTGGTCTTTAACAAAAAACAAAACATTTAATAGCATTTTGCTCATTTTGCAAGGGTTTTAAAATTTGAGCATTTCAAATGCTTTTCCTGAAAAATCGACTTTTTTGTATAGTGACAGTTTGATTATGAACGTGCGATATATGCAAGCGATTTGATCGCTAGTGTCACTTTTCGTATTCACGTGTTAATCGCCCGATTTTGTTTCGATTTCGTTTTTATACGTATTCAATCGTTGCCTCCGCGGTATTCACCTATTTTTATGTTTGGTTTAATCGGATGACAGTGATTAAACGTCAAATGACAAATCTCTGAGTTATAGATGACCCACGCTGAACTGTCCCGCCAAACTCAATGACAGGGGGGCGCTACCATCGTTCAACTATATGGTTTCCAACATGGCAAAAATCGGAACTAGCGATCCGGTATTGACGGTGGCGCCCCACTGTCAATGTCATGCATAGGACAGTTCAGTATTTTGGAACTATACAATCCTATCGATTAATATTTCTATCGAAATGACACGTGAATACGGATTTAGGACTGTTTTTCAATAGGACGACTTCTAAACGTCAACGACAATTTGACTGTTTCCAAATACGTGAATTAGGCCACAGGTCATTTCATTTAGAGTCAAACGATTCTGAAACGTCAAGTGCAAATTGGGACCAAGGCCCGGATTCCACCTAAGCGGAGCGGAGCGGAGAAATGTCGTGGCGTCAAAGCTTTCTATAGAATTTGACAGAGTATGTATGCCTTCAAGGCGGAATGCAGCCGATCAACACCAATTTATAATTTGACAACCGATGTGTACATGTGGTTCACAATAAACGTATTTTAAATTTAAATTTGAAATCTGATAATCTGATAATCTGAAACCGGGCCTAAGGCACCAAGGATTTCTGCCTTGTCACAATCTATGATGAGTAATCGAGTCAAGTTTGGAGCTTCATAGAGTAATTTTTTGCGAACCGGTTTTTTAAAAGAAACATCCCTACACTATCAAAAGTATCATCATTTCAATCAAAAGACGTCCACTGCTAGACAAAGGCCTCCCCCAAGGATTTCCGCATTCAGGCGCTTCCCGCGACCCTCACCAAATCTTTTACCTAAAACATATAATCTTGCGAACTCTATCTACAACTTATCTGACAGATAAAAAGCTACCTGCGACCTTTATCTACAACATATCTGACAGATAACTCACCGGCTGGCTCAACTCCCATCTGTTCCTGATATGTATGATGGACTGCACTATGTTATCGCAGTCATTGTGTATGAAGCTCAGAGGCGTTCCTTCGTTGATGATTGAGAGAGAGAACTGATTGTCATCCACTAGGCACACCTGAAACGAATATGGCACATTTGAACAGAAAATTTGTGAAACTTGTAAGGCACGAAACAGTAGATTTTGAATAAGCATGACAAATGTTACATTCAAGGCATACAATAGGATAGCAATACATAGGATTTTAGCGCCACAAACATTACTATGAGGTCTCACAGTGCGCGTGGACGCACAGGGCGAAACACGAACCAATCACAAATCTCTATTCAACGCTGTGCGTTGTAATTGCTGCTTCACTTAAGCAAGGATTTGTGAATATGGGTGTTAATCATGTAAGCAGATGGCACATTTGAACAGATGAAACAAGGTAGATGGTACATATGAACAGTAGATGCATCTAAAGTGTAAGGCACTTGACACAAATCAAAGGAATATGGCAAATTCCAACAATAAAATCGTCGTAAAATCTAGGCTCAATCGAATTAATCAGTTTTAGCAAATTCAAATTATTTTGTTGCATATTCGATAGCACAAATGTATGAGAGGTGCCTTAGAAGTAGGTAATAAAAATCATACCTCGTCGATTTCCGATGCGTAGTACACATCATTCAACAGGACTGGCAAGCCCAGTACTTTGGTCTTCTCCACCGAGGTAATCTGAAGCGCCGTGGGTCCCACCTGCAAAGATAATAACGTGAATCAAAGATATTTTCATAACAGGACACCCTTCTCTTTGATCTCATAAGAGTAGACTATAGGAAAAAATATGCGAACATCAGGCCAGTCGATCGACAGTTTCAGAGGATAAAAAGTCTATAAAAAGTTATTAGCAATTTAATTCACAAAATCAATTGCACACATTTACAATAACACATTTGTTTACACTTTGACAGCAATAGACAGTTTAATTATTGACATGCAAGGTGACATATCAATGAAGTTTTCAGTTACTGTTGCCATTAAAAGAAATTAGTAGCATTAGTTTTCCGCAACATTGGCGAGGGTTTTTATGTTCCTGGTCGGGCTATACATCTACACACAAAGCTTCCTACAGTTGAACTGTACCTTGATAGCAACTTTAGTGTCCTTATGAGACAGTTTCAGAGCATTGCTGAACACTTTGAGATCCTCTTCCAACGCCAGCGTCGCTCCGGGAAGCTTCTGTTGTTCAACATCCACAAACTCGCTGAGACGGCTGTGGTTGTCTATGAAGACCAGCTTTCGGTTGCCCTGAGGGTGTTACAAAGGTATTATAATAGTTGTAAAGACGACGGCACATTATGGTAACACTGTAGTATCTTATGTAGTTGCAACAAAAATTCATAGTCATATTTTCTGTTAACTGTAGGTACCTCTGTTTCTCACAAAGAAGTAAGTCCATTAAAAATGCTAAATTGTAAAGAAATAAAGTTTCATATCGCTAATACGCATCGTAGAAATTATGGGACCGTGCCTCAACTTTTTAGCCCATATTTCGTATTCGAGTAGCCTAGGACCAGAGTAAATACAAATGAGTAGGTCATCTTCATAGAAACGCACCGAGCGCGGTTTGTATGTGAGCGCGCCAACACGTATGCGGCGCGCACGCACACACTGACAAAATTTAGCGGGGATTAGCGGGGAGCCAGTCGTGGTTGCGCTCTAGGACCGTTCCGTAAGTCCCATTATTTATACAAAGAGTCACCAAAACAGGTTCAGAGTCAATTAAAATACATAAAATTGTACAGCAGGCGTGTATGTTTATGTAAGCAAAATTAAACCTTAACGCCTCTCAAAATACGGTTCATTACATCTATTAAAGTAGCCCTATTCCAGATTCGAAATCAGACTTTCAGAATATATCCAAATTCAACCCTAACACTACCCAATAAAGTCTATAAAAGTATGCACTTACCCGCAACGGTGCCAATATGGTGTCATGGAACTTCGTATATTCCCTAACCCAGCTGTTGCAGTTGTATATGTAGCAGGCGTGTATATTTATATACGCCACCTCCGGTAGTACGGTGAACCATTTCTGAAGGAAGTCAGTCCTGAGGATAGAAATTGAGGTTAAATTACAACCCGGTCGAATAAAACCTTTATAAGGCAGAGGGAATATAGTTCCCACCATATTTTGAACCTTATTCGCTTGTCTTAAGGTCCAAAAACAATAAAAATTTGACTATACTATGACTGTTAGGCCTCAGCCTCGAACTTAGCGGGCAGCGGGGCGGCGGCGGCGGCGGCGCGGGAGCGGCAGGATCTTATGCGTAAAATCAAATAGACCGGTTCTCGAAAACAGCGGCGCGACAGCGGGCAACGAGCGGGCAGCGGCGAGGGAGCGGGCAACGAGCGGGCAGGGCACTCCTTCTTTTGCCCACAATAAATCGAGCGTTAGGAATAAATTTGAATCGAAATAAAATTGTCGCCGTTGTTCAGACATTTCGTTTGCGAATAAAAACAAATATCTCGACAACACAACCCCAAACACAACACTTCGCCGCTAAAGCGCCGCGCGAGCTGCCCGCTTGTTTCGAGAACGGGTCTGCGTTGCCCACCCCGCTCCCGCGCCGCCGCCGCTCCCGCCCCGCTGCCCGCTAAGTTCGAGGCTGAGGCCTTAAAGGGCTGCGTATAGATTGTTTCATCCACTCGGGCGCGCCCCAGCAACGTTTGGTCTCGGTCGCGCGGGGTGCGGGGAGTGTGGTCCGAGCAATCCGTAAGGCATTACTGTAGTGTGCGTGTGCACTCATGGAGCATTCAGCGTGTACCGATAACACTCAAACAGCAGCGGAAGAATGGTGGGGCGCGTCCGAGTGGATGAAACGATCAATATCTGGCGGCCGTGACGTCACATCGACGCTCTCGTACAGACGGGGCGAACGCGGGTAAGTGGGAGGGAGAGTCGCATTCCAACAAGGTGCGCAGTTAACTTTCGCACTAGCTTTCCACTTCTACTGACTATAATGTCTTGTTTTTCAGAGAATATTTGGACACCCGTTCAATCCCTTAGGGGATGAATTTTGGGAAGTCCTTTCTTAGCGGATGCCTACGTTATAATGACTATTTACAGCACAAATCGTTCAGTAGTTAAAAAGTGACTGATATTTTGGAGTATTTGAAATATCTCGATGTTCTTATGAAAGGAGATTTAATTTTGTTGATAATATTGCAAATAATATTATAAAATGTCTTTAAAAGTCCTTTAAAACGAAAGGTATAGTAGAATTAACGCAGCACAGAAAAACATCAAAGTAGCATCACACAAATACGGTCCGAATGCTATAGACGTAAGGTGCAAAATCCATTGAATCGGGTACAGCCAAAACGATTAATATAGCACATTAGATCAATGGAATCTGCACCGTATATCCGAGACTTAAAGATCATATTCGCTTGAAAACTCAAGACAAAATGTACCCTATGGTTCTTCATGAAGACACATAACACTGAATCTATAAAGCAATAAATATATGACCTTGCACTACTATCATTCTATGATCGTTGTGAAATTACACAGCGCGTATGATGTTTCAAAAGCTCTAAAATTTATGGTCCCAAACTAAGACTTCTAGGTATGTAGTATGTAGGTACTAGACAGGCTGTTCTAAACTAAAATATTGCTCACTAAAGAATGTCCCGGTTTACCCCTCGTACTAAGCTAATATGCTTGTGTTACGAATAGGTTCACCACAACTACATACGCAGTGACTTGCGATTGAATATATTTTGTCAGTTTGAATGTGCTCACTATCCACTGCGGTTACTCAACGTTCGAACAATCTTTAGTACTACGTAAGCAATATAAACTGTTTACATAACGTCGCAGCTGTCATCATTGCTGTCGCGAGCAATGTGTTCTGTTTTTGGGCATATTGCTGCGACACTGGCCACGCCCCTTTGTCACATCTCCCTTTACTTTCTGTGATCTATGGTTTGGATATTGTCGCTTCAAATTATTACCAAATAAATAAAATTAGTGCTATTAGAACTTTTTTTGAGTAAAACGCGACTACCCTATAGATTTTGATGGCAAAAGCGACTATGTAGCTTGAAGCACATCTGACGTCTCGATGTCGTTTAACGTCTCAAAAACACCCTCCGATGCCGCGCCCACAACTCAGGCACTGACTTAGTTAAGGGCTGGACCTATAGCTACCCTGTCCCCGTTTTGCCTGTCTAGTGTAGGTACTACATAGAAGCTTTGTTCCAGACCATAGCAACCACCCAATGGATATGAGCACGACAGTGACACCCGGTATACCTAAACCTGTTATCCGAGTTGGTGTGCGTGAAGTCTACTATCAGCTCGAAAGGCTGCTGGCAGAACGGCTTCAGAGTCAGGATCACGTGGTAGATCAGCAGGTCTGCGTTCACTTCGCCGATCCTGGAACAAGATTATAATTTTTGAGCGCTTTCATATTTAGGCGATTGCCGAAAATGTCATACTTTATATAAATAATAAATATCCTTAGACATTTTACACTGCGCTTCTAGTCCCAAACTAAGCAAAGCTTGTACTATGGGTACTAGACAACGGATATAAACATACTTAAATACTTTTTTTTTGTAAATACATACTTATTATACATAGAGAACACCCAGTCTAATACAAACAAATATGTTCATGCACGCAAATGTTTGTACTGTGCGGGAATCGAACCCGCTACCTCCGGAATAGTAGTCCGTTTCGAACCACTACACCAAACGGCCGACAAACTAAAAACACTATGTGACAGCGGATGCGCCTTCATATTATAAAAACGCCGCTGTCGCGCTACAAACGCCCTAATGTGAAAGCGTTCTTAGAGCCTCATTCACCATCTCAGTGTCAAGTGATTCTCATTGATTCTAGGTCATGAGTATCAATGAAACCTTGACAGTGACAAGAATAACGCTAAGATACTTTCTTCTTTTACTTGCAAAGTTGTGTGAATCAAAAACATCTTCATCATTTATTAAATCAGGCTGAGTTGCACCAACTTACTTTGACCGTAACTTCAACATTAACCGGTGCTTTTTGCATGGAGTTTGTCAGATTTTTGACGTTTGTTTAAGTCAAAATAAGATTGTGCACCTCAGCCTTAGTCTCCACTGCAGGACCACGACCCTCTAATGTACCAGAGGCAAGAGGATTTGTCCTACACTCCCCACGCTGGCCAGACGGGTTGAGGAGGCCTGATGTTCGCATATTTGTCCCTTAGTCGCCTCTTACGACATCCACGGGAAGAGTGGGGGTGATCCTGTTGTCCCACATCAAACATTCTACTTTTAGTGTCTGACTGTATGATGCAGAATCGTAATTCGCAACTTCATCAAATGTGTGGTTGCTAAATTCATCTCCTAAAAATATTAAATGAAGGTAGATAGCTATAACTTAAAAACAAAAGCTGTTAGGGAAAAACTGTTGCCATATTTAAAAAATATGCGTCAATTCGAGATAGAAACAGAAAAAAAATCACAGGAAACAAACAATTTTATTTTTTTTGTTTTTTTGTTGACCAGTGTAATTAACTTTTAAAAAAAATAAAACCGACTTCAAATGCGTGTTGGTTCATAATCGGCGGAGATATTGCGTATAAAAAAGTTCATCCCCAATTTTCCACCCTTAGGGGTGAAATATTTTCTTCAAATTCGAATGAAACCACCCTTTTGATAATACCTATTCAACAAAAAAATAATCGTTCAAATTGATTTATAATCGGCGGAGATATTGCATATAAAAAAGTTCATCCCCAATTTTCCACCCTTGGGGGTTGTTTTTTCTATTATTAAATTTAAATGGGACCACCCTTGAGGTATTACCTATACGCCGAAAAAAGATTTGTTCAAATCGGTTCATAATTGGCGGAGTTATCGCGTAACAAACATAGAAAAAAAAAAAAACGGGTCGAATTGAGAACCTCCTCCTTTTTTGAAGTCGGTTGAAAAACTAAATCGCCGATCGCCGATGTTAAACGCGTGTGGTGCGCTAGATGGCGACACAATAGATTGTAGCTGTCAGCCCTATCGCATCGGCACAGTGCCGATCACTGAATTGCACGTATGCAAACGAAACGGTGCCCGACTCTCAGACGCGGTATTATTGACGACATTGAGTAGATATTTTATAAAATGCCTTCGCGAAGAAAACTGTAGAGCAAGAGTAGCCACGACCCTCATCAGTGAGGGGCCGAGGAAGAAGAAGAAGAAAACTTTCTGTACGTATAGTCTGGTCTGCGAGCACGTAGAATTTTGTCCAATGACCCCAAGCTACCCATCCTTATCGCTCGCGCGTAATTATGTTGCTATCGCGCTCGCACACTCACTGCGGGCGCCCGTCGCACAGTCGCGACAGCAACATAATTACGCGCGAGCGATAAGGATGGGTAGCTTGGGGTCATTGNTGTCCAATGACCCCAAGCTACCCATCCTTATCGCTCGCGCGTAATTATGTTGCTATCGCGCTCGCACACTCACTGCGGGCGCCCGTCGCACAGTCGCGACAGCAACATAATTACGCGCGAGCGATAAGGATGGGTAGCTTGGGGTCATTGGACAAAATTCTACGTGCTCGCAGACCAGACTATAGTACTTATTATTATTCTGCTCACTCACTTGTATCTCCTAGAAATGAAGTAGAACACGGGGTTCCCGAGTTTGCTGAGCATGCTTCATCGTCCTTTGGGTAACCTTGAGCCTTCTTATGAGGCCCATAGTAAGCGACCACGTCTCACGTCGGTAGAATAAGTTACGTATTATTATCCTGTACTAGTACTCACTTGTATCTCCTGGAGATGAAGTAGAACACGGGGTTGCCCAGCTTGCTGGTGCCCGCCTGGTAGAATATCGTTCGTTTCAGCCGAAAGACGTCCACTGCTGGACAAAGGCCTCCTCCAAGGATTTCCACAAGACCGGTCTTGCGCTGCTCGTATCTAGGCACCTCCTGCGACCTTCACCAGATCGTCGGTCAACCTAGTGGGATGCCTGCCCACGCTACGTCTTCCGGCTCGTGGTCGCCACTCAAGAACTTTCCTGCCCCAGCGGCCATCAGCTCTAGCTATGTGCCCCGCCCACTGCCACTTGATTTCAGCGATTCTGCGGGCTATGTCAGTCACTTTGGTTCGCCTGCGGATATCCTCATCTCCTGGAGAAACTCCGAGCATAGCACGCTCCATCGCCCTTTGGGTGACCTTGAGCCTTCTTATGAGGCCCATAGTAAGCGACCACACTCACTTATATCTCCTGGAGATGAAGTAGAACACGGGGTTGCCCAGCTTGCTGGTGCCCGCCTGGTAGAATATGTTCAGGCTCTTGATGCTCTTGAACTCTTCCTTTTCGTGCATGTTGTGCTTCACTATGAACTCCTCGAAGTTGGTCGAGGACATGTCGATTGAGGACCAGCGGGCGTATGAGGAGAAGAGTAAGCCGGAACTATGGGAAGAGGAATATGATGTCATTTATATTCCTATTAACAGAGTAAATACAAATGAGTAGGTCATCTTCATAGAAACGCCCGAGCGCGGTTTGTATGTGAGCGCGCGCCAATACGTATGCGCATACGTATTACCTACTCATTTGTGTTTACTCTGCTACTAATATACATATAAAGGCAAAAGTCGTAAAGTTAAGACGTGACAACCGAAAATACACTCTATCGCTCGGCTGTCGCCCGAATGTTACGATGTGTGGCCCAAGGTTAGTAAAATATCTGCTTGTATGTGACACAAAACAAGACGTGTCTACGCAAACGTAGACGCATCTTCTTGGATTGTAAAGAATATAAGCTAGTTTTTTAGAATACAATAAATTGGAATATAAGTATTTTGGAATATTTTTAAGTGGCTACAACTCACCTAGACTCCACAGGCTTGTGTTCTGGTGGTCCCAGGTACGCAAGGAGTGTTGCCATCTGAAAAAGTGGATATTATTATAGAGGTATTCCCTGTTAAAAGAACCGTCTCACTATTCATAATTTGTTCCCTATCATTCTTTGAACATAAGCGACACTTATGAAATATAACTTTTTCATATAAGTTTTAGTTACCACGTCAAAAATTACCTTGAGTTTTCCTTTATTTGCAAGACATGGCATTTTAAAAAATTAAACTTTTAAAAGCTTTACCTTATCAAAAGGCCTCCTTCCCACTGCCTTATGGTCTCTACTGCAAGAGAGATAATCCCCTATTCTCTCCTGATGGTTCCATAACAGTCTGTGTAGGGCGACCACGTTGGCATCGGTTATGAAGGACAGGTTATGGGATGTCTGGTCTACGCTTTCGCAGTCAGAGGCTATTTGGATGAAGAACCTGAAATAATTGGGATATTATTTACAACTGAGTTTAGTTGCCTTAGATTTAAAGTCCAAAAATAATGAGAAATGTAGACTGTCATCTGTCTATGGCCATCGGCAGAAAAGTTGCCCTGCATAAAAATAATTCTCGAGTGGCGACAACGGACCGGAAGACGTAGCTTCGACGTGGCCTTCCACTAGGTGGACCGACGATCTGGCGAACGTCGCGGGAAACACCTGGATACGGGCAGCGCAGGACCGGTATTGATGAAAATCCTTGGGGGAGGCCTTTGTCCAGTAGTGGACGTCTTACGGCTGAAACGAACGAACTAATTAATATAATTTGACTCACTTTCGTCCAGTCTCAAAGTGCGCCCGCAGGAAGTCGTTGAAAGGCAGCATGTGTTGCTCCTTAGAGAATTCCACGTGGTTCGCGATGTTCTGAAGTATTTTAGACATCAGCATCAGGCCACGCTTCAGTTTCGCTGGCACAGGACGGCTGACAATGCCCATCTCTTGGGGAGACACTGTTAAAAAAAGGAGTATATTAAAATCCTACTTCCTATTAGTATTATAAACGCGAAAGTTTGGAAGTCTGGATGTTTGTTACTCTTTCACGCAAAAACTACTGAACGGATTTCGATGAAACTTTACAATATTATTGTTCATAACCCAGAATAACATATAGGCTATAATTTATGACGATCTGTAACAAAGGAAATTTCACACGGGCGAAGCCGTGGGCGGAAAGCTAGTCATCTATAAAACCAACCATATTCTAATCAGAAATGAGGATTCGTAGAACTGTCATGCCAAACTTAAGTGGCAGTGAGCGGGGCACATCTAATATAACTCTAAAGGTGACTGACTGACTGACATAATGATCTATCAACGCACAGCCAAACCACTGGACGGATCGGGCTGAAATTTGGCATGCAGATAGATGTTATGACGTAGGTATTCGCTTTGAAAGGATTTAACGAAACTCCACCCCTAAGGGGGTAAAACGGGATCCACGCGTACGAAGTCGCGGGCGACCGTTAGTGGTTCATAAAACTGATGGCCGTTGGGGTACGGGACTATTCCCACCTCTCGTTCCCACCGCTGCAACTCCTGTGTAGCCAGGATCTACAGCTTGACCGCCAATAACACAACCAGTGAAGGCCAAGTTTGTCCCACTTTGGCTGTTAGGGTAGAAAAGTAATCGAGTGGGGTAGTGTAGGCAGGTCTTCCACTTAGTGGACCGACGACAAAATGAAGATCACAGGAAACGACTAGATGCGGGCAGTAGCTTAGCTGTCAAAACAGTTGCACGCTAAAGGTTTAGCCAAAAGAACGCGATCACACGCGATCAGCCGGCGTGCAGCGATGGCGATCAATGCATTTGGTGTAGTTTGGCATTTGTCGACCGTTTGGTGTTGTGGATTCGATACGGACTACTATGCCGAGAGGTCCCGGGTTCGATTCCCGGCCGGGCAGAAATTGAAATGATGAATTTTAATTTCTGTGATGGGTCTGGGTGTTACAATGTATGTATTTACAAAAAAAAAGTATTTAAGTATGTTTATATCCGTTGTCTAGTGCAAACAGTACAAGCTTAGCTTAGTTTGGGACTAGAAGCGTAGTGTAAAATGTCCAAGGATATTTATTTATTTATTTAAGTCTGATCGCCATCGCTGCACGCCTGCTGATCGCGTGTGATCGCTTTGGTTTAACTGAACCTTAAGGGAAAGCTCATGGGGTCTATACTTGAGGCAGTAGATTTTTTTTAGACAATTATTTATTTACTTACCAATAGCTGGATTGATGAATCTCAAGAATAAAACGGTGCCAACAGCACCCACGCTTGTCTGTGGGAACTGAGCGAACCGCTTGCTGAGTACCTGTGGATAAAATATAAAATACTATTGACAATGATGCAGGAGTTTTCTTGATTTACACGTGTTAAGTAGGTAACTAAATTTTAACTTAACTTTAAATCTCTATCTAAACATCAAGATATGAAACTGCTTGTCAAAACGTGTCAAGTGACAAGCCCCGCCCACCATCTTACCCGAAAAATTAAGTTAAAATTTAGCTATCTACTTAATACGTGTAAATCAGCCTTAAGTCTAATGCTTCCCTCGTCTCCATCTTATTCTGTCCCTGTCCCCTTATTTCTGATGCCCATTTTCACCATCAGTCCCTAATTTTTAAGTTACTCCTATGGTAAAACATATCAGGAATCTTGTTTTCATAGGGGTAAAATTAAAGATTTATGGTGAAAACAGGCATTACTCTCTCTTTTATACCCTCTCTTCCCATCTTTTAAATACCTGGTAAAGACAGTGGCACATGCTCCTCAACTGCGGAGGGAATTTGTCCGCAGAGTTGACGATGCGATCGAACACCTCTTTGGTGAGTTCGATCAGATTGGTGCGGTTCACTTCGATGTCTTGGCTCGGGTCCAGTCTGGAAGATAGATTAACATAAAAGGGATCAATTAAACGCCCGTTGAACACTTGTTTAAATTGACATTTAGTATGGAAATGTTGTTTAAACCAATATTCAACGTGTTTTTTTTTGTGATAAGGGCCTTTTTATATTGTATGTTATTGTTGATACTATACATAAAACTGAAATACACAATAGTTTGGGAGATTCATATTATTATGAATATTATTATTATATTATTATTCATAATACCGTGAATGCGCGTTTGTCTTCATAAAATGATGCGCAGACGCTTTTTTGGCATAAAAATCTGTACACACTTATTTAATAGTTTTGAGAATAAATACTTTCTATGCTATTCCATTACTTAGGAAAATAAAAGGCTGACAAAGGCTAAATTCCTTCCGCCACTTTTTCTCAGCACCAACTGTGATGTTGTCCCGATATAGTAGTGACCTAGAAAGGGCCTACATACTTATAAAGAATAAAGACTTGATCTAGAATAAAATCAGTCTGGCCATCAAACTGATCCAACAACGTCACCACCAATGGCTTGAGCAAACCTTAGGGACATACGCCAAGGGCCCAAAAGATAAGGAGACATGTAAAGTGCCCCATAAGGGCTACCTTTTCTTTTTTTATTATTTTCTATTGACGTTCATAAGTGCCACTTGTGGTCTAAACTGAATAAATATTTTTGATTTTGATTTTGATACTCGTAGACTACGGGACTATTCCCACATCTAGTTCCCACCACTGCAACTCTTGTGTAGCAAGGATCTACAGCTTCTATCTAGCAGCTACTCGTAGACTAGAACTAGATTTAAAACAGGTCTAGCCTCACCTAGCAGGATCAACTTCGAAGCTAAAATCAGTCTGGCCATCGAACTGATCCAACAACGTCAACACCAATGGCTCCAGCAAGCCCTGAAGGTACTCATGGCCGTATATCTTGAAACAGAACGCCATCACCTTGCTGCCGAGCGAGTTGCGGAGTCCGCTTTGAAGCTAAAGTCAATCTGTTCGTGGAACTGGTCCATAACGTCACCACCAGAGGTTCCAATAAGCTTTGGAGAAACTAGAGCTAGAATTTGAGTAGGTCTAACCTCATCTGGTGGGGTAAACTACGAAGTTACTGGTCGAGCAGCGTTACCGCCATGTATAGACCGCGAAGACGCGCCCTACCACTCTTCCGCGAATATTTCAGTGTTATCGTTACATGCTAAATTATCCATGAGTGCGTGCACACTACAGTAATGCCTTACGGATTGCTCGGACCACACTCCCCGCACCCCGCGCGACCGAGACCAAATATTGCTGGGGCGCGGCCGAGTGGATGAAACGATCTATACTTGTGAATTAAAACTAGGTTTCAGTTGGTCTAGCCTTACCTAGCAGGATCAACTTCGAAGCTAAAATCAGTCTGGCCATCAAACTAGTCTAGCAGCGTCACCACCGATGGCTTCTGCAAGCCTTGAAGTTACTCGTAGACAAAACTAGATTTAGAATAGGTTTCCTCATCTAGTGGGGTCAACTTCGAAACTAAAATCTCACCTTGCGGGATCAATTTCGAAGCTAAAGTCGGTCTGGCCATCAAACTGGTCTAGCAACATCACCACCAATGACTTCTGCAAGCCTTGTAGTTACTCGTAGACTAAAACTAAATTTAGAATAGGCTTCCTCATCTAGCGGGGTCAACTTCGAAACTAAAATCTCACCTTGCGGGATCAATTTCGCAGCTAAAGTCGGTCTGACCATCGAACTGATCCAACAACGTCATCACCAATGACTCCAGAAAGCCTTAGAGACATACTCGTAGACTAAAACTAGATTTAGAATAGGTTGAGCCTCACCTAGCAGGGTCAACTTCGAAGCTAAAATCTCACCTTGCGGGATCAATTTCGAAGCTTAAGTCGGTCTGGCCATCAAACTGGTCTAGAAGCGTCACCACCAATGACTTCTGCAAGCCTTGTAGTTACTCGTAGACTAAAACTAGATTTAGAATAGGTTTCCTCATCTAGCGGAGTCAACTTCGAAACTAAAATCTCACCTAGCGGGGTCAACTTCGAAGCTAAAGTCAGTCTGGCCATCGAACTGGTCTAGAAGCGTCACCACCAATGACTTCTGCAAGCCTTGAAGTTACTCGTAGACAAAACTAGATTTAGAATAGGTTTCCTCATCTAGCGGGGTCAACTTCGAAACTAAAATCTCACCTTGCGGGATCAATTTCGAAGCCAAAGTCGGTCTGGCCATCAAACTGGTCTAGAAGCGTCTCCACCAATTACTTCTGCAAGCCTTGAAGTTACTCGTATACAAAACTAGATTTATAATAGGTTTCCTCATCTAGCGGAGTCAACTTCGAAACTAAAATCTCACCTTGGGGGCCATCCACAAAGTACGTCACACGAATTTCATGATTTTTTGACCCCCCCTCCGTCCATGTCACAGGTGGTCACATTTCTGAGACCCCCCCTCCCTAGTGTGACGTCACATGTTTTGCAATTTCACATCGAAAAATTATTAAATTAACAGCAGTTCCGAAATTAGTTTTATTTTAATTTAAATTAAGTACTTTTTTTAAATGAAATCAACATTATATCAAATATTTGAAACAATTGAAATGTGATGTCACAAAACTTAGGACCCCTCCCACCCCTTGTCACACCATGTCACACTTTGTCAACCCCCTCCCCCCCTCTTTACGTGTGACGTACTTTATGGATGACCCCTTGCGGGGTCAACTTCGAAACTAAAGTCTCACCTAGCGGGGTCAACTTCGAAGCTAAAATCAGTCTGGCCATCGAACTGATCCAACAGCGTCAACACCAATGGCTCCAGCAAGCCCTGAAGGTACTCATGGCCGTATATCTTGAAGCAGAACGCCATGACCTTGCTGCCGAGCGAGTTGCCGCGGAATANCCCCTTGCGGGGTCAACTTCGAAACTAAAGTCTCACCTAGCGGGGTCAACTTCGAAGCTAAAATCAGTCTGGCCATCGAACTGATCCAACAGCGTCAACACCAATGGCTCCAGCAAGCCCTGAAGGTACTCATGGCCGTATATCTTGAAGCAGAACGCCATGACCTTGCTGCCGAGCGAGTTGCCGCGGAATAGCGTCTGCATACAGTCCGATACCTGTTGGAGGATAGTCGATTTTATTGCCATTATAGTGATTCTCTTCATAAAGTTACGAAGAGAGCAACAATAAAAAGCTGTGTTGCGTTTGTTCGAAAGTCTGACATCTTTGTTTTGTTTCAATTTCTTTTTAATTCCTGCCCTTGACATATTTTATAGTAAATAATAATAAATAAATAAATATCGTTGGACATTTTACACTGCAAACTAAGCAAAGCTTGTACTATGTGTACTAGACAACGGATATAAACATGCTTAAGGCCATGATTTCCCAAATTGTCGATA